TGAGTTAATTTAAGATGATAGAGCTAGCTAGCAAGAAACTTAAGCCATTGGCCATACAGTTTGTAGTTAATATAAGCCTCTAAGTGATTATTTTCTAAATGGCTAATGGGACCACAGGGCTGGGTGTGACTGGTGAAATTTCCGGCTACAAGATAGTGATTCTAATTCACACAGACAGTTAACTGAAAAAGGTAGACAGGTTCTTTCTCAGGTTGAGAATGTTATTCAATATCAGCAAGTATGTTATATTAATTATGACCTACCTTGGCATGCATATATCTTGCCCACTAGACATACTCCTACAGCAGTATTATGGCAAAACTGTCCTCTTTTATGGTTACATCTTCCTGTTTCCCCAGTTAAGGCATTAAATCCATATTATGAAGCTCGTTTGATACACAAAAAAGCAGGATTGAATCTAGACTTTATTTTGGTAAAGAACCAAGTGTGATCAGTGTTCTTTTTACGAAACAGCAAATTGATTGGCTTTTTCAAAATAATGATTCTTGGGCAATTGCCCTTTCTCAGTTTTTAGGTAAAATTGATAGTCAGTTTCCAGCTGATCAATTGTTACAGTTTGCTCAAATGCATTCATTTATATTTCCTAAGGTTGTGATGAAAGATCCCGTAAGAGATGCTATGCTAGTTTTTACTGATAGTTCTTCCAATGGGAGGGCTGCTTATGTTATCAATGGGAAAAGCTATGTAGTGCAAACAACCCCAGCTTCAGCATAGATAGTGGAATTACAGGTGGTGAATATGGTTTTTCAGTTTCTTATAGGCAGTTTATTTAATTTATATACAGATAGTATATTTATAGAGCTCTTCAAGTTATAGAAACTGCTCCATGCATTGGGAGTAGTAACAGTCAAGTTAGAATGCTTTTTCAACAAATTCAAGATGCTATTCACCAAAGAAAGCTACCATGCTTTGTGGGTCACAATAGAGCTTATTCCAATCCTCCTGGTCCTTTAGCCAATGGTAATACAACAGCTGAAAAATTAACATGGATGATTGCCTTATCCCAATAGAATTGGATTAACAGTCACATGCTTTTCATCATCAAAATAGTAAGTCTAAGAAAGCAATTCAATCTTACCAGGGAAGTTGCTTAACAGATAGTTAAACAATGTGGGGTTTGTCTGAAGTATTTTCCTGTACCTCACTTGGGGGTAAACCCTTGAGGCATTCTTCCTAATTATTTATGGCAAATGGATGTCACTCATATTGTGGAATTTGGTAAGTTAAAATATGTACATGTAACCTTTGACACTTATTCAGAATTTTTTAATAGCTAGTGTGCAATCTGGAGAAACTACAAAGCATGTAATTGCTCATTGCCTGAAATGTTTCTCTGTATGGAAATACCAAAAATTATTAAAACTGATAATGGTTCTGGATATAGTAGTAAAGCATTTCAGCAATTTTGCTCCCAATGGCAAATTGAACATAAAATAGGCATTCCTTATAATCCTCAAGGACAAGGCATTGTTGAAAGAGCCCATGGCAGTCTCAAGATGCAGCTTCAAAAAATTAAGATGGGGGAATTGTACCCTCAGTCACCACACAATGCATTGAATCATGTTCTTTTTGTTCTGAATTTTTTTGAATGTAGATGTCTGTGAGCAATCTGCCCTGGATAGATTTTGGCATGATGGCAGCCAAGTGACTTTTGCTCAGGTGAAATGGAAAGATCCTTGCTCAATGGAAGGGTCCCAACCCTGTTTTAATATGGGGTCAAGGGCATGTTTGTGCTTTTTCACAAGATAAAAATGAAGCTCAATGGCTATCTGAGCACTTGGTGCAGTGCATGGAACAGAGGAATGTCAGCTGTGATGATACTGTAGCTGTTGAAGCTCCCCTAGAGGAGCTGGAGAGCAGCTGAACCAGTGTTCTTGATCCACTGATGTTCTCCTGTAGTCTGGGAAAAGCAGGAGACTAAGGGGCCCCCCACACTGCTGAGTTGGGACAAAGGTTTTGTCACTATTTGATATTCAATGACTGAGACTATAAAAGCTGGAAAGAAATGGAGCCTGGAGCCACACAGCTTCTTGTTGCTAGTGGCAAACTAATGTCCATCTCCTTTATGAGATGGGTTCTCAATTCCTACTAGCTGAGCAGAAAGCTTTTCTAAGAGTTAACAGCAGCTCAGTACAGTAATTCCACCTTCACCCTAGGGCAGCTCTCCTAGGGAAAGCTAACTGAAAGTGCCTCTGTGGCTGAGAGTGAAGCTTCAGAGATGCTTGTGTGAACTAAGTTGAGTTGTTGCATTCAGGGAGCTGCAACAAATTTGGGACTCCTCACATTTGGAACTGTTTGTCTAAAAGTCATTAGGACTTGGACTGCTAAAAGGGATTTCAGAGCGGCTGACGAGCCAGGTCTTGATTTTGGGCTGTCAGTAGAATTTTAAGACTGTTATTAGAACTGATTTTTTGAGCTTTTGCAAACTTCAGAAGTGAAAGAGTTTTGAGTTCACCTACAATTTTAACTGTGGTGACTCACAATTCATATACCTTCAGTCTTATTAGAAGAAAATGTAAATAGTTCTGTTAAGAGATTTCTTTAGAATGCTTGCTAAAGTTTGTAAAGTGTAAATAGTCCTATAGAGAGTTTGCTTTTGGATGTAAGTTTGTAAAAATTGTAAATATGTATAGTAATATTCATGCTAGAATTATGCTAACCTATTGATAGTAATGAACTATGATTTGATGAAGCTAAGAGAGTCTTTAGGTTTGATGAAATTGCATCAGGAGTGTATTGATTTATTTGATGTGTTGGCATCAAGAGTTCATTGATTTAAAAAAGGGCTTGGTGCAGCTAAGGCTGTTATAGACATCTTAGACCCATTCCAAAAGGATATTCCATCTTGGTCATCATCTATTTCTTTACTGGGGGGGTGTGGCAGCCATAGAGATTACTACTTGCCAAGATTTCAGCTACTTGCAAGCTCTTAGTAGGGACCTAAGTCAGAGCTGAGTTAAGCTCTGTACTTTCTCCTGCCAGAGGCTGGTAGCCAGAGACAGGTAAGTCCTTGCTAGCTGCCAACCTAAGACAGAGTATGCTTGATGGAAAGTCTATCTCCATGATAGGTAAGACCGATTAGGGAAGAAGGACAACCTAAGGCAGGCACATTCTTTTTTGTTTGTTTGTTTTTTGTTTTTTGAGACAGGGTTTCTGTGGGTAGTTTTTGGTGCCTGTCCTGGAGCTCGCTCTGTAGATCAGGCTGTCCTTGAACTCACAGAGATCCACCTGGCTCTGCCTCCCAAGTGCTCACATTCTATCTGAGGGCTCTGAGGGGCCTTTTAATATATTAAGAAGGGGGAGCTGTAGAGACCCACAGGTTTCCTAGTGAGAATTTACTTAGGGTGTGAGAATCTGAGCTTGCTTTACCCAGCAGGGCTGCTAAGGTGATGATTTGACCACGGGTGTGGTTACCAGGTGTTTAGAGGGGTCTACACTTGACTGTCCAGTGTGCTTTGATCTAGCAAGGGGGAGGTCTTTTGTCCCAACCCTTGGCACTGTTATAAAAAGCCCTTTTGAAGAAGCAGAGGGGCCATTGAGTATTGACTCAGGTCCTCCTGAAGCTATCCCATGTTTGTCTTTCTCCTCTTCGCTATCTTTCTATCTAATATTTTCTTATCCCTCTCTCCTCACAGGAACCCTGGAAAAGGTGGGAGCTGGCCTCCCACAGTGGTAAACACCATAATGCTACATCTCAAATCCTGAGATGACAAGAGGGGATGAGGAATGGGCTGGGGAGAGAGAGATGTGGGCCTGGGACAGCATAGAAAGGCAGGGGAAATCTGGGGACATGAGAACTGCTTCTTAGCACTGCAATCAGGTGGAAGCTTCTTGCAGTGGAGAAGCTAGAATTTCAACACAATTAACAACCCTTGACAATTAACAACTTGGGCCCTTCTCCCTTTGCAGTCATGAGCCCAATCACCAGGAATCTCAGTGAACCCCATCAGAAGGGAAGGGACATATCCCCACACTCCAAGCCCTGTGCAAAACTGTTGGTTCATGGTTTCACTTTATCAGACTCTAACTCTATCCAGGCATCTCTGGAGACACCTATTGTCTGGTTTTATCCAGAGTGGAAATGTTTCTTAGCAACCTTCAGAGATGTAACTTGTGAATCTCCAAAAGGGTATAGATGGCTAACACTAGGACAATAGCTTACCCTCAAAGAAGCCCATCCACAAGTGTGGGTCCCTCTTACTTTTCCCTACTTTCTTGGGAGCACCCACACACACACAGTTGGGTGTGCCTTACTTTCTTTTGAACGAACGTTTCATTTTCTTAACTCTATATTAAAATATCTTTAACAAAATCACTAACCCTGCTTGACTAAACTGGCTAGTACTCACTTGTTTTAGTGTCAAAGTTGTGAACCCCTGTTGGCCTGAGTCAAGGTCCCCAAGGCTACAGGAATGCCTCAGGCTGGAGAGGGTGGCAGCATGGGGCTAGCTGTCTCATCACCACTGACAAGCCTGGGACCTTAAGGAAGAGGGCTTTTTCAGCAGTGCCACAGGCTGACAGACTAGCTGGAAGAAGGAAGACTGAGTACAGCACTGTGAAAAGGACATCTGAGTGAACAGGAAAGGTCTCGCCTGCTGAGTCCTCAAATGCTCTAATTACCTATGTCCACCAACTCTTCCTTCCTCCCCTGATCATTTATGAAACCCTGGCCATGTCCAGGGTTACTTCAGTATGAGACAGATGAGAACCTGACACACCAGAAGGTCCTATGAGGGGCTGAGGACAAAATGTAGCAGTCAGGGCACATTGGGAAGGAACCACTTAAGAGTTAGAGGGCTTTTGTTATCTAAGAAATATCTAGTACAGCTCCCTCACATCTGTCATGCCTGACATGGGGCCGCACAAAACTGCTGGGACCCAGCTGTGTGCCTGTACAGGAGCAGTTTTATTGAAGTGAGAGAACTTCACAGTCTGCACTCAAACGCCAGGTTCCCCGAGACAGGCAGTTGCTTCCTCACCTGGAAATGAAAGAATTTCCTCCATGGATTGCAGATACTGAAATCAAGGCATCTGGCTTGTTCAGCCTCTGTGGGGATGGTGACACTGCTCTCACTAGCACCCCTTCGATGCCCTGAGTGACAAGAAAAAAAAAGACCAAACCTTTGAAAATACAGAATCTGGACCCAGAAGCATATTATGACTTCATTTATACAAAAGGTCCAAAATAAAAAGTCATAGTAACAGAAAGGTTAGTGTCAGCAAAGACCTGAAGGGTTTGGGGTTGGAAAACAGAAACCGCTACTAGGTCTCCTGCTGTTCTGTGTGAATGATCTGAGATAGCACATGGTGGCAGACAGGCAGCTCTATGCCACGCTGATCAGCAAGGAGTGCATAATAGGGGCAAACTTATGAGAATTCTATTTCAGCAAAGCTGTGGTAGGCTAAAAAAAGGTTAAACCAAACTGTTTATCAGACCCCCTGACACAGAGTATTAGGCACTACATACATACTTCAGAAATGCTTCAGCATGCAGGTCACTGAACTGGAAGTCTGATGCGTGTGAGAACTTGCATACATTTGCTCCTGACCTATAACTATGCCCTGTGATCTAAAAGACATTCAGAAGCAGGTATTGAATAGCTAACTGCCCAAGGACAGCAGGAGTGCCACAAACACACACCCACACAAAATGAAGATGAGGATCCACCATATAGTAGGTGCTCAGGATATTTACTGACTTCAGGAATGAGTGTGTGGAGATGAAACAATGGTAATAACTCAGAAACATGTATCACATCAAAAAGGCAAAGAAATAGGAATACTGTTTATAAACTTTTTATTTAAAAAATAAAATTATAAACAAAATACAGAAAAATATTGACACCTGTATAACAATAAGATGACTTTTCATTTTTAGGGTAATTGTTGTTCTGAGAGAATAAAATCCCAAGTTTTATAAGGAAATTTTGTTGGGCAAAGGAGGACTTTGATATTTCATTAGCAGTGGGTACCTGGCATAGGTAAGACTTAATACACACATCCAACACTTCACAGCATATTCAAGTCTCATTTCCAAGTCTATACCAAACACTGTACCTCTCCAAAGTCCCTAGATTAGTAAGAGTGCAATTTAATATTATTAGAAAACAATCTTGTTTTTCCTAGGTTTGACTGGTGTCTCCCCAGTTAAAGCTAAGCCTCTTCTAGACAATTAAATACGAAGCAACAGACAGTTTTGAGGCATCCCCCTCCTTCCTCAATGTGGACATCCAGTCCTGAGGAATCTCCCCATTCCTTGATATGGACACCCAGTCATGAGGTGTCTCCCCACTCCTTGATGTGGACAGCCAGTCATAAGGTATCTCCCCACTCCTTGATATGGAAGCTTCCCCAGGAAGCTCCTTCGAGCATCAGACAAGACTACAGATGCACACTGTAGAATTTTCCTTTTCAAATATGGCTGAAGTACATTACCTGTCCAGCTAACAAATTCCTCATTTCAAGCAAAAGGTACTGAGAAACCCAAAGAGTAATTTTCTGAAAATACACAGTAGTTTCCTCCATTTCTCAAATCAACTATGGACTCATTAGCAATCTGGATTCCTGCTTAGTTTTCTAAGTTACAGAAGCTACTTATCGCAGCCTCTTAACAATCTTCTCATTTCATTTTTAATTATAATTTTATTAAAATCAACATAAATTACAAATAACTCCCATAACTGAAGGCGCTAGATTCCATGGGGTCTGTCTGTGTAAACAGGGCAAATGAAGTGTCAAGATCAGAAATTCTTAAGTCTCCAAGACGTCCACACAAACCAAACCAACTCATACTCATTCCTCCTTAGTTATCTATCCCAGGCTGAGGTTTTTGGTCTGTGAAGATGACAACAAACAATGGAGACAGATGAATTTCATTCAGTTGAGCTCCTTCTGTCTTCAGGTTGTAACTTCTCCAGTACATGACGGCTGGCAGTTGACAGCTGGCTGCTGAGTTGACATGACCTCTAAATCAGATTCACGAACAAAAACCACCGCATCACCACTGACATTGATGAGACACTGCGCCTGTGAAAACAGCAGACAGAAGCCCAGGTGCATGCAGCCACAGTGGTCAGATGCCTGCTGTGCAAGGGGTCTGGGAGAAAACTAAATCCAGCACAGACTAATCAACCACGAGATAAAAGAATGCAGCAGAAGCTCAGAAAAGGAAATGTTCGCAAGAAAAGAAATCCAGAAAGTCTGGGGATGAATGACAAAATATTCAAGCCTGCTATAAACCAGAGATCTATATACTGGCAATAAGAGCCCATGTCATATATACTGGGGAGCTGGTGAAAGCTGGATCTTACGAGGTGCTGACAAAGGCAGAGGGCAACAAACAGGTACTGGAAAACTTTATCCAAGAAAAGCCAGGAGTACTGAGAATGCAAATAATTTGCCCTTAATTATAATATCTAAGTATAGAGCTGGCAGCAAAGTCCATACCCACACAGACACACACATCTATTCTTCTCATTCCTGTGAAACCTGCATTACAGTCTCCTGAATGCAGTGTCTGCCTGCATATCCCGTGCTCAGGGCACAAGTACTTCTGTCCATTTATCATGTGTGTCATACAAAATATGATTTCTGTATGTACCAAGTGGAGTAGGATGGGGCATGCTGCCTTCAGGATATTTTGTTACTTATATAATTATTTAATTTTAGAAGAAATCTTTAAAATGTTTGAGCTGTTTAGTTAAAATTAATAAAAGGATGATATTCTAAGGTTTAATCTAATAAGACCTCTTCTTCTTCTATACCTCATTTACACAGTAACATTTAGTAGAAATAAATAAGCAGTCTGTCCCCACTGTATGCTCTTCACCATCAAGGTAGGTAAACCTAGGCATCCCAGCACACAGAGTGAGGGGTGCATCAGATCGTCTGAGAGAGGATACAGCCACATCCATATTCCCAAAGTTCACTACCAAAGTGGCAGGAGCAGTAACTCTGGTGCAGAAATTCCAGCAATGCTTCATTAAGGGTGACAGCTCATCATGTGGAACAGAGCCTGAGCGATGATGACTACATGATTAATAAAGTCACTTAGGTATGCTTTAAGCATCTAGAATCAAATTCTAAATACCAATTCTTCTAGAAGGGCATGGATGTGAACAGGCCAGAGGGCCATTCTCAGACTGCCTTACATTAGAGATGTTCAGTTGTCTCACCTGGTTCTTACTTGGATTCTCCATGAAGACACACTGCTTCATAATGTAGGAAACAACAGCATTCCCTCCCAGTGCAGCAACATGAGCTCTTACCATGGCAAACACTTCAGCAATGAAAGCATGGAGGAAGCCACTGACTCCTCCTTCCTGCAAATAATGTATGAGACCATCGTATCACATACAGGCTAGGAACATACATAAAATGTCAAAAGCACATACACATTCTAAATTGCCTTAGTGTACAAGACCATCATTTACATTTTCCTCATAGTGAGGATTTTTTTTTTTGCATTAATAAACACACTTCTTTTGTTTTGTTGTGTTTTGTTTTGTTTTTTTGTTTTTCGAGACAGGGTTTCGCTGTCTTTGGTGCCTTTCCTGGAACTCACTATGTAGCCCAGACTGGCCTCGAACTCACAGAGATCCGCCTGGCTCTGCCTCCCGAGTGCTGGGATTAAAAGCATGCACCACCATCACCCAGCAATAAACATACTTTTAATAAACACACCTCTGAGTAAGGATTTTAAAGTACTCTCATTAAAGCTCAGATAAACTGTAATTTGTCCATGACTAGCTTTCATTATACACAATGTATGATTTATGAATATGTGATGCTGGAGAACAACCCCAGGGCTTTGTGCTGCCCAGCAATTGCTCTACTCTACTCATCTACACCTATCCTCTTCGCATCATCATCATCATTTGGTACATAGGGTCAGAATCATGAACTTCTGGCCTCAGCCTGGCTGGGCCTACACCTGTGCACACGAGGCAGCTCACAGGCAGTCCATGCTGCGCCTGTTTTCCACATCATATACTAATACACAATTCAGCACTACACAAGCAGCATTCCATACACATTGCCAGAGAATGAAAAGAGCAGTATGGGGAACTTTTTCTGTTACAAAACCAAACAAAACAGAAATTAAAAGCCAGTCAATAGCCTAAATGCTTTTCTACTTAAGTTTTCTATCAACTCTACTGGAGGTGAAGTTAAGGACAATCAAGGACATTTCTGAATTAAACTGGAGTTAAGGAACAGCAGAGTTTACTACTAGGAACTAAATTATTTTTTTAAGTACATCTTTAAAAGAAAGTTGACATGCACGAGTGCTTTGCCTGTGTATATGTCTGTGTACCATATATATGCCTGGTGTCCAGAGAGGACAGAATATGTGCAGGTCAGTTCTAGAAGCACAAATGACTGTAAGAAGGATCTCACTAGGCAACGACACATGTGGGATGCTGCACCCTAGGCTAATGGTGCAGGTCTCTGCTGCAGTGAGATTGACCAGGCAGTAACACCGCAGCAGGGAAAGCTTCCACAACAGCAAGGAGTAAGGAAATGAAAACATGTGGACTCCAGTGTGGCCAGCAGCTTGTGCATGAACCCCACTATCTATCAGGCTGAGACAACAGGATCATGTGTGCCATACACTACTACCACACACTACTACCATACACTACTAGGAGCAACTAGAAAAGAAAATAACAGAAAAAAAAACAACACGCCAATTTTGAAACAAACCTATTTTGTCAAACTTAAGTGGACTTTAATTCTCTATTAAGAGGTTCTGAGACTACATGGTTTATTCTCCACATAAACATAATTAGAGTACAATTAAGATAGATTATCTTAAAGTAAGCATACACCTAATTAATTAACCTGTCAGACATTATTCATTTATTTACAGAAAGACATATTGTGCTTGCTCTGTGCCAGGCAGGCTCCATGCTGAGAGAAGGAAGTGAGGTGTGCAGACAGCTGTTCCAAGAGCACAAGCACACAAGAGCTTCCCGTGCGTGACACAAAGCAAAGCACAGCTGAGTCATCTTGTAAGAAAGGCGCTTTCCACAACACAAACTGCTGCAACAGTAAAACAGACAGAGATGATGGGGTTTCACACCTCAGTCATTTCAAAGTTTCCCTATTCATAATACTAATTTGTTCAGCAGCCCTGACTCATAGGATACAATATAATTTCCTTTTCTATTAGGTTAAATTCCCATGTTACAAATGACACAATAGAGTGGCCTTGGTTTTGAAACCGAATCATATCACACAAAATTTCATAACCACTAAGTAACAGTCCTCGTGTGCACTGAGAATGGGGAGAAACGGCGGCGCTCGCTCTGTGCACTGTCAAGACTGAGAGCCAGAGGGAAGAGAGCAGAGGTAAATAAAGCATCTCTGCATCACACAGCTACTACAAAAATCCACTACTTCTAAATGTGGTTCCTTAAAAACTGCTGTTTAAATATACCTCAAAAAAATAACTACTTAGAAAACTTAGGATGTCCTGACAGGGCAGTTTTAAATCGTGGATCAAATATAAGAGGGAGTTATTTGTTTTACAATAAGGATCTAGAACTTCCACAAACAAATGAACTTGAATCAGATACAACTCTTGTAAAATGGGTGACTGTATGAAACGCAAGTCATATCCAAATCCATCTGGACAGGTCACAAATAGGTAAGTAAAATATAAGAGTCTATGTTATTTAGAAGAAAACAATTTAAAACTTGGTTTTATTATTCACTCTTTCAAGAAAAAAAAATTTTAAGTTTTGTAAAGTTACCTCACGGAGAGAAGTAGTTTCTCTAATAAAAAACATGTTAATGATGCCGAGATATTTTGTTATCTTTGCTCCAGGAATGAAAGAAAGAGGCGTCATCTTAACAACTCCGACTGTGGAACTTGCACAAGGTGGAGCAGAGCGATTCCGGAAATTTCCATCACCCATGGGACTTGCTTTCTCAACCGTCACAGCTAAAATGGGAGAAATAACGAAAACATTAAGAACAGACACTGGGAACTAGATAATCCCCTAAGGTTTCCAAACAAGTGGTGACAACATTCAGCTGTCTGTGAGACTAAGCCATGTCATGAAAGAAAAGAAATTATCATGCACCACATGCAATTCAGAGAGAGAGAGAGAGAGAGAGACATGAGGAGATGCTGGAATGGAATTCTTTGGGAAGGAAAATGGCATTCCTGCAAAGGAAAATGTTGATGCAGTGTAGCTAGACACACAATGATCGGTTACACAGTGGAGAAAGGAAAGCGCCAGAGCGGTAAGGTAGCTGCTGTAGAAACAAATTATCCAAGGAGAGTGTGAAAGTTGTTACATTCCCAGGACATTTTTCACCTGTTTCCGACACTCCATCACTGTTGACAGCAGGCAGCCTAGGTAACACTAGGTGTAATACATCTCTATATGTCCTTCCCAAACTTTTTTGATTAAACAGCCACATAACTTTAGCCCTTAACAAGCAATCTTGGCTGTCTAAAGGGTGTTTTGGGAAGTAACAGGTAAAATAGTTACCACCACTTACTAAGTAACTGCAATAAACACACATCCCTGTGTTTCCCTAACCTCACAACCAGCCACAGGGTCACCATCATGCCTGTTTCCACAAGAGGAAACTAAGGTTGTCTAGTTGTTAATTTAGCACCTCTAGGGTTAAAAATACGATTCTGTTCTATTTTCTGTATCACCCCCTTTAAAATGTAGCTCTTTTCCCTTTTAAATTCACTCAAATATTGTTTTCTCAGAATCTGCCAAAACACAGGCTATAAAACATGCCTCTCGAGTCTAGCAGTAAGACAAGCTGCCAACTTTGCAGGCACACTTGACCCTTTCAGTACCCTGTCTTTCAGGCTTAGGAAGCTGACAGCCATGCAGTCAGGAGTTCACTGGGTCCTGGAAGAGTCTCTTCAACAAGAAAGCTGGCCACGTCCTCCTAAACAGGGATGTAATACGCATCCATGTACTTTCAGAAAGTTTCATAAATATGAAATTTAAAAGACAGTTCTACAGCTAGAAGCAACCACTGAGAGCCTCTATAATAACTTCTCACAAAGGACCAAGCATCTGCAGCTTTCACACTCAAATACATGACTGATTGGCAATGTTGTTACTAGGCAGTAAGGTCTAGCCTTCACCACTGGGAAATCAGGGATATGCTTCTCAGGTCATCAGAATGTGGTAGAAACATCCGCCTACTTGTCTTAATTGATCCGCGCCTTATGGTCTGAGCTTTCAGTTTAATGAGCTCTATCCAGCTGCTGCATCTGTCTGCAAAGGAACTGTAATCAACTGACGTTGCTGAAAACACAGACAGAAAACAAAAGAAAACACAAAGAAAAATATGGATGACGTGTCTTACTCGCCATAATCCTCCTCGATGATGTAACTTAACTTGGCTGTAGCTTAGGGAAAGAGCGACCTTTTCTGGTCAGACAGGAGAGGGAGAACCAGTGGGGAGTGGAGCTTAGACATTCAAGTGTCCAAACCCAGTAAGACTGGCGGAGGGCTGGGCGCATGACCGTGTGGTCTCAGGGAGACAAGTGCAGTCCAGCTGAGGCCGGAGCGGAGGACAGACTGCTTAGTTGTTCCTGCTCTCCTCCTTCTAAGAGCTTCATTGCTTCTATCTGATTTTAATTTATAATCCAACTTATAATCAACCCATTATGAGCAACCCCTCCCCCACTTTAGCCAAAAGTCAAAACTAAAAAAGAATCAAGTGCTAAAAAATACTTGAAGGGGAAAACAAAAAAGAACAACAACAAAACCCCACCACCTCACTAGCTGACCTGTTTCTTACTAAAGTATCTTCTTTCCACCATCAGTAACCCAGCTATTAAATCGGCAGGAAAACCAAGTGGTTGTTGTCATCATATGTTCTGCTTCCAGGTCTGATTTCTGGCTCAAGGCCTCCGGCAAGATTGGGGGGGTGGTGCAACTAGCACCCCTTCTACAACAGTAACTTTTACATTGCTACTATTTATAAAAGATTAAAGAGCTAAAACCTTAGAAACTAGGAAGACTATTACAATATTAAAAAATAATAAAGTAAATAATCAGTGAATTTGTAAAACATTCTAAATACAATAAAGTCGTATCTGAGGTCTACTCCATTGTCCAGTACATGTCTATGTCTGTAACTGTATGTCGACTCAACCTCAGCCTCACACATATGGTGACTGTGTGCTTTGCCGGGCAAACTCACCTCTCTGTGCAGCTGGTGTACCTGAGTTAGAACTCGCACTCTCCAGGTGTTCTAGTAAGACAATACGAACAGCATTAGCTCAGATGCTAAGCACAAGCCAGCACTTCTTCCTGCTGATTGTTAATATCTTCTGTGAGCCCGAAGAATAGAGTAAATAAATCTTTACGGCTTCATTACAAAGGCAAACCAAATACAAGTATTAGGATTTAAAATGCAGTTCCATTATGTGAAGACTATCCCCATTAATAAATACCATGCCACGATGGTTGCTTACTATGACACAAAGTGAGTTTTTTGAGAAAATACAAACAGTAGCATGTTAGTAGAATGATGGTACAGGGTAAGAAGATTGGACTGAAGAAAAGGATCAGTGTGCTGGGGAGGGCTCAGAAGAGGAAAATGGAAGGAAGCGTTTTAGGAGAGGTGTGAGAGCTAGTACCACAAAAAAAAAAAAAACACACACCAGGTAACCACCCATGCTCCACACATATCAACCCCACTTCCTAGCCTTGGACCTCCTCACCTCCAACGTCTCCATCTGATTTTATCAACAACTCCCTCTGCTGGTAACAAGATTTTGTGGTACTTAAGGGTGACTGACAGATCTCCAGAGAGATGACTAGGAATCCCAGGACCACCCAAACAGAACCACACTCTTCCTAACAGGCTGGAGAGTAGCATCCAGACAGGCATTTGTTGTGCATATGTAAAATATTGTGAAAATGTAGAAGTACTATTAAAGTCAATATATTTTTGTTGTTTATGCTTTCTCTGTACTAGCCTATTTGAATTTTTGTTTCAAGGAATTGTAAAACTGAAAAAAAAAAAGGAATAGCTCATTTGAAACACTAAAAATTATTTGGGACATCCAATTTTTTTAAAGTATCAACTAAGCAAATACATTTTCCATCTCTAATGTATTGATCTTTAGGTAATATTTTCAAATTAATAAAATTTAACTACGCAAGATATGATTTGTACAGAACGTTCTCCTAAATGGAGTAGCCCTCTCATCTGGTAGCTAACACTGGAGAGCATGCAGTAGTTAACAGTCCTCCGAATGTGGAGTTGATTAATAAATGGGATCACTGGGTGCAGGCCACAGATGACTGGGAAGGTGCCATGCTACAGACATGCCTGAACATCAACCATCATGTCCACAGACTACATACCTAACTGGTACAGTCCTTGTGATTCAGGAGACTAAGGAACTTAGCAAGTCCAAAAGGAGATAGGAATACAGGAAGAAGACAGGGAGGCCCTGACATGTATTCAGAGGCTTTACAGTCTCTAGAGACCACACAGGACAGAAAGGGACACCATGCATACATGGAGAACAGCCAGCCTACTCCAGGCTTAGAGGTTTCCAGGGTTCTCTGGGGCTACTGCTGAGCAGGATAGACTCTGTGAGCATACATTACAGAAAGTATAGTTGAGCTGGGTGTGATGACAAACACCCACCTACCAACGTGAAAGATAGAGGCAGGAGTTCCAGGCTGTCTCAAAAAAAAAAAAAAAAAAAAAAAAAAGGTAGGGTAGGGTACTATAGCCTCATAGTAGACTGTCTGCCTAGCATGCACAAGCTCTGGGACTTGATCTCCATCAACAGAGAGAGAGAGAGAGAGGGGGGTGGGAGAGAGAGGGGGGGAAGAGAGAGAGGGAGAAAGAGAGGGAGGGAGAGAGAGAGAGAGAGAGAGAAAGGGAGGGAGGGAGGGAGGGAGGGAGGGAGGGAGGAGAAAAGGAGGGTAGTTTGGATTGGGCATCCTAGAACTTTTTTCTCAGGAGCAAGAAGGAATGGCTAAAATCATCTTAGAAACCACTAAAATGAAATTCTCTCCCATAACGCAGTATTCCTGTGTGTGATTTAATAGCAACCCTGAACTGTGCCAAGTAGAAACAACACGGTACAAAGCAATAGGAAAAATGTTTGTGTTTGTAAACACACAATATGAGCCAAGCATTTGGGTGCACACTTGTAAACCCGGCATTTGGGAAGAGGTGTGAGGAGGATTAGGAGTTTAAAGTCAGCCTCAGCTATGCAGTGAGTCTGATCAGTCTAGGCTACGGAAGATCCTATCTCAAAAACCACAAATAAATAAGAGTATGTTATTTTCTATAGAGAATAAGCTAATAAGAGTACATGCTTTTGAGAAGGGAAATAAAAGGAAAAGGAAACTTTCAGATTACATGATTTTATAGTGTATACATTTCTCTCTGAAATTACCTCTCCCCTAAATACTTATAAAGGGCCGTCTTTATTCCCTAACTTCAATAGTTTTCACAGACATTCTTCAATGTTCAAGGAGCCTTTTTAGCACACTTGGGAGAACACAGTTATCACTAACACACTTGCTATGATCTTAATTCTTACAGAAATGCTCAAGGTCAGCTGGTTTGGGGACAAGAAAACTTTGGCACCTCAGTCCAATTTGCACACCTTAGACACCGAAGTTCTCAGACTCTTGGGTCCTTCTCAGTATAGTCTCGCTTCCCAGGTAACAGGCTCTCAAACAAGAAGGCACTACAACTGCTTGCAGTGTGGCTCATCAACACACTGGTAACTAATTAACAATAAAACAATAAGCAATCTCCAGGTCATTTGTAAATGGAGGACACAGATTTCATTATTTCTCATTAAGTATCATTCAAGCTCTGCTGGGGAGCAAGCACTGAATTCTGTGTCATCAAAACATCTACATGGAGGAGACAAACAGTTCTCATGTGAGAGCCCCACTCCACCTGCAAAGAGCTGTTATCAAGACACACAGCAGTCCATGCTTTCACAATTTCTGTGTGTGTCTGTGCTCCTGTGCGTGCCCGTGTGTGCGCGCACCTGCCCATGTGAGCAGTTAAGGGACACTCTGCAGAGGGCATGCTTCCTTCTTCAACCCTATGAGACCGAGGGATGGAACTCAGGTGGCCATCAGAGCTGGTGGCAAGCTCTCTTCCCTGCTGAGTCATCATACTGGCCCTGCTTCTGATCTTGAAGTCATCCTCAGCAGTGGGCATGTGGTGTACGCCTTTACCCCAGAGTCTGGGTCAGGAGGCTGACAGCAGCAGCAGATGTGGCAAGGCCCCCTCCTCCCTCCTTTCGTATGCTTCTAAAGTTCTCCTCAGTTGTCTGTCACAACCAGTGACAAAAGCATCTGTCAACCGTAGCTCCTTGAGGTACATGCTGACATTCTGTTGCCATGAGAACAGTATTACAGCTGGTTAGGCCAGACAGCTCTATCCTCCAGTGACATGGGTACCACTGTAAAGGGTCAGTTTGGTCTTTCCTACACACTACAATGCAGCAAGAAGGCCCTTCTGAGTTGCCAGAATGTGATGTAGGCCTTCTCAGCCTCTGGAACCCTGAGTCACTAAGTTTCTAGGCTTTCTAAGTCACCTTGTTTTCTGGTGAGCAACACACACTGGACAAAGACCACTATAACACAAATTACTAACTCTAGTGACTTTTTATGTCTCATCATTACAATATATCAATCATCTTTACTATAAATTTTTTTAGAGTAAACATCTTTTTAAAAATTACTATCTTAAAAATTCCTACAAAATTACTCTCTTATAGAGTAAAAGTAAAAAATAATACTCTCTTGTAGCCCAGAGTCTTTAATTTTTATTATTTTCTCATTTAAACATTCAGTTTAAGTTACTATGATCACAATTGAGTTTTTACATTCTTTTAGGAATTTTTATCAATATAATAAATGATTGGATATACTTTATACATAAAAAGGTAGCTTAATAACTAAGTTAATGATGAATCTGAAGATAGAAATAAACCTATCTATAATGCTACTTAGATGTGGATGAACTGATAAAGTAATTGCCATAGAAGAGTTGTAAATTAAGGCATAAAGATAGAAATAACAGCTTCAATTTGAATATTTTATAATGGAAACCCAAAAGTAAGACATCAGTAATGTACACCTTCAATAACATATGATGAACTTCCACAGGGGTCACATTCTCCAACTACAGACAAACATTCTCCACTGCTTTCTCCTTTTTGAACTCCCTGTCATAGTCTTGCACCCACTTCTGGGCATCTACTCTTCTTAGGACTGTGCTCTATGGCTTCTCTTCTGAATACTGTTAGCTCTCTCCTTCACAGTCTAGGTCTTTTTCTTTGCTTTGCCCTCCTCGGCCTCTTCTGCACCTCACCTCACTGTCCTCAAGCTGCCTGAAGACAGAGGGAAAGCTACTCTATCCCACTTTCATTAACTCCCTTCCTTCCACCCCTTCTCTTGAATGAGCCAGACACTTGTACCTATCTTTACATTTTGTTTCATTCCTTTATTTGTTTGTTTTTGAGAAAGGGTCTCATACCCTAACATCTCAGCTAGCCTGCCTCAGCCTCCCAAGTTCTGGGGTTACACCTGGTTTGCCTCTCTTTAGTTTTCATATTCTTCATTCTCTATCCTGATAGCTTCTCTCGCCTGCCACTGCTTTGGCCATCCAACTATATGAAGACTATTTACAGATTCTTTTTATTGCTGTCACTATTTTGATCATAAGGTCAAAGTGTGCAGTTTTTAAAAAGCAGATTCAGCAGCTATATGAGATGATTACTATATAAAGGTATTTGTAGTAGTATAGGGAGCTACTATATACAGTTAAGAATTAAGAAATATTTGTAGGAAAAATAAAAACTAATGTTCACAGATTTTCCTGCTCGCTACTGTAGTCAGTGACTGATTAAACAGAGCCCCCTGCCCTGCAGACTACAGCACCTGCCATTGAGCAGAAAGGATTGAACAAGTACCAAGCAGCAGAGAGACAGGAAACAAGAGTGTATGGAAAGGTCCTTGTCTGCACTTTTAACCAAGAGACACTAAGTTATCCTAATGAAATTTTTTGATAGTATTAAACTATCAATATCCAAATGAATCTATCATTCTATGATAGATTAGATTTATACCATATTTGAGAGATATTTAAAGTAGTATAAGGCTTATAGTTGTTTAAGTCCATCAGCTCACTGTAACTAGTATCTCAAGATTTATGTCTTCAGATTTTTGTATTGTTTTTGTTTTTTGGTTTTTGGTTTTTTGAGACAGAGTTTCTGTGTGTAGCCTCGGCTGTCCTGGAACTCGCAGAGATCCTCCTGCCTCTGCCTCCCAAGTGCCGGAATTAAAAAGGTGGGCACCACTGCCTGGCTTTATTAACTTCAGGTTTTAAAGTAGTGTTAACCTTTTACAAACATTAAGGTACAAAATTATTGAGCTCATCCACATTCTATGAGAAAAAAAATCTCATTTTAAAATTTTTTACCCAGGAATATCTTTACTTAGATTCTACATTTTTACTGTATTTATCTCTCTCCCTTTTTTCTATAGGTATCATTTTAAAGCACCTTTAAAAAATGCAGAAAAAAAAGCCTCAAGTGTGGAGACTGATGAGGCTAAACCATTTTGGTAGAGTTTGTGCTGTCCATGCTTTCTTACAGCACAGCCTTCTGAGAAAAGCTGCAGGTGATACCACACCATCCATAGTCCTAAAATCCTGACAGCCTTCACATGACATTCTTTAAGAAATGACTGAAATCACCACCTTCTAATATTTCACAGCAAACAAATCTAAGGAAATATCAAGGTGACACTGAGTCAACCAGAAATCTGAGACCAATAAACTTTTGTTACTTTGAAAAAAAAAAAACAAAAAAACAAAACACCAACCAGGCGGCACTCTGTGAGTTACTAGTTACAGTGAGCTGATGGACTTAAACAACTATAAGCCTTATACTACTTTAAATATCTCTCAAATATGGTATAAATCCCAGCACTCGAGAAGCAAAGCCAGGCGGATCTCTGTGAGTTCGAGGCCAGCCTGGTCTACAGAGCAAGATCTAGGACAGGTACCAAAGCCACACAGAGAAACCCTATCTTGAAAAACCAAAAAGAAAAAAAAAAAAAGAAAAAGAAAAACAACACCAAATTCTTCATCATGAAATGGAAAACCTGACTATGGCTAGACAGTTCCGAGTCTGGTTTACTCTATATGGTGAATTAGGATACGTGTAATGAAAGTGGTACATGACATTTACCCTTGTTGATAACAAGAAAATAATGAGGGGTTTATCTAAAAGCAAAGATGCAATTGTTAATAAATATATTATTCTTGGCTCTTCAAACTACTCTCCCTGTCAACATAAAAAGAGAAAAACAAGTAGCAAGTCCCCCCTCCCCCTTTTAAGAACATGAATGGTAAGTAGAAGTCAATGTCTGAGGGAGCAGGCTAGTCCCTGGGCATTCTTCCTAACCATACACGGCTAAACTTAGATTTTCACATACTTTCTCTTTCTACTCAACACTTTGTCATGTTATAGTACATACACACTCCATTCATGCTATAAGACCACTGGACTAGTCTTCAGACCTTTTATAACCCACCTTACCCTCAAATCTTCCAAATTACCTTGAAATAACTTTTAAAGGCATATTTAACCCGTGTCCTGAAAAGGTGGAGGAGGTAAAGCCAATCTACACATGCAACACAAACCAGAACCCACACAAGTGTGTGAAAGGGACAGATACTCTAAGCACTCACTGGAGATGCTCATGCTCCAGAAAAGCACAGGTGTTCTGCATGGAGCACTGGGTGGCACACGTTTTTATGTACATTAGTAGACAAGATGGTTCTGATATGAGGATGGTAGTGAAGGTGGTGTGGTGTGGTTCAATGGTTTTCCAACTCTGGCAACCCTTTCTCAGGTACTATCTAGGAAGCCCACACTGTAAGCATGGAGTTGAAGATCTCATTGCACACCTCTTGTCAGCACCTCCCACCCAGAGGCTGCGCTGAGACTCACAACTTAGAGAGGAACTGGGCTTGCTGGTCAAACTGACTAGACTTTCTTGGAAACACTGATAATTACGGAAACTCTCTGATCTCAGGCATGAATTCAGCTTTTGATTTATCCCCCCGAGACAAGGTTTCTCTGTGTGGCCCTGGCTGTCCTGTACACTAGGCTGGCCTCAAACTCAAGAGATTCGCCTGCCTCTGCCTCCCAAGTGCTGGGATTAAGGGCATGCGCCACTCCAATATAAACATGTTAACAATCATAGACCCACAAAATACAGAAACTGAAGGAATTTTTAAAACTTAAAGCTAAAAGGAAGTATAAAACTTTTCAGATTTTCGACATGAGAGGCTGAGGCTGACAGAGGTCCGCAGTCAGTCAGTCCACTTGCATACCTGCTCAGCGTTAGTGCTGCCGACAGGCATTTCTACTGCTTTCCCTCCACCTCAGGCCTTCATGCTGCCTTTGAAAATGAGCTGTACACACTTTGGGCAGTTCACAAAAAAGACATTCCATCCAAATGGCTTCTTCCCTTTGTTCTTTAGTTCACAATCATTTCATAATACTAATTATATAATCAGCAGTTGTGACTGACCCTGCAACACTATGGAAGCCATCAGTATAGATATGTCAAATCTGCTACATCTGGTCAGCTAATATGCACCCCGACTCCAAACATATACTCTTGTAAATTAGCAACAGATTCAACCTTTACTGACTAGGTTTTAGGGGTGGTTTCTTACTGCAGAGGTTTCTCTTTCATCCCCGAAAAGAGTGGCACCTAAGGAGCTCAAGGAAGATATTTTTAAGACTTATTTATGTGTGCGAATGTTCTGCCTGCATGTATGTCTATGCTGAGTATGTGTACCTGATAATCAGAGGCCAGAAGAGGGTATCAGATCCCCTGAAACTAGATACAGACAGTTGTAAGCTGCCATGTGGGTGATGGGAAGCAGCAAGAGGTTAAACGCCCTTAACCTCTGAGCCATGCCATCAGGCCCTTCAAGAAGACTCTTAACAATGATGTTTACTCCTCTGGAAACCATGTTTACTCAGGTCTGAACTCAGACACTTCAGAACTGGACTCCCCTTCACTCTTCCGCGGACGTTAAGGAGTGCCCGAGACTCTGTGTACAAGTCCTAACTTGGAGTGGAGAGCTGAGACAAGGGGATGACCAAGCTACCAGGTAAGGAAGTTCAGAGTCGGACCATGGCTTACCACTTCAGGTCTCTGGTAAAACATATACTCCCGCGTGGAGAGACAGGCTTTGCATTGACTGATTCAGTGAACACACACACACACACACACACACACACACACACACACACACACACACTTACTCTGTTTTATACATAATTTGTTTTCAAATAAAAGTATTCATAGATGGAACAATTTTAAGTGTTACGATTATAGTAACTAATTTTATGTCAAATAACAAATGAATCATTTCTCATTTAAAAACTTTAGGAAAAAAATACAAAGTACATTTACTGAATATGTAATATAAGATTAGACACAACCGTTTTGAAAAGTTAAAATAAAAATTATACTAAAAACAAAAAGAGAGAAAAAAAAAAAAAGAAATCTTCCCATTCTTTTCTACGCACTGTAGAAAACTCAAGAGAGTTTTCCCATTAAGGGGAAATTATTTTGTATTTGAAAAACTATCTGTTTCTTATAAAAACAATATCCTTCAATTACAGCCATGGTGTAAAATATGGAAACATTCATGGCTAACCTGAGCATGCCCCAGAGAATCTATGAAAATCCAAAATGTTTAAAAACCTCTACTAGAAGAAAACTAACCAGATAAAATACCAAATACACTATATGTAAGTATTTACACTGGGAAATTCAAATCTTCAAAAGCTAAAACTTTAGTAGAACTGAGGTATAAGAATGAAACATGAGAAAAATGACCTTCACAGTTTATAATCTCTTCACAAAGTAAAGAAAGAAGATTATTTCCCCCATTTATACATATGGAAACACACAATGACAGATGAAGGGCGGGCTCCTCAGTGGACTCTAGTGAGGAGGCAGAGAGGAGCCAGCGACTCCCATGCCATGAGCGTCCGCGGGACCGACCTTTAGTCGCTGGGAAAGCATGAGAAGGCAGTGAGTCTGAGCAGAGCTCCAGAGGGAACTGCAGCAGCTCTTCATTATCTGTGGAGGCTGGAGAGGAAACACACAGCAGTTATTCAGCAGCCATCGACTGCCCCGTTTAAACCGAAGAACCTAGCACACAGCTGGGACAGACATCAAAATTTACCTCTCTGCAGTGACTTTTCGACATGGGCTTTTGTGGTCTGTAAGGCCTGGTTTTTATCAAAAGTTATTGCAACTGCTGTGACTGTAACCTAGAATTATAAAAACAATCATGATTAGTAAAATAACCACTAATAAAATTAAATTTCTTACAATTTGCTTTCATCACCATGGGACAACCTGTATTAACTTAGTAGTTTGCCCTTCCTCATTAAGACTCTCAAAATTCTATGGAAACTCAGATGTGCACCACGTCTAGCTAAACCTAGACATTTCCGAAGAGCTTTCTCTGAAAGACAGGGCTGTTAAAGTCCTGGACAATGAGCCCCATTGTGTTTACTGTGTCTCACTGGGAGGACACATGTGAATCCCCTGCAGATAACCAGCAATAACAACATTAGATACACAGCCTGAAGCATGCTAATATACAACTTCAGATAGTCTGAGTTCAAACACTGTGCTGTAGTTAGCTAATTATGGTAACATTAAACTAAAACAGATCACAAAGGGATAGAAGCCTCTTCTACAGCCAATGGCCCCTTCATTACCTGGATTAACTCGTCTTCAGGCAGAGACACTGTAAAGTTCACATGGCACAGGCAGCAGGGGGTCATGGACCGGAGTTTGAAATATAAGCTCTGCATAAAAGAGAGGACTGGTGACTTAATTCTTCATTTCATGCTAATGATTTCACGGAGTTAATTCTGTCCATGAGCATTACATCACAAAGGTGAAAACCAAGAAAGGAGGCCAAAGCTGGCCCCTTCTCTTTGAAAGTACAGTGTCAGTGACTGCTGTCAGGAAGGTTGAAGTGTTTGCAGGATAGGATCATGTAAACACAGAGGACATGAAGTCACAGGCAGGACTATCTTGGAAGGGAGGGACTGAGGGGAGCCCAGTCACAGCATACACCACAATGAACTAACACAACTTTACTAAACCCACTACTCTATGCAAAGAGCACGCACCAATAAAGGTTTAACGTTTGTCAACAATTCTGGCTCTGACAACCATTCTACAAATGTACTAGGTTTTTATGGAAGTTAAGCTACTAAATTCAGTAGCTTTTTTCATAATACTGTCTCTTAGGAGAGTGAGGACAAGCTAGTGCCTCAATGTGGCACAGGTGAGACCTACAGGTCAGAAACAGCACATCCTGGGCCCGTGAGGCACTAGGGACAAAGGACAAAGTTAACCTGCCTGGTTCTGAGTGGCGGGCTCCTACCTTGAGCAAGTTCTCACACAGGCCGTTGAAGTTCTTATTGAGAGCTTGGTTAGTCAGGTTGAGGCTGCTCAGTCTGACCACTCTTACTGATGTGAACATCTGGGGGGGGGGGGGGGGGGAGACACAACAACACGACATCTTGTTCTTTTTTCCTAAAAGTCTAATAATTGATAAAACTGGCAATAATGAAGAAATAATGGAATTAAAAAGGATAGTATTTGTAATTTGTACTTGGTGTCAAAAAGAATAGGTATTTAAGTGAAACTTACTTATAATGTATATTTGTTTCAAATTAATAAAATGGTTTACCTGTATTTCTGATGTCCAATTATTTATGCCAGGCATAATTTCTGTATTACAACTATAAAAACCTGCCAAAACAAATTAAAATTAAAATTGATATTTTACTGATTATGGTTTTAGAAATGATGGTTCTCAACAATCAAATCTAAATATAAAACTTTCATTACTTTTGACTACATACTGAGTTCAATGCCAGCCTGAGATACATGATACATTTCAAAAACAATAAATGACTGAATTACTAAGTAACTAAAAAGAAAGCTAGCCCTCTCACAAATAAGAGCCAGAGCACTGATGCACACAGGCTTAATCTCAGAGCTAGCTTGCTGCATACCTGAAGGAGGGGGAACATCAGTAAGGAGGGAGTGCACATCTTCCATGGCATCAGTGTCATCGATCTGGAAACACAAAGATAAAACTACTAAATAACATGGCGCCAGTGTCTTGGATCTAGAAACAGAAAGATAAAACTACCACATAATCACTAAACACGAAGTTGTCCTGATTCCTTAAAATTACTTTCATTATCTGAAAGGCAGATTTAAGAACTAAAAACGCAGAGTCATTTCCCCCTGCCAACACATTTAACAAGGGGGCTGGAGACATGGCTCAGAGTTAAGGGTGTCTGCTGCTCTTTCCAGGACCCCAAACTGAGACACAACAGCCTGAAATGGCAGCCTCAGCAGATCCAGTGCCCCTGTGGTGAATGAGAATAGCTCTCACAGGCTTGCATATCTGAATACCTGCTTTCTAGATGGTGGAACTGCTTGGGAAGGATTAGGAGGTGTAGCCATGTTGGAGGCGGTGTGTCATTTGGGGTAAGCTCTGAGGTTTCAAAAGCCCATGACATTCTCAGTTAGCTCTCTTTGCCTCCTACTCGGAAATAAGGATAAAAGCTTCCAACTACTACTCCATCACAGCGCCAACCAGCCTGCTGCCATGCTCCCTGTCATGATAGTCAAGGGCTCTTAACCTCTGGAACCATAGCCTCAATAAACTCTTATCTTCTAGAAGTTGCCTTGGTCATGGTATCTCTTCACAGTAACAGAAAGTAACTAAGATAGATATGGTGATATTTTATTTGTACTGAAATGTGATTTTATTTGTATGTTAATAAATAAAGTTGCCCGGGGGTCAGAGCTAATAGCAAGCCATCGCAGAAGCTGGGTGGTGGTGGTGTACGCCTTTAATCCCAGCACTTGGTAGGCAGAGCTAGGTAGATCTCTGTGTGTTCAAGGATACAGCCAGCATTGGAGACACACGCCTTTAATCTCAATACCAACCATAGAAGACCTGGAGGTCTGTACAGACAGGCAGTGACGAGGCGGTCATGTGGTTGGGTTTACAACCAATGAGAAGGCAGAACATAAAGTCTTTATAAAGACAGACACACAGAAAGTAGGTCTCTTTCGGAGAGGTAGGACCACCACGATAGTGAAGGGTAAGGTTTTTAGCTCTTAGCTATTGCTCTGACCTCTTGGCTTTTATCTCTGTATTGGCTCTGTGTTTCTTATTTTAAAAAATGGTTGGTTACATCTACAGATAGACACCCCTTTCTTGCCTCTGCAGACACCCACACATATGCTCATAGACACACAGAGAGATACATGCATATAAACAAATAAAAATGTAACATAAAACAAAAATTCTAGCATCAGCAATTTCTTCACAGTAACAACTTCAAATACTTCTAAGTGAAATCTCTTATATATTGAAGTATACTGACTGAGGTTATGTTTATGCAGACTTTTCAAAATGCTTATTAAAGTACTCCCTATAAAATATAAACAACCCTAAATAACACCATAGTGTTCTTACATCACAACAGCCCACAGCCATGTTCACCTCTACTTCAGCTTAGCTGCCCAGTCATGGCCACACCTCAAGCCACGATTCCCCAAACACTACACAAGCAGGATCACAAGCACTCCCCATCCCTCCCTCCCCTTTCTGAATCTGTACCTTGCCCCCATCTTCTGCCCACACTAGCAGCACTTTTTCTTGTGTGCCTCTGTCCAACATGGATCCTAGCACTCTGAACCAAAATTCAAGTGCTGCTTAGCCACCTAGAGAGCTTGTTAAAACATTTTTAGGGCCCCACTTTGAAATTCTCTTTTCCTATATCTAAAGTAGAGTCTTAACAATCCCCATTTCTTGCAAACTCCAGGAAGTACTGATGTTTCAGCTGGGCAAGGTAACTTGTACAACCTCAGAGCCTAAGGCCTCCTTGAGCCACACTGCTCCTCCACTGATCTCCCTGTTCCCCATCTCAAACTGCAGAACAATGGAGAACAGACTACTACTTCTGTAAGTGAAAACTCAGGGGCCAGAGGGATGGCTCGGCAGTTAAGAGCATATAATGTTCTTGGAGAAGATCTAGTTTTGGTTCCCAGCACCCATGCTAGATGGTTCATAACAAATTCCTGGAACTCCAGATCTGAGGATCTAGATCTCTGTCTTTAGGGGGCACCTGCAAAAACTCATGAGGATGCACACACACACACGAATAAAAAACAAAGAAAGAAAGAAAGAAAGAAAGGAAGGAAGGAAGGAAGGAAGGAAGGAAGGAAGGAAGGAAGGAAGGAAGAAAGGAAGGAAGGAAGGAAGGAAGGAAGGAAGAAAGAAAGAAAGAAAGAACCTTTTATCTCACTTTAATTGCTCATCTCTCATGAAGGACGTTCGCAGGACAGTCAAAGACACTGTTTGGGACTCTCATCCCAACACAATTGTACTACCAGCTTCCAGAGTCACTGGGTAAAAGCACCAGACTCTACTCCCTAATATTGTTCTCACAGCATGCATATGTCATTCATTTCCTTCCATTCCATATTAAAGCGATCTCCTGTCTCTCCAAAAGCTAGTCTCAAGGCAGGGCAAGAGGCACTGATCTGAAAGCAGTGAACTTCTGAGCACCAGTCCATGGCTACTCTCTGGGAAAGGAGTTTACTTGATCTAAGTGTCTTTTTTTTTTTTCTTTTATAATTAATTTAATTTTACATATCAGCCACGGATTCCCTTGTTCTCCCCCTTCCCCACCCCCCCCCACCCCCCCCCCCCCCCCCCCCCCGCCTTCCCCCCAGCCCAACCCTCATTCCCATCTCCTCCAGGGCAAAGACTTCCCCGAGGATTGAGTTCAACCTGGTAGTTGGATAAGTGAGACAACTGATTAACCTGATCTGTGTGGGAGGCATCCAAGCAGTGGGACCGGGTCCTGTACTCAGTGCTTGAGTTGGCTGTTTGAAACCTGGGGCTTATACAGGGACACTTGGCTTGGCCTGGGAGGAGGGGATCTGAGTGTCTTTTAATAAAGTATCTCCTGCACTCAACAAGAACACACATTACTCAGTATTCAATGAGATTATTACATATTGCATATAGCAATACTTATCAAATACAATCATAAAAAGTGATAATTATACTGTGTTTAAAATGGTACATTTTCTGATTTAAAGTCATTCAAGTTTCAAAGGTAACTCCAAATGTTTACTATTACAGATAAGTGTCCTTTCCCCAAAATGCTGGGACCAAAACCCTCCAGATTCCAGTGTTCCAGACTCTGACATGTACACAGATTTAAAGAGTTGAACATTCCTACTCCTAAACTCAAAGACTAAATTGCTCCAAAAATTCAAAACTTTTAACATGAACTTTCTAATTTTTTTAGTGGGGCAGAGGATAGGGGGACAGGACTCATGTAGTCCGAGCTGGCCTTAAACTCACCATCCAGGCTGGAGTACCGAGATTACAAACTTAAGCACCAGGTCCAGTTCACATGGCGCTGGGGATCATGTGCAAGGCCTCAGGAATGCTAGGCAAGCACTTTGCCAAATGAACTACATCCCCAGCCCCAAAATTTGGAATTTCTGGGCAATTCAGATCTTAGGTCTTTGATGAGGTTGCTCAACTTGCCTGCTACTATTATTCCAACCTAAGTGGCTTCAGAGCTGCCAGCATTACATCAAGTACCCAGTGCTATCTTCATGCCTGTAACTTCTACAATTTCCCTGAGACTTGTAAGGTATAAATTATATAATATTTATCTTCTCAAACACTTAGGACGTTATTCCAATACAGTCTTACCTCTAAAACAAATGCATCTTTTTTCCCATGTGAAAGGTCTAATTCTGTAACTTCATCAGAACTTTCTGACTGCGATCTTAAAAGTCTTGAGCGCTGTCTAGGTTCTGGGATGGGTGACCCTAGAATCTCTTCAGGTACCTCCTGAAAGACATGCAATTATGGAAGCTGAAGTTTTTGTTTGGTTTTCAAGTTTTATATTAATAGGCAGCTTCCTGAGGAGGAAAAAAAACCCACACAGTATATTCAGTAAACTCTATATTTAAGTTTAACCTTTCCGATTATAGAAGACATGGATATTTCCTTTCATCTACAAAAGCTGACATCTAGTGCACAGACAGGGAACTACTCCAGGCTACAAGTATCTCTACATACTGTATGTCTTTTCTATGAAAAATTTCAAAGTACAATTGCCTATATAAAGATTTAACAATTTTCCAGGAAAGGATACTACTCTTTCATAGCCTTTCTTATCCAGTAGCAATTTTTAAAGCTCTAACACAGTTAAATGTAAAGAATAAGAAATGTATGTGTATATGACAAGATAATACATACATATACAAATGCATGTACAAGATATACAATTTATAATGCTAAATAACCTTCAACAGCAACAAAACTGGTCTTTACAATCAATATATGATGATATCATCCTGCATGGATGTGTGTGTTTTAAACAGCCAATGACCTGGGCTGCAGTGTGACAAAAGGCAAAGCCTGCTACTGATGTACCAGAAACTCCCTTTACAAAAATGAGGTTTATAACAGAGGTTTTCCAAAATGGCATGTTAAATGTTCACTGCTGGTGTGTGCCTAAGGAAAAAGGCAAGCAGTGCAGTTCAAAGCTACCTGTGGAGTACTGTTGTTACACACGTTCATGTTATGCATAGAACCTGCCCTGCACATATCTAAAAGGATGTCATTATAAAGAATGAAAGATGAAAAAAGGATGCAACTCTTAAGCTACAAACTAAATGAAGAACGCATGTAAGGCAGCAGTTCTGGTGTTTTGTGGTTTTTTTTCACTAAATATAAGACACTTCCTCTTGTGATTGTGTGTTTTGAATTCTGTGACTGCCTCTGTTTGCTACTAAATGGTAACACTTTGGTATTCGGTATATTTAAGTCTCATATGTTAGGTTTTTACCACTAGTATTATTATTTTAAAAGTTTCTCTTACTTTGATACCATATATTATCTTAATAAAATTTGAACATCAAAATATTTTCAATTTACTGAGGAAAATCCAATAAGAACAGTCAGCTAGGGCTATCTTCCTAAGAGAAGGAACACTGATCCACATTTCTATTTTAATATTAAGTGGCTAGAGAGATACTCTGGATTAAGAGATTAAGAGCACACACTTCTCTTGCAGAGGACCCCATCACCTGTAAATAGAAGTTTATGTCCCACCAGCAACTCCCAAATACTAGGCAGCTGCTTCCCAAATTGTCACATAAAGGCTTATATTAATTACCAATGCTCAGCCAGTAGCTGAGGCTTATTACTAACTAGCTCTCACGCTTAAATTAACCCATAATTCTTATCTATGTTTAGTCACGTGGCTTAGTACCTTTTCTCAGCATGGCATTCTCATCTTGTTTCCTCTGCATCTGGCTGGTGACTCCTGACTCCGCCCTTCCTCTTCCCAGCATTCTTAATTTGGTCACCCCATCTATACTTCCTGCCTGGCTACCGGCCAATCAGCATTTTATTAAACCAATTCGAGTGACGAATCTTTACAGTGTACAAGAGGATTATTCCATAGCATTTCCCCTTTTTGTCTAATTAAAAAGGAAAGTTTTAACTTCAACATAGTAAAATTATATACAACAAAAACATTTATTAAGTAAGAATTACAGTAACACTATCTAATCCATTTGCATTTGGCAAAATTAGAGAAAATAATTATCCATCTTACCTTGGTGAGTCTAAAGTTTTGTGTCTAATTTACTTTCTATTATAACTAAGAAAAGCTATAATTATAACTATTTAGTTTTCAACTCCATCAAAGACCCAGAAGGATAAAATGTTACCTAATGACAGGGACATCAGGCTGCTCTACACTTACTGTTTACTCAGGTAATATTATATCCTTCTCAGGTCTCTGATGGAGTTGAAGACTAGATAGTTATAGTTTTCCTTGTTACCAGACTCAGAAAAGAAACTCACTAAAGAGGTGTAAAGTGTATGAGGTTGAGAGACAAAAAAAGATAGTTTTGGGTTGGTAATACAAATTAGGATAGAAAGTAAATTAGGTACAACACTCTGGACTCACCAAGATAGGATAGATGGAGTATTTTCTCTGAATTTGTCAAATGCTAATGGAATAAACATTGTTAATGTAATTATTGCTTATATATATATATATATATATATATATATATAGTTATTGTACTTATTGTATGTAGTTTTTCTATGTTAGTTAAAACCTTCACTTTTTCTTTAGACACAAATTGGGAAATGTGTGATATTTTGTTTGTGTTCTGACAAATAAATCTTGCCTGGAGATCAGAGGGCAGAACTTGCTAGCCACTAGTTAACCATAGAGGCTAGGCAATGGTGGCTCACACCTTTAATCCTAGCAAAATCAGAAGGAGACAGGAAAATAAGGTGGGTCAAGACAGGATCTCAAAGTCTGAGGATTCAGAAAGCTAAGAAGTGACTGTGGCTGCTCCTTTGCTTCTCTGATCTTTCAGCTTTTATCCCAATATCTGATTCCTGGTTTTATTTGATATGACTACTTGGGATCACGCTTCAATAACCTTTGTCAGGTAGCTAATAACCACCTATAACTCCAGCTCCAGAAAATCTAACAACCTCTCTGGCCTCTGCAAGCACATGCACTCACATGCATATACTGCTGCCCTCCCATATATACATAACTGAAATAAAATCTATAGTTTAACATTAACATATTAAAAGGTGGGTATAGAATGACTGCTATACAAAATTTAAAATGTGAACAGTGGCATGGTAATGAACCCTGGGTATCAACCTTGTCAAACAATTTTTAAAAATAAAGACAATAGCCGGGCGGTGGTGGCGCACGCCTTTAATCCCAGCACTCGGGAGGCAGAGCCAGGCGGATCCCTGTGAGTTCCAGGCCAGCCTGGGCTACCAAGTGAGTTCCAGGAAAGGCGCAAAGCTACAAAGACAATAAAATACTTAGTGTCTGAAGTAAGGAAAGACATACTGGAATAAAATCCACACCTGCCGAAATTTTAAAATTCATAACAGATTTTCTTCTTCCTCAAAAACCCAAGTTGTGTGAAAGAAAGAGCAACTCAATGTTCACTGGGTAAAGTAACTTAATTTGTATTCTTATTAAGTACATCTTCAAGGGGCTCTTATAGCCATCCCTCAGTATTCACAGGACCCCATGGATATTAAAATATGTGGGTGCTTAAGTAAGCTTCACAAGATGCCATAGAATCTACACATAACGTACACACAATTTGCTGTGTGTGCTTTAATTATTTTGTAGAAATGGAGATCAAATCTAGGGCCTAGCACATGCTAGGCCAGTGTTCTACACTGACACTTGGCAGGCAGTGTGACTGCAGAGCACATGAAGGAAAGCCTCTCCAGTGGGCGATAAGGACGGAGTCACATAGGCAGTCCACAGTGAAAGAGCAGCTGGCACCACTGGAACCAACAAACAGAAATGACACAGAGCTCCAGTGTAGCTTCATTGAACCCAAAAGGCATAAACACAGTAAGTGCATGTTCAAATACCAAAATATCATTACAAAAGGAAAACAATGTATTGCAAACATTATTCAGCAAGGGCTATGACAGCTTTTTAAGACTATTTTTCAGATATTAACATAGTAACATATCAGCATTTCATTGCTTTTAAGTTTCAAGTCACTGTCCAACAGAAACAAAGCAAGTGACACTAGATAATAAAGAAAAGACAGAACTAATTTTAATGAAAATTATTCTTATCTAATTATATTCAAAACTTTACATTTTCAACATGTAATTAAAATAAAAACATTGATGAGATATTTTACCCTACTTTTATACTGTTTGCCCCAATTCAAGCTAGTTGGATACCAAGGTCCCAGTGGCTGCCACACTGAGCTTCATAGTTCTCATCAAATCCCTGAGTTCTCAGTCATCTTCACCACTTTGCTCCAAGAACATGACAAAAGATATAGGTGAAGCGAGAATTCTGGAGCAGTATTTTAGAAGACCAGCCCAAACTAGAATTATGTATTTATTTATGTATATGTTTATAAGTGGCTATATGGTCTGTGGGCAGGACCAGAGAAAACTTCAGCTACAAATGGCACCCAACGACTCGAGTTTCCACTTAAAATCTGAGAATACTTAATAGGTAATTCTAAATGGAGCCAAAAACAGGTTCCTGCTTCATGTCTCAGGTGGGTGGCCGCAACATGTGGTCTTGAGCTGCTCTATGGTGGGTTTGTGGCATGTGGCCTTGACCTACAGAGGTGTCTCCAAGCTGCACACTATGCTGCATGGTGGATATAGCTTTTGCTAATACAATAAAAAAAAAAAAAAAAAAAGGGTTTCTGGGTTACACACTGCTTTAATAGAGGCATAAACCCACTGCCTCCCAGAGTCCGGCAGTGAGCATGGTTCCCCCAAAGCTGGCAGTAAACATAGTTCTACCATGTTGGAAAGCTGAGGTGGGCAGAGCCAGCAGCCAAAGCTGACATTTCAGTACTAGACACTGCAGTTTAAAGCTAGATTCACAATAAGTCACATTCAGATTAAATAAACCTCTAAATGGTTTACAATGTGTGTAAAAATGTACATAGGCTTGGAATAGAGAAGAAAATGAATATAAACAGTTATATAAAGAAATAGTTTTTAAAAATAAAGTCTTTAAAGGGACAGTAAAAGTAATATAAAAAATAAGCCACATAAAGATGGAAATCACACAGCGAGTCTGGATTATATTGTCTTTGGGATTTTTAACTGCAGAGAGACATTTGATTGTAAAAGCTGCTGAGTTAAATCAATATGTATATTTTAAAGGTATCTTGATTTCAAAATTTATGTCTAAGGATATGTTGCTTTGGAAAAGAGGTTCTGCTTTTGTTTCCAGAGAAGATGAGAACCTGTGGATTGCTTCCAGGCTAATACGGTTTGATCAGCCAAGACCCCTCAAAAGGTCTCCAATGACACCATGGCCCAGATCATCCCACATCCAAAATCAACTTCAAGACAACTGGCTCAGAGAATACAGCATCACAGACTACTCCAGTCAGGACTTGACCATAATTCTTAATTCTTTCTCAGGCTCTCCATTAGATTGTCAGCACCTTCATCCAGCAAGAAGTAGTATGAGAAGTGATGCCCAAATTTCTAAAATATTGTTCACAAATGTTTATTTTTATTTAAAGTAGGTTGATTATGAATGCAACCTCTTTCTAAAGAAGAAAAGAGATTATAGATATGATAGGATAAAGAGAGCTTGTTTAAAATGTTTTCAGTGCTATGGATTTTAGTTTATTGATACAAATTTAAAGTTAATTTTGTTATACTGTATTATATTTCTAATCTTGTTTAAGGTACTATGTTTGTGCAGCTCATTTAAATTATAATGGATAATTAAGAAATACAGATTAATAATTAGTCTTCTATGATAGTCAAACTTATAGTCATGTTAGTTAAGTTTTCTAGATATACATATATATAATTCAGTCAGGTAGGTAGTCTTCAAACACTTCAAAGACCTACAGAATATGGCATTTAAAATGTTTTAAAAACTTAGACTTTCTGGACAGTGAGACATATCTGCTCCTGGCAGGACCAATTTACTTCAGAGAGAATGGGCATCGAAGATACTCCATATGAAATTTATCTTCTTCTTGACAAAAATAGCCATTTGGACAAGAAACTGTTCTTGCCTGGAGTGCTTAACAAAATGTTGTATCGACTGGACATGCAGGACCCAAAGAAAGGTGACCACTGAACTTTGCATGGCAAAATGGTCCTTCAGGTTCCTGCTTCGCAGAGGAAACTGCCAGACATTCTACAGGACACAGAGAGGAGTAACTGAGAGACTCTAGGCCTGTGGGCTGAAGATGAATGCCTTGATGTTACAGAGGAACTTTGGGTAACTGTCCAGGCAGGCACCTGTCTCTGTCATTCTAGAATTTTTGGAAATTGCTTACAATGCTCTTCCTGTTTACTTAGGTAATATTATATCCTTCTGAGGTCTTTGATTTAGTTGAAGACTAGATAGTTATAATTTTCTTTAGTCATGATAAAAAATGAATTAGATATAAAACCTTACTTAGACTCACAAATATAGGATAAAAAAAATTTTCCTTAATTTTACAAAATACAAATAGACTAAATATTGTAGCTGTAATTCTTGCTTGATAACTATTTTGTTATACATAATTTTACCATGTTGAAGTTAAAACCTTCCTTTTAAAAAGAAAGAAAAGGGGAAATGATGGGAATGTCGTTCTATATGCTGTGAATGTGTTGCTCTGATTTGGTTGATAAATAAAACACTGACTGGCCAGTAGCCAGGCAGGAAGTATAGGTGGAATAAGCAGACAAGGAGAATTCTGGGAAGGAAAAACAGAACTGAGAAGAAAACGCCAGACCACCTTCCAGGGAGCAGCATGTAATGGCACACAGGTAAAGCCATGAAACACGTGATGACATATAGATTAACAGAAATGAGCTGAGTTTAAGTGTAAGAGCTAGTCAGTGGTAGCCCTGAGCTAATGGCCGAGCAGTTTTAATTAATATAAGCTTCTGAGTGATTATTTTATAAGCGGCTATATGGTCTGTGGGGCTGGGCAGGACCAGAGAAAACTAGGCTACAATTCAGACTATGACTGAAGGCATCTGTAGTGTGTGACAGTGTGATGCAGCTACAAGCTTGGCGAGCTTGACTATGGCAAGAACAGCAAGCAACCTGAAAGAAGGAGCAGTCGCTGAGACATCCCTGCTATTGCACTTTCACACTAAGCAATCTTTTTTACCAAAAGGGATCTGTTTCCTTTTTCTCTCATGAGGGGTCTCACTCTGCAGCCCAGGCTGGCCTCAAACACACAGCAATTGTTCCACTTCAGCTTCCCAAGTGCTAGGATTACAGATGTCAACCAATATGCCAGCCAAATATGAGCATTTTAAACCACTTACATAACAACCATTTAACAAATATTTACTTGAGAGGCTAGTATTGTAAAGAGACCTTTCTATGTCAAGAAACACAGCTGTAATGGAGTTTTACTCTACAGGTCACAATAGGCAAGAGAAAAATGTTTAAACCCTTTGGGTATGTACAAAAGTCAAGCATGTGAACATGCACACACACATATGTTTAGAGCACACCCACATGGATATCTCAGGAAACAAACAGAGAAAGCGACAAGAAGCAACACTTGGAAGGAGAGTTGCACCTTGTCCATTCGATGTCAGAGGAGTCACATCCAAATACAGATGCTTAAGCAAAGACAGAAGGGGAGGTGGAAAACATTTCTGTACAAAATAAGATCTCCTCCAAACACGCTGCATCCAACCAGGAACTGCTACACTCACCATGCAGGCTCTATTCACTTACCGGAGGATTGATTTCATACAGTTCTTTGTTTCTGGCGATCGTGTCATTTATTTTCTTCTGCATGTGAGAGATGTGCTGTTCATAGGAGCCATCATTAGGGGTCTTCCCAGCAATCTGGATACCACCGGGTGTTGGTAAAGCTGCTAAGTAGACCCCTGTGGCCGACTTGTGAAAGTGACAGGGATATAATCAGACAGAACATCAAATGACAATGGCTTCAAGTTCCCTACCTAGGAATGCGCATTTCGCTCTGTACAAAAGACACATGGCCAGGGCATATCTGTAAGAACACACAAAAACACTCTGCTAACAGGTGTTGGTCTACTCAGGGAGGTTCCTAAGTGTATGGGAAAAAACTGTGAAAGGGGATCTCTAAGTAACCAACTATAGTTTTTAAAGCTTTTGCCTCATTATATTAAAAAAAAAAAGTTGAAATCTGAGCAGTTTGGGCAAGGGAATATGATGTTCTAGGTAAGTCTGTGCTTTCTTTGTGAGTTCCAGGCCAGTCTGGGCTATATAGTGTTGACACCATACCTCAAAATATCTAAAATAAATACATAAAAATAATTTGAAATCAAATATACCTTAGCAAAAAGAAAAAAGTTACTAAAACAGTTTTACCACCAATGAGTAGACAGTCTGCCTTTAGAAGGGCAACAGTAGAGGAGAAGAGCTGCAATCACATATAGAAAGGATGAGGTAAGAAATGCGAGCAGCCTCATCCCTGCATCTCATTCTCCCACTTACTCCATAGTCACCAACAGAAACTTTACCTGACACATCTATTTTACTATTTAACACAGTGACAATTTCTCATTCTACAGCAGTCACTCTACATTATGAGTATTGGAAAACTATGGGAACTATAAAGCAAGATAAAATCTGCACGTGCATGTGTGTTTAAGCTATCACAAGCAGAGCAAAAGGTAAAGAAATCTAAGCATTAAGGTAGTATAGAGGCACATGCCTGGAATCTCAGCTCTTGAGAGGTAGAGCCAAGAGGATCGGAAATTCAAGACCAGCCTCAGCTACATAATAAGTCCAAGATCAGCCTGGGCTCCATAAAACCGTATCTCAAAAAGAGCAAAAATAGGGCTGGAAAGATGTCAAGGAAAGGCATCCTCTGCCAAGTGTGATGACCTGAGTTCCATCCATGCAACCCACATGGTGGAAAGAGAGAAATCACTTCCACAGGTTGTCCTTTGGTCCCCACATGTGCACCATGGTCTGTGCATCATGGGGTGCACATACACACAAATAAATGTGAAACAGTAACAAGAGCAAAAAAAGAAGCATTAAAGTGGAGGCATGGGAAATAGGAGAGGCAGTTCTTTCAACTTTGGATATTTGTATATTTAATCCATCAACTGTCAACTTTTCGACATTCTATGATGACGTCTACACATCATCTGAAACTGGTTCTAGGCAGTAGTCTTCCAGAATGTAATCAGCATAGCCATAACTTAGCTCCTCATATCCACCACTAAGGAGCCCTGCCAAGCCTTAATATCACCTAAATACTTCTGGTCCATTCGCTGACTGATGACACACGACAGCCTTGAATTGCAGAACCAGATGGGCCTGGGTTTGAAACCACTGACAGCACATATGACCCTGTCACTCTGGAATGCCAGCCTGTGGCAGCACTGTCTTCTCCTCTTAAGTGACACCCAGCAGGGGCTCCTATGTCAGCCATCACAGAAGCTAGCTTTTGGATCGTGAGACTTGAGTACATACAGTGCAGCAGCACAGAAAATGACAGGTGGCTGTAAATGGCATCACTAGGAAACACAAAAGCATTACCTGGAGCAGGCCTTAGGTTACATCAATGCCAAAAACTAATCAATTCACCACAATCACATAATTATTTCCTACATACAAAAATGTACAGCTGAGAATGGTGGTGTATTCCTGTGAATACAGCACTCAGGAAGGTGAAGCAGAAGGATCATGATTTTGAGGCCAGCATGTATTAGCAAGAACCCTCCTCAAAATTTAAAAAATTAAATAAAATTTTCATACTTGTACTAATAAAAATAGGAAATAAAATAGGAAATAATTTTGCATCTTAACTATAAATTTTTATAGAGAAAAGACTAGAATATCCATAGATTTTTATAAGTTAAAACTTCTACATGTCTTTAAAATATGGCATTAAGAATTAAAATTTGAAAGCTGCCAACACACAGATGAAAATCCTGTAAATGTCAACGGCCCAAAATATGAAAATATAATAACAGAGTTCAGATTATTGGTTTCAACTCAATAAACTAGGAATAATAACTTTTAGACTGATCACAAAACCACATAAAAGCCAGTCACCAGACTCACTTCCTAAAGTGTCTCCAACCACTAAAGGCTGGATGTCTGTTTCTTTAGCTAAGTCTACTTTTGTTTGCTTATTCTTCTGAGACAGGTCCTTGCTGGGTGGCCCAGGCAGGCCTTGATCTCCTGATCCCTGCCTCAGATGCCTACGTGACTATAAGAATGCATCACCACATCTGGCTATGTTGTTTCTTGAACTATAAGAATGAACGACCACATCTGGCTATTCTGTTTCTTGGATTATAAGGATGCATCACCACATCTGGCTATGTTGTTTCTTGGACTATAAGGATAAAGACCACATCTAATTATTCTGTTTCTTGGATTATAATGATGCACGACCATATCTGGCTATGCTGTTTCTTGGATTATAAGGATGCATGACCACATCTGGCTATGCTGTTTCTTGGACTATAAGGATGCACTATGTGATAGTGCTATTCTTTATATAATCCTCTGAATCCCACACAACACACTCTACTGCTACAGAACTTACAAAAGACATGCAAAAGCTTCTCAACTCACCGCTAAGCCCATCAACATGTTTTCACCCACTGTGATCTGAATTCTTAGTCCAAACAAAGCATTCATTCCTTTGAGTTTAAGCTTGTTCATCAACTGAGTGTGGACTTCATACTCCATAAATGGCAGGAGATTACTGATAGCTGTAGCATTGGCTTCTGCCTGGGCTTTCTTTTTTAAGCGACATAACCTACAAAGGAGAATAATTCTGTCAGTGCACAGTATTCCTGGTACCATCCTAAGAAATGTCCAGATGGGGATCTGGTTCAGTGGAAGACTTCTTTAGATTTTTGATGTCTTGGGTCCAATCTCCAGCACCAATGAGAAACAGAAAAGACTCCCTAAAAGCATGCTTAGTAAAACACTAGTCTCAAACATATTTGCACTACTGTAATCTGTTGCTTTGCCATTTTGTCACTAGATGTGTCTTTACTGAAAGTTGTAGTTCAACTACATAGAAATTTAAAACCCCAGAATCTCGAGAAATAAAATAATTAATGAGCAGAACCACTATGTAATTAAAAATCTTAGGTTCCAGGGCTGGAAAATTGGCTCAGCAGTTAAGAACACTGGCTGCTGCTCCAGAAAAACAGATTTCAAGTCCACGCACCCACATAGCAGCTCCCAATCATCTCAAACTCCAGTTCTAAGGGATCTGATGCCCTCTTCTGGTCTCTGCAGGCACCAGATATGCACATGGTATACATGCATATCTCTATGCAGGCAGGCAAAACACCCACACACATAAAAATTTTTAAAAATCTTAGGTTCCATAATTGTGTGTGATAGGGGATAGATGAATAGCTGAGAGGAACAGTAGGTTACACACACAAGTTACTTGAGCATCTATTATATAACAGAAAGTCTTTAAAAGGACCATACTTAGATCAACACATACTCATAAACAACAATAATGACAACCAGAAGACATTGATAAAGGCACTGTGCTGAGAAAACACTTGCAATATAAAAGTAAACACAGTTTCAGACAAACAAAAACAAACATTCATCACCAACAGATCATCAAAAAATACTAAAGGATATAAATTTAGGGGGAGAGGGAGATAATCCCAGAGGGAAGCAGAAGATAGAAGAGGAAAAACACCAAATAGAATAGAAACATATCTTTATGAGGTGGGTAAGGTTGAAAGCATTGGGTCATGCCTTAAGCAAAGAAAGAGCTGTGACATGCACAGAGAGCACTCCGGCCAGAGGAAACTCCAAACTGGAAGGTGATGATATGCAGCCCCAGAGCCAACCAAGAAACACCACAGCAGCTAGGTGAAGAGCTCGCCAAAAATCCACACATATAAACTCCAGCCCTTTGTTTAAATAAATGAGAGCTTGCTTGCAGCCTTCCAGAGTCTGTGTCATTGACTCTGCATCTACCTACTCCCCCACCCCACCCCACCGTCCTAGGGAGCAGAAACAGCGAGACCCCAGCTGCAGAGTCAGCAACATCTTAGAACAAAACTCAATGTAACTTTGGAATTAAGCTGTTGTGTGAAAGTTAAGAGGACAATATCAATAATTCCCTGGACATGAATGGGGTGCTGTTTACTTACAGAGATGCGCAGGAAGTGGGGGACCATCAGTCCAACTGGAACAATGTGAGACATATATGTCTCATCATATTAGAGTGCAAAGTAGAGAGCTCTGTAGCTCTGAAGCTCAGAAGCATGTTTACACTGGACTTATAAATATGTCCTCACAGGCATAAACATAGCACACATACCTGTAAGTCGACAGAGGGTCCAAACCCATGACTCCCATTAGGATGAGTCAACTGACTGAAGAGCATTCACTATGTTCAGATAAAGACTCGGTGTGACACTGTGAAATCAAAGGAGTCTCAAGGAGAAAAGGACCAAGTGTTTCACTACCACTGAAGTTTCAAGATGAGGACAGAAACACCCAAGGGACCAGGGAACCTGGCAGCTGTTGGTGACCTAGATACTTTGTGGGGGAACAGCCCCCACACTTATTTACCAGAAACTCTTGAGGAATGAGGGATAAGAGACTTAGTCAGAAATAGAGAGGGAGAAACAAAGAAAAACACAGGATAGACTCAGGTGGGCCTGGATCCTTATCCCCAGCCCAGAACTTTATTCCAAAGGTCTATTTATAACAATGCCAAGGGGTGGAGCAAAAGACCCCCCCCCCCCGCTAGTTAGACCCTTATAAACACCTGGTACCTGGGTTCATGGTCCAATCAACCTCCCATGCAGTCCTGCTGGACACAGCCACTAGGAAAACTAGTGGGCTCCAACAATACTTAAAGCTCTTTGCTTTAAGTGTCACACTGTAGGATGTCCTATTCTAATGCTGAACAGCTGAGTGCCACGTGAAACAGTATGGAACACAATTCTAAAAAAAAAAAAAACTAAACACCTAGTTCCAAAAAATATCAGAGGTCTCTAAAGCAGTTGATGTTTAGCCACATTCCAAGCCAGTAGAAAAGTTAATGCATGCATATAGTAGAAGCTTGTACAACAAAATTGTAGAATATTATTTTAAGATGTATTACATTTGTTTGTGCTGTGGAACGTTTTTTTAGTGATGCAAAGATGTGTTGCATTCTTTTATGCTGCACTTGTTTAACTCTGTGACACTGTGTATCTTTGCCTGTTAAAACACCTGGTGATCTAATAAAGAGCTGAACAATAGTGAGGCAGGAGAAAAGGACAGGCAGGGCTGGTAGGCAGAGAGAATAAACAGAGGAGAAATCTGGAAGAAAGAAGAAAGAACAAGAGAACAAATGGATGATATCAGGGACCAGCCACCCAGCCAGCCACGGAGTAAGGGTGAAAGTAAGATTTACAGAAGTAAGAAAAGGAAAAGGCCCAGAGGCAAAAGGTAGATGGGAAAATTTAAGTTAAAAGCTTGCTAAAACAAGCCAAGCTAAGGCCGGGCATTTATAATTAAGAATAAGCCTCCATGTATATTTACTTGGGAGCTGGGTGGTGAGCCCCCAACAAACCAAAAGAACTAAAGAGCCAGAAGAGTAAAAAGCAAAAACAACCAATAACACAGAATTGAAACATTAAAGAAGTTCTTGAGTGTTATAGAGAGTGCTTTTTTGTCAGCTGTATAAGGGCTAAAGACAAAGTTCAAATAGAATTGCCCAGTTGGTCCAGGATCAACATGTCAGATACAACAGATATTGTACAATAGGTTTATGACTCTGTACCTCATGGTTTTTCAGAGACATCAGATACAGTTTTCACAAACATACCTTGCCTGAATAAGACAACCTTTTCCAACAACGACTGCATCAGTGGGCAGGTCTATTGTTGTAAAGAGAACATCAGGAACTTTTTGTTTCCTGCAGTTGTAACAATATGTGAGATGAGCTGGAAACGGCATGTTTAGTTCATCATATGGTATATGGCAGAATCCACAGCCCACAGGCAAATTTTCTTCAATCCTATGTAAATATATTTAGAAAATAATTAGGCACTCTACTCAAGATCCAATACCTAGTCATCCTTAAAAAAAAAAAAAAAAAAAGAAAGAAAAAATAGCAAACAAGTGTCATAGAGCATTTCTAAAATATCTATGACATTTAAACAGTATATAATATCTGTGTATAAACCCATACAACTTATACCAGAGCAGTGGGAATACTGCTGTGACTGATAAATTGCTAGCAACCATGAAATCAGAGCTATTACTAGTCCTCTAAGGAAAAAAGAGTCATGTTACACTAATCCTGTTTGCTCATTTGCCACAATGTGACAGAGATGACTTCTCATGCAAAAATTAGGCGAGTGAATATTATAAAAACAGAAGGATCGACAGAAAGGGTAGCATTTCCCTAATGGTTAGTAAATACAAACACACACCAAACAAACAAAGAATAACAACTCTTGGTTGCCCACAGGAACTGAATGGTAAGATATTACTGAAGACACCATATGCTTTGGTTGCAGGACACATAGATACCAAGCTAGAACTGACCTGCAAACCTTTACCCACCCTGCCAACCAGCTCACAGAGTACTAAGTGATATTCAGGCTTCTGGAGGAAAGTGTTACCCAGTAGTGGAGCCTGTGAATTACAACACCAAAATTTCAGGCAAAATGTGGTACAATTGTGGCAAGACTACCATTAGTAACCAACTGCTTTCTGATTGGATTTGAAGCCCACTCCATAAGAAAGAACTCATACCTAGTACTAGTCAGGAGCCCATGGCTGGAGAGGTCATAGAGTCAATTGAGGAACCTACTGTTGTCTTGCTAAATGGACATGGTGTCAAACAGCCTTCTAGACACTTACATTTACATCCATAAACTAATACTGATCTTAGCCTCGTTCAGAGAAGCTTCTATCTGCAGTGGGAAGTGGTTAATGCAGAGACTCATACATGGTAAAAGTGCTGAGAATAAGTGTCTCAATGTTGAGTGCTCAGCCCTAAACAAAACATCTGTAAAACCAACCCCCACTGTGGTCAGGGAGCATTGCAGAAGGGCGGAAAGAATTACGAACACAGGAGGCTGGGGAGGAGTTCTGTGAAACACTGTCTTCTGTAAATGACATGACCATTTACTCATGAACACACAGCCGCTGTAGTTACCTACACAAGATCTGCATAAAATAGGGACCACTAATATCCCATCGTGCTTGAGGGAGGAGACCCTGAGACCCAGTCCTGCTTGAGGCTACTGATATATAGATAGTTAATGGCTGCTGAGGGAGGAAGAACTGTCTTCCGTGGAGTGGTCATTGGTATGTCGTCCGTGCTCCAGTAATTAACTTCCAACCCACGTTCCTAGAGGCAACCCTAATTAAATTCACTGGGACAGCGAAAGACATGAAGCAGAGGGGACCTGTTGGGGACAAGAGGTGTTCCAGTGGGAGCAAGAGGGTGATGAGAGATGGTAACGGATGACAAAATGACCATAATACACTAAATACATGTGCGAAATTACCAAAGAACAAAACATAAGAATTATGGGAAATTTTTAACAACAAAAAAAGTGTCTGAAAAGAAAAAACAGTGTTAGAAAAAGGTATACACTAAGATTTCTTATTTTTAGTAACTATTTTAACATTCCTAAAAGGCCAAAAGACCTACTTCATATGACATACATATAAAAAATTAACCCACAACCACCCCATTCACTGCAAGCGGTTCATAAACAATGTGACTCCACACCACTTACTTAACCCATCACAGCCTCTTCTATAAAACCAGAGTGACTATTTTGAAATGTTTTTTGGGGTTTTCTTGTAAAATTAAGAAAGCTACAACTAAATATACCTACCCTGCAAACATAATCTCCTCCTGACAGATGCAAATCCAAGTCTATTTAACCTGAATCAGCTGGGATACCACATCAGCCTGCTAAGCCACAATTGACCTCTTCTTTGAATTACCACTTATTTGAACTCAGGAGGATGACTTAAGTAGAACCATTTTTAATTAAGCACTCTGCACAGATTTGAGTATCTACAGCAAAATCACCAATCACAAAAATCAGAGCAGTATAATTTATAAAAAACATTTGAAACAAGAAGTATAGAAAGAATGTTCTCTGAATACTGAGATTAAGGGAATCATTTTTCTTTTTTTTCTTTTTTTTAAAGATTTATTTATTTATTATGTACACAGAGAAGGGTGTCAGATCTCATTACAGATGGTTGTGAGCCACCATGTGGGTGCTGGGAATTGAACTCAGGACCTCTGGAAGAGCTGTCAGTGTTCTTAACCTCTGAGCCATCTCTCCAGCTCTCATTTTTCTTTCTACTCTGATGTTCTCCAAATTATGTCTAGTATGCACTAATAATCCCATGAGTGTGAAGGGGATCTGGTTAGAGTAGTCAGCAGTAAAGGGAGTTGCCACCCAGTCTGACCACTTGAGTTTGATCCTTGGGACCCACACGGTGGAAGGAAAGAGCTCACAACACATACAAGTTGTCCTCTGACTACTACCCACATGGCATGGCATGTGTGCAACCACACACACACACACACACACACACACACACGCACGCACGCACGCACGCGCGTGCGCACGCACACAATAGATGTTTTAAAAATATTTTATTAGCATTTGCTATACCCTTCTAAACCACAAAACAAATACCAAGGACGTTTTGGAAAACTTATCAAATTAGGTTTCTAAGACACTGAGGATGTAGCTCAGTGGCAAAGCACTTGCTGAACATAACAAAATCCTAAATTCAACCACCAGTCATCTTCTACCTTACTCAAGAATGCAGTTAGATGGAGATGTCCCTGAGGCACAGCAGACTGTAGCCTGCCCAGCAAGCATATGTCCTGGTTCATTCCTCCGCCCAGGAGCTACACTATGCATCAGGCAAATCCCTCAGTAGTATAGTCCAATTTCTGAACAATGTCCCCGACTTTGAAGGCTCTAGAATATAGAATGGCCAATATCCATTCAAAAGACACTAACTAAAGTCCTCTTCTTTACCAATGCTAGCATATCATTCTACATTATTTCCTCTTGCAAAGTTATACTTAATTGGAACATAGAGGACTTTCGTATTTTTTTCCTTAATTTATATAATTAAGTTATTTTTATCACAGTAGATGCCAATATTAAGCTAATAATTCTAATATATTTAAATATATTTATTTACATACACATTGGATAGTTTCATCTGTTGATAAAAACATTTTTTTTTGTTTTTTTTTTGTTTTTCGAGACAGGGTTTCTCTGTGTAGCTTTGCGCCTTTCCTGGAACTCGCTTTGGAGACCAGGCTGGCCTCGAACTCACAGAGATCCGCCTGGCTCTGCCTCCCGAGTGCTGGGATTAAAGGCGTGCGCCACCACCGTCCGGCTGATAAAAACATTTTTTACATTCATAGACACTAACAGTTTAAAGGTTACAATAATTCAGTAAGTTAAAAGTAAGCTAATTTTACCTAACACTTTCATTTTCCATTTCACATGTATTAAAGTTATTTTTCATGAAGCTTTTAAGCAGTTTAGCACAATACAGTAAATGCTTTTCTTGTTTTGTGAAAGAGGAATTTATGAAAATGAATTCTGTTTGTGAGGTCGAGACAAAAAGAGGAAAAGAAAAGTAAAAGGAATTAAAAGGGTATCCTTGCGATCCTTCTGCTGTTAGTCCCACATGGACTTCATCCAGACACCAAAGACGATGTGTAAGGCAGAATGTTGTGGGATATTCGTGCACTGTGCGAAAATGTATTTCTGTGATTGGTGTAAAAAAAGCTGAAGGCCAAAAACTAGGAAGAAGTTAGGTGGGACTTCCAGGGACAGAGAGGACTCTGGGAACAAGAAGGGAAGAGACACCGGGAGACAAGGAGAGGAAACAGGAGGTGTAAGATAGAAGAGAGGTAATGCCACATGATAGAATGTAGATTAATATTAAATGGATTAATTAAAGTTATAAGAGCTAGTTAGAAACAACCTAAGCTATAGGCTGAGCTTCCATAATTAATAAGAAGTCTCTGTGTAGTTATCTGTAGGCTAGCTACAAGGGTAGAATCCTGAACATCTATTACTAAGTGCCTGGTACTGGCTATGACACTCCCCAACTATCGGCCAATTACACAGAAAACTCTCCCAAGCTGAGACATTGAAGAGTCCACCTCTCCCTTCTGCTTAGGAAAGAAGTTGTGACAACCTCTGATCCAAAGAGCCCTCCACAGTGCCTTCCTGCAGAAACCGCGGGTTCAGTACAGCTGCCGTGCCAGATGCCGATAAAATACAGACTTCTTCACTAGAAAAGAGAGAGAGAAACACAGGTTAACATTCCCAACAATAAACCTTCAGAAAACACTACATATCAAGAGTGACAAATTGAGTCCAAGTCAGACAGTCCCATATGTTAGATAGTACCTGAAGACTACGCCCCTAAACCTAGGGCAGAAACATAAGCAAAGCACATTATCAAATGCAGAGGGCAAAAATTGCCACAAATTAAAAATTGAAAAAGATAAATTAACAGTAATAGCTTCCTGAAAGATTAAATAGTTCATACTGTAAATCTAGTAACAAGCTACCAAACTATATTACTCTAAAAGTCTCTAAAGCTTTATTAAAATTATTCTAAAAGTACAACTATGAAAATTATCTGTAGTGCTATAGTTTCATCTGAATGAGAATCACAAAAGTATCTAAAACAGTACCCAAAATATATTATATGAAACAAAGTGTATCATTCATATATGTGTGTATGTATATATATGTATGTATGTATATATATACATATATATGACAGAAAACTTATTTTAAAAGGAATTCTTTAAAAATTGCCTGTCTTAAAAGCAAAAATAATTAGGCAATAACAGATGTAACTGCTGAGTGGTATCACCCACAGCAAACTTTACCAGGATGGTCTTCAGCTACTCTGAATCTTCCCTCCCGCACGCTCCACATGCGCGTGTGCTCTCTAGAATCCACACGTGCATCTTCTCTGCATTTGTGTCATTCATGTTCATTCTCCACGGCTTAGTGCAAGCGTCAGTCATCACTGACACTTTTAAATGACAGTACACTCATATTCCATTTCCACTAACTTTCCTACCCTATTTCAGACTTCTGGTCCTCTGGGATCCTGAAGCAGCCTGGGATATCAACAATAAAACTTACTTCTCCAACAGAATTTAAATTTCATGGCAAAAATCATGTCTTAACCATCAAATCCTTCAGACATAAAAGCATATGGCACTAAACAAGGCAGTACTTCCTACTAGGGAGCAAGGTGGATCAGTTACACTAAGTCAGTAGTTAACAAGAGCAGAAAAGCTACTACAGAGGCTGGAGAGATGACTCAGTAGTTAAGAGCACTTGGTGCTCTTGCAGAGGACCCAGGTATGATCCCCAGTACCCAAAGGGTAGCTCACAATCACCTATAACTCCTGTTCCAGGGCATCCAACAGGCACACACATAGTATATATACATGCATGCAGGCAAAACATTCCTACACATAAAGAAATAAATCTTAAAAAAGAAAAAAAAATCTACTCTGTGGTAATAGAAAGGTTTAAAGGTAGAATTGTGGCCTGAAACAGCAAAAAACACAAAATAATAAATAGCATAGCTTAGTAATATTCGTATTTACTGCAGGCTAATGACTTTTCTCTGACAGTAATGATCAACACATGAGCAGAGAGGCTGGTGGGAAGAACTATGCAGAGCGGAGTGCAGAAGAAAGACAGCACAGGGTCAAATGGCTCTTAATCACCACAATTATCAACTTTCTACAAGGGCATGAAGATGGGGCTCAAGGATGGTAAAATAACCAAAACCAAAGAAAAATATATGTGCCTAAGACAACAGGGTCAAAACTGAGTAGAAAGGAGCAAGTGGTAATGGTGGGAAAACATTAGGTTCTAATCTGAGAGTAAAATTTCATAATTTCAAATTTTTAAAATGGTTTCAATGGATCCATCAACAAGTCCAAAACATACTCAAAAGTGGCAATAGAAGACTTAACAACAAGAAAGGCTGATTCTAGCTGCAAGGAGGGAGAGCTGACACGTGACCAGGGCAGAAGGACAACTGGAGACAGGAAGCCATCAGCAGAGAGCATGGCTCTGGGCACAGAGGAGAGACGGTGCAGGTGAAAGGTAGGAAGAAAAGAACCCAAAGTACAAAAGCCCCTCCCCAACTTAGCAGTTAGGTAGGAGTGTTTCACTAGCAAGAAAGTGTCCCATTCCAGCTTATGAATGAAAGCACAGTGGCTTTGCTTTTTTTCTTTATAGAAGGTCTAGGTAGCTCTTGGCTGGCCTGGAATTCACTATGTTGCCCAGGCTGGCCTCAAACTCACTGAGAGACCTCTGCCCTCCCAAGTGCTGGGATTAAGGCTGCCTGAAGACTAACTAGAGACAGTTGGCAATTCATTTACAAGACACCTACAGCTCCCTCCAAATGTCCCACTGGAAGGAGTCAGCAGAATCAGCAACTGAAGTGCCACAGGCCACGGACTACTAAGAAGGTGTGCCAGTTATACACTCGTATGACCCTTCAAAGCTCAGAACACAGTTTGTATCCTCATCATTTACAGAGATCAGGTGTGCAGGAGGCACCTAGAACCTCACTGGATACACTCAAGGCCCAGCTGGCCCCCCAACTGTGCTCCTCTTCTCAGACCTGCATCACATCTCTCCCCGCTCACAAGACAAGCCAATCACAGTGTCAGGAAATCCAAGCAGCCATTTACCAGATGCTAGTTGACTCGCTGTAGCCCACTACAGCATGGCAGCCTAAGGCTTTAGCATGTGACTTTATCTCTTGTCTGATTTCTGCCCACCATGCATCTCGAGTTTCTGGTTCATCTGAAAAATAAAGTTTAAGTCAATTGACCACTCCACAGCACATGATACATTAACAAGACATGTCTGCAGTAAGCCTGACTCTGGAGAGGAAGTACCGCCCCATACTTTACACTTCCCCTTTGTGAAAGTGCCGATTTCACACAAGAATCAAGATGGAGCTCTGCAACTTGACTGCTAGGACAGCCCACTCTGCTCTACTAGCTTTACTACTTCAAGGGACACTTGCAGGGCATGTGTTTCAGTAGAACGACATATATTTTAAGAGCTATAACTTCAAATGGAGGACTCAACTTTCCAGATTCCAATCTGGTTTATTTGTTTGACTGATTTTGGGGACAGCATCTCATATAGCTCAGGCTGGATTCAAACTTACTAAGTAGCTGAGGATAACCTTGATCTGATCCTTCTGCCTCCACCTTCTGAATGCTAGGGTCACAGGCATGCGCCATCACACCAGCTCAGATAATAAACTGAGAGGCACGTTGTGTCTCATTTCACTGAATGAATAACTTATATGTCCTATCCATAAATCTGATTTAAATTATGATTTCATATTCTATCACCTACTTTTATAATTCACTACATTCTGAGTTCTTCCCAAGGTAGAGATTCACCAATATTTATAAATGGTATAAAAACTTTATTTGCCATTCTTTCATAAAGATGTAAGTCCTAGGGCAGAATAAAAGGGTATAAAAGGACAAGCTAATCTAAAAAGAAAAAAATTGAGGGGGGTCAGAAAAAGAAAGTACATTTAAAAGGTTAACACAAATAATTTGGTTGATAAGGGAAGGGAAAATTTCAAACACATAATTACAAACTCCATACATGGCCTGTGACTTCCAAAGTAGATGATGGGCATGGTGACCTGTGCCTGAAGTTGTGACTACTTGGGAAGCTGGACCCATGAGTTTAAAACTAGCCTGGTCAACAAACTAGGGTTTCTGTCTCTACCGTAACAAAGACTGCTTAGGGACTAGGGATAAGCTAAGTGGTACGGCCAGCATGTAGAGGCATTGAGTTCACCCCAGTCACAGGGAACTCTAACATCCCTTGTAATGGGGCAGTATAGATGGAGGAGTGGCCACATGCTTCTTAATCACCTGCATTTTGCAAGTAAGTAAGCACTGCAAGTGAAACCCAGTCTCCACGGCAAAGGTGTGAGACTCAAAAGTGGACTGTAACAACGAGTGTATCCTGACTGGTTTCTTCGTGTGGTCACCGCCCATGTGGGAGGACTCTGAAAGCTTAACTAGAGTACAAAATGCTAAGCTCTCACTGTACATTTGTATACAAAAGGTGCTACTAGTACAGAAAACCAAGCAAATACCACTTTCTATTTTTACAAAGCCGTTACATCAAATTCTCAGCAGAGTTTTTCAAAATAAATAAAGTGGAAGTATACTCACTGGTAGAGTAGAGAAGAGAGAAAGGAAGGAAAGGTTAAGAAGTGTGTTAGAACTCACATCCCTGTGATGAGTGTGTCTCCTCCGCAAGGAAGGGACAGCAAGGGGAGAGATGAGGAGGTAAATGTCAGCCAGCTCTTGATTAAGTCTGGGGTTAGAGACAGAGCTACCCTAAAACTTTCCTTCAGAGGAAAAGGAAGAAGTGCAGACTTGAGGAAACTGGGGAAAGATGAAAGTACAAGATAAAGGAAAGAAGAAAGAACAGCCGGGCTCCGTCTCATACTATGAACTGAGAGCCACAGAAACATTCAGGTGGCCATCTGCATCGCCAGCCATTACAAACCTGCTCTCACATTCCTGGCTGAAATGAAAACACTGAGAGTCTGTACTTACTTCAGCAAGCAAGAGACACATGCCTGTTTGGTGTTTGCTTTGTTTGAGATAGGACTTGCCTAAGTAGCCTCAAACTCACTATAGAGAACAAACTGCTGGAACTTGCTGCAATTCTCCTGTCTCAGCCACCCCAGTGCTAGGATTACTCCTGGCTGGACATGTGTGCTTGTATGTTAATTTAAACATCCATGTAACCTTATCCTTCCCAAAAGGAAATTATAGCAGAGAACAAACTATTACCTATGTAGTGTTCTCATCTATCAAATTATTTATATTTCTAAGAAAATAAGTATCACAAATACAAATAATTTTGTCTAGGAAATAATTGTTTTGCTAAAACACTGTATCAAATAAGTCAGTCTTTTCTCAAACTCATGAATGGAATTTGCTATTTACTTTTTGAATCACTATAGAAGTTTGGACTCTTTTCTAAGGCAATTATCGTATGCCGTGTAAAAAAACAGTTTTCTCACAGTAGACTCACCTTATCTGTACCACGAGTAACACATGGTAGATTCCCTGTTTTTAAAAAAGGGTTTTATAGGCAGCAATCTACAACATCATTTTAAAAATAATGAAATGGAGGGAGCTAGTTATTTTAAGCTTGAAATGCATTTGTTTAGAAATGCCCAGCATGTTGAAATGGAGAAATATTAACAGTTCCCTTGAGGTATGTGTAACCATGTAGAATACAGTTACTGCACATCACACTTACCTGGGTATAACATAAAACAACAGATAGTTAAACCAAAGCCATGGAAGAAAAAGTGGCTGATTACACTTTGAAGAGAGCAGGAGCGAGAGCGAGCTGACTGAGCGCAAGTGCAGCATTCATACCCCTCAGGCAAGCTCACAAGCAGCCTTCGTTTTGACACAGCCACACAAGTGCATGAGATGCCAGTACTATAATTAGCAAAGTATTGACGAGTGTAAAAAGCTACTTATATGACATGGGCACCAAGGAAGCAAATGGCATGTGTCCACACTCTGGAAAATGTTCCATTTGGTTTGGGCTAAAGCAAAAGCTAAGGAACAAAGGGTTTGCGAAGCAGATTTGGCAAACAGGAGCCAGGAACGGTGATGTTTTGGCGCATGCTCGGGTCAGGTGACAGCATGGACTGAAAACTATGGCAGCTCACTGAAATGGTCACAGAAAGGAATGGCCCTAGACTCTAGGTGAGAGCAAGGCAAGCATACAGGAGGAGCACTTCATCAGTAGTCACTCTGGCAACCATGGCCACTATACTGTAAGCAAGAGCAAGGGATGAAAGTTATTTGACTGCAGAAAAATTCAGACTAATCAGTTTATTTAGTACTCAGAAAGAGTCTATTTATCTTTAAAACCTGCACTACAATCATGGTAAAAATGAACCACAGACTCAGAGTATTTATAGTTAGTATGATCTTATTATCAATAAAAAAATCAGCTATATCACACTATTTAATCTCTATAAAGGACTCTTTTAAAGTTTAATAATTACTAACTAAATTTTAATAGGAAACACACTATTGAACCTATTTATTTTATTCACTGTACCAAAGCATAAATCTGACATTCTATCATACTTTTATAAACAGCAAAACAGAGTCTGGCTTAAAAATTATCCATGTAGTACATGGATACTATTTATTAGTCATTTTAGGAAAATACAGCTGAGATGTGAACTCATTTAACAAGCATTCCAAAGGTAATAAGAAAATGATTTCCACATAAAATGCCATATTCCTAATATCTATACAATTATTTTTAATTAAAAACATTTTTAGGAAAAATTCAATTTTAACTGTTATACAAATTATATTTCACACTATTTTTAAGCTTCTTTTCTATGGGTCAAACTTACACAGATTATACAACTCTCTGAACATCTCCTTTCAGCAGCTGACAGGCACGAGGCTGTATTCCAGCACACCGCTAGTTCTCAGCGTGGTACCACTGGGGCTGGCAGCAGAACCCACCCTTTTCTACTGGTGCTTTTCGAGAGCATGGTCACAGCTTGATATCTTGCCATCTTTGTGTTTCAGAAGTGTGGGTGGAACTACTGAGGATTTTTAAATGCCAATGTGTATCTCTGGAAGTACAGACATGATCAGCTCAACAGAGAAGGCCTTTACTAAACTCAGCCCTTTAGTGATTTTAGGCAATTACATATTCACAACTAAGACATATCTGCCTATCCAAAGTGTTAAAAATCAGTTCTGTTTAGAGCTATTCAACATAGTTTTTTTTTGTTTGTTTGTTTTTTGCTGAAACAAGGCTCAACATGTAGCCCAAACGAGCCTCAAACTCACAACCCTGACTCAGCTTCAAACGTACCATGATTATGAGTATGAGCCACCACATCCAGCTCAACCCAACTTAAAAATGACCAGGAGATAAAGGTGTTGGGCTGGATCAAGCAAAGGCTGACTATGACCACCTCTAGCTGCTGAGGTATATAGAGAAGCTGCATTCCCAAACACTGGAAAGTGACCTCCCCTGGAGTAACAGAAATTAAAGAGTTCAGCTTCAACAGAGTACACAGCCTCAAACTGGGTAGGGATTAGAACCAGACTGAGAAAAAGATCCTCACTGCACTAGAAATGGTATGTAGGGAGAGAGAGAACATCAAAGCCTAGATGTCAGTGTGGTAGCTGACATATAAGCCATGCTGCATCTAACTGAACACTGCTACTTTTCAAAGCTAGACATAATTCCCTGTTACCTAAACCTCACTGACTATATATTATGTAACAGGTGCATACAGCAGGCATGCCACACATGCTGCTGCTAGGACTTCTTGGCCTTACCACTTCCTGAAAACTGACTACAGTTGAGAATCAAAAGCTGTCTACATCTACCTTCTCACCTGAGCCTCGGTGCCCCAGAAAAGAACAGCTGAGGCCTTCAGCAGAATTCACACTCCCGGGGAGCCTGCATGACTTCTAACTAATGACTTAGCGTTCTAAAACTAACCAAACCATTCATGAACAGGATGCTAACCTGGCTTAATGATGTCCCTGGGTGTCAATGCAGTGCTCAAATCTCATGAGCGTGCCACAAGCATTCACTAACGGTTTCCAGAGTGTTTAAGGTTTGTTAAAACAAAACAAACCAACAAAATGATGAACAAATTCAGATGTTATTTCCTTACACATCAGCTGACTCACATTTGTTTTGTTTTGTTTTTAGACTAGGTCTCTCTACATAGCCATGGCTGTTGTAGAACTCACTCTGTAGACCAGGCTGGCCTGGAACTCAGAGACCTACCTGCCTCTACCTCCCAAGTGCTGGAATTAAAGGTGTGCACCACTACACCCAGCTGGTCACATTTTTTACAATTAAATATTTTGTAAAGTAGTAAATTTATTTTTCAAGTTTTTAACTGAATTTTTACTCCCAAAATGAGCTTTCTAAAAAAATATGATTGTGATGAACAAAAAAGCAGCATTTTCTAATTCAAACCACTAAAGCTTACCTTATAATTCAAGTCTATTATGATTGAAGAAAAAAATAAATATATGTCCTAAAATTCATGATTCATCTAAAAATATTCTTAAAACTTCAAAAAATTCTCAAAACCAAAAACAGCAATCTCCTTTTAAACAATTTGTTTTTCCTAACTCTGGACATAAGACATCAAATCAAAAATACTGTGTGAAGATAACACCCTCCCCTTGCCTGAGAGCTGACAGGCACCTGTTCTACATGCCACATGTACAAGCAAACCCTGATGACTTCATGCTCCAAGTATGCTCCATCCATGGTTAAGATGTAGGTCCCAAAGCCAGGTCACTTAGGCTCCAATTGTGGCTCTGCTGCCTTCTACTGATCCCTTAAGGAAACTACTGTTTTGCTTTGCTCACCCACAGAATAGGATTAGAGTCTCCCTCAAAGATCTCTTGAGACTCAAATAACTTGCTATTTGTAAAGCACTCAGATGGGGTCTGGCATGTAGCAAAATCCTCAAGACTCTCTGGCTTGTCTCTAGGTCTGTGGAGAGGCAGTGTCTGCCAGGACGACCAAAAGGCATGTTATTATTATCTCATGACCATGATATCTCATGGCAGCCCAGAGTGTCAAGGAAGAGCAGTAACATCTCAGCCTCCTTTCCAGCTGCTAATATCCACTCCACCCCCTACCCCCAACCCGTGTCCTACTTTTCTCAAATTCTGTTCCCAGAACAGAAAAATCAGGAAACAAAAGGTAACATCATAATATGTTCTCAGGTTCATGAGAAGGGTTCACTTCTTCCTAGTGCATAAAAATGCCCCATCACTGTGGTTAACTTGGGACAAGATGGCTAAGACAAAAGCAAAGGGCAGGAGGCTAAGGCAGACCCTTTGTACTCTGTGAAGTAACTATCAGACCATCAGAGGAGCACTGGCTAAGACTGACTCAAATGCTGGAGGTTTAGAACAGCAGATTATGCATTCATACAGGGTTAAGTATCTTACTGAAAGAGAAACTTATGAAAACCTGATAGATAACCTTCAAACATGAGCTTAAGAATTAGCACAGCCCCCAACACGTTAGTCATGCCTGTTTCCACTCTGTATAACACACAACACAATAACACACTTAATACTTTTCTATCATCTAAGAACACAAGTTTCATAAAGACTGGGTAACTGGCAATCTTTGTCCTCTAGTGCCTAACTGTATAGTACAAAATAAATACCAATTCAGTCATGTATCACTCAATGATAGAGACACGTGTTCTGAGAAATGCCACACTGGCCAGTGTTCACCACTGTGAAAACATCATGGTATGCAATGGAACACCTAATGCAGCCAATCTCAAGGCAAAATGATCTTATGGGACAATCATGATGCATGATCCATGACCAAAAAGTCATTATGCAGCACCACATTGTAAATGCTGTGTGGCGTATTTTTCATCCTGTAAGATTTCTGAACTAAGAAAGTCTAGTAACTAATAAGTGTTTCTCATTCAGAATTCTCTTTTCTCTTGCTCTTCGATGACTGTTATCAAACTGACTGAGGCCTCACATTATTTATGGTGTCAAAGAACTCAATAAATAAAGTAGGAATAATTTTGAAATTAAAACAGTATTGACAATTATTATTCTTACTAATGGGAGTCAATTCTTTGTTTGGATTTTTTGTTTGTTTGTTTGTTGTTTTTTTAACTTTTATGTATGGGTGTTTGCCTGCATTTATGGTTGCACCATGTACATGCAAGTACCCCCATGGAGGCCAGAAGAGGGTACTGGGTCCCCTGGAATTAGAGTTAAAGACAGCTGTGAGCTGCCATGTGAGTGCTAGGAATTAAACACGAGTCCTGTGGATGAACAGACAGTGTTCTTAACTACTTGAGTCATCCTTCCAGACTTAAATGTGGTCAATTTGTGACATTTTGACATTATGGGATAACAATAGCAAAATATATCCAAATTACAGAGGATATATAAAAATTATTTGAATATATTTACCAAACACACACATTTTATTCAGAATTATCGAATTGTTTTTTCTAAATTAATATCAAAATCAGCCTTATTTCTAAATGTAACTTTTCTAAGGCCTGGATCATAGGATGGTACTACGAACATATTAAACTAAATGCATTATCTTTATACTCGAGCTGTTCTGTTATTTGTTTGGTTCATTCTTCTGAGAACAGTCTCACATCATAGCTTAGGCTGGCCCTGGAACTACCTACACAGCCCAGTCTGCCCCTCTCATCCACCCCTGCTACCCCTCCATGTGGCTCCACAGCCACTTCTCTTTTGCACACTTCCCATCGGACATTACATTCAGTGATGGCAAGATATACTGCTTCCTCAACCATGTCTATCCTTGCCAAACTGTTGCTCTGTTTGCCTGAGACAGTACCCTTGTGTCCCAAGGATTTAATTTCTGCCCTTTCCTTTTATAAAACTTTTCTGTCATCTGAACAACACCTATCACACCCTAAAAGTGGCTGATCTGACAAGACTTCACTTCCTTAAGTTGTTAGCAGTCAATATCATTTTTATATACAACCTATTTTTTAATTGTTCTAAGCGAACTGTGTATTGGAATATATTCTTACTTTATAAAACAAATCTAATAGGGTATATTTCATTTTCTCACTAAAAATCAATCAACAAAACATAATCATTTTGATTTTAGTGAATGTCAGCACAATGGAAAAGCCTGTCTAGAAACAGAGGTAACTTCCTTAAAGAGTCAGAAATTAGGATCACTCTACATTTGCACAGGCTTAGAAGCCAGATCATGAACATGACTCACTCCTACTCAAACAATACACAGCAGAGCTTTTATCTTTGACTCCTGCATACAAAGAATACTGAAAGGAAAGCGTTACCTAAAATGCTGAGCCCTTTGATACTTTTGCTTCACTATAAAATACGCTGACACAAAGAACTGAAAACATTCTTTAAATACCAGCTTTAGCATTTAATTAAAATAGTTCCAAATTTAATCTCAAAAATAATTTTAGATATTTATATTAGTAAGAAAATATGTTTTTATCAAAAATAAACTAATTGGCATTTCTAAAACACATCATCAGCTGTAAAGTTTTCTTTTTTTTTTAATTGCTACAGACTATATTCCAATTACTTATAAAGAGAAATTGGAATGTCATGTGGAAGGAGGAAAGCTTAGAGATGTTGATCTCTCTGGAAAATCTGTCCTGCTATGAAATTTTAGAACACTTCTAGCATTATATATGAAAATGCTAAGAGTCATATTTCCTGGTAATTTATAAAACAGTAAAAATTCTCTATTAAATCTGATCATGCAGTTTAAACATGCTTTAAGGTTTATCAGGCTGGTTGTCTAATGTATTTAACAAATGCTGCTTGATGGTAAAGCTAATGCCTGTATCACTTACCAGATATGAAAACACTGGCCAAAACTCATAAATAGAATTTAATTATATTCCGAAAGTTAGTCACATAAGCAAAGTCATTCATAATTTATGATATGGTTTTGATGTGCTTTAACTCATGTATTTTTATACTTGCATTTCTATGCAAATTACAAGTTGTGACATAACTATTACAGAATGCATCCATGTAACTGAATTGATCTATTTAATCTAGAACATCTCTAAAACCTCACTGAGCTGCCATAATTTCTGTCAGCATATGTAATACTGAATGACCAGTAAAATACCTGAATTGAAACTATTCCAGTCTAGCAGTTTGTAAGATCTTGTGTTACCCATAATTCCGACAAAGGCTGAGTTCAAAACAGCAAATTAGTTGATCAGTTTTAGGTGCAGAATAGTAGGAATAAAAGAAAAAAAAAAACTACAAACAAGAACACAATTGACAACAGCACTTGACAGGAACTGGAAGACAGACAGCAGAGTTAATAAGAAATAGAGACAGGAAAGGCAGGAGAAGCAAGCTACAGTCACCTACAATTAACTGTCATTTGGTCCCCTGGGTACTCGGAAACCACCCCGTCTTTCTGTTTATGCTTCTACTTGCCTGGTATTTAACAAAGGAAGGAGCGCTAAGAACTCAGAAGTCATCACCAAGAGAACTAATGGCAATGTGTTTGTTTTGTTTTGTTGTTTTGTTTTTGTTTTTTACGAGACAGGGTTACTCTATGTAACAGCTCTGGCTGTCCTGGAACTCACTCTGCAGACCAGGCTGGCCTCGAACTCACAGAGATCTGCCTGCCTCTGCCTCCCGAGTGCTGGGATTAAAGGCGTATGCCACCACCACCTGGCTGGGGCAATGGTTTTAAAATAAGATTGTTTCCCTTTTCCACTGAAAATGAAATTCAAATGTCTCACATTCACTAGTTAAAAACTAAGCACAGCAGCAGTGCCCATCCCACTACAGCATCACTGTGATACATCCAATCCAGGGCTTCACGGAGGGTTACCATCGGCTTTTCTCAACAAATTCTATCTTTGTAACAGAAAAATTACTCGAGGGGCTTAGAGAAGCTGTTAGGTAAATGTTCTGTTTTAGTGCATAATATATACATAAAAGAATCCAAAGAGAGTTTATTTTAAATCAAAGTAAGATATTGGGACCATTAGAATTACACTTGGTAAGTATTAGACTAAAAACAAGGCAAACTGAAAATATAACTCTATACTATTTCATAGTATTTGCATACAGGTATATGCACTTGAACTTCTGAGAATAATCCATTAATAATAACTGAGGCTTCCCATGCATTATGGACAGCTATTCGAAGAGAGAGGAGGAGAAAACTGGTGAGCAGCTAGTTACACCATACAAAATTCATTCTAAGAGGACACTCTCTCTCCTGGGTTCTCAGGTTTCTAGTATGGCTGGAATGAATTGGTGAGTATGATAAACTCTCAAGAAGATTTTGTAAATGTAAGTAACATTTTGAGATAATTATCTTCATTTAAAGCTAATTTTAAATAACTTATTTGGAAGCAACAAAATGAAAGAAGACATCAATTGAATACACTTCTAAACTGCTTTGGACAGTATCATGTCAATGAGTGCCATCAAAACATCAGTCAGTCATCCATGGAAAGCACAGTGACTGTCAGGTTTCATAGCCTGGTCTTTCCTTATACTTCTTGGAACTGAATTTGCTACAGAAAGTTAGAATTTCATGTGCTACATGGTAGCAGTCTGACTGCCCTCTAAGTGCTACAAGGGTGGACAATACAGTAAGAAAAATGAGATCTTACACTGACCATAAAAGTGAGAAAGGGGGCAATAAACCAAACTGAAACAAAATACTGGAGCTGAGATGATGTATTTGCTCACTTTAGAGCTAAATAAACATGAGTAGCATTGCCTTTCTGAAGTCACATTTGCAGTTAAAAGAATTCTATTCTTCTCAGGTAAAATCAAATCACAGAGCACCAATTAAATTTAATTGTAAAGAATAGTTAATGCTCTGTTATACTCAAAAGCACTATCCATAATATTTTCCAACCTAATCATTTTCAGAGCATTCTTTTCTTCTTTTCCTACATGTCACAAAGAAGTTGCTGGAAGTGACGAATTAATGGCTTCTAAAATATGCAAAAGTACAGATGCCAACATTACTTCAGGTTTATGGTGCTTGAGCAAATGTCTGGGCATGAAATACAACTACCTAGGGAGCTACCATTATTGATGATGCTTGTTGTAGAGTGAGAAAATTCACCTGGGGGTTCTAACCCAAGGCCCTAAAGTGCCAGGACCTGGCTGCCTGCCTTCTGTGTCATTCACATACTGTTCTTTAAAGACATGAGCTACTGCTCCTCCTTGTTTGGCCATACGGGCAAGTGAAAAACATAAACAACTTCATGTAATGGCCATGAAGGCCAAACCATAAAAAACCTTTAACTCCTTAAAGCAAATATAAAGCTAACCCAAACATTAATTAATGAGCCCCTCAAAATGACAGCCTAGCCAGAAATAAATCAAAATGTGCTCATTTGTTATACATTAAAAATAACTAATGTACCCTTCTTAGTTTACTTTTAACTGCAATTACTGAAAATATTTCAAAATAACATGTGCCAGTTTATAATCTGTTTTCATGTCTCTTCAGGTTAAATTTGCTTTCAATATTCATCAAAATCAATTTTTACAACCACACCTCAAGTAAAAGCAGTAAAATCAAACTTATCAGAAAACATACCAGGATTGTGGATCCGATCTAAAAGCTTCACAGAGCGTGCACTAACCACACCACCGACATGCACGAGGAGTCCAGGAGGAAAGGCCGTCAAGGTGAGGAAGGGGAATTCCTGGTGAAGACAAGGGCAGAACAGATGAGACCAAACAGACAGTAGAAGGCTCTGCTCATGCAGATCCTAACCCAGGAAATGCATGGCCTGAAAAAAATACACTGCACCTGCTTTTTCCTTAAAATTTCCCAGACGATCACAGCTCCAAATCTGTTCCCCTACATCTGAGGTGGCATTCAGAATCCAGCAGCCTTATCAGTTCTGAGTTGGGGGAAATGTTCAAAACACACTCTTCTCTCTTCTCAAACTCTACTCCAACACCATTTCCCAATGGCACAGGGCTGGACAGCCTGGCAACCCATATGCCTTTCTCAGGAACAATGTCTCTCACATGCAGGCACACAGGCTATTGGCAAGTATTTATTCCTAAGGCCTGCATGTAACAAGAGGCCTAGAAAAAGGAAGTGTGGGACACGGAGTGAAAGGACAGGCAGTCTGGAGAGCAAGAAAGAGAAAGTAAACAGCTAGGTGACGTGAGAGCCAATCTGTGTGGCCAGGAGCAAAAGGAGCCACATACTGTATGTTAAGCAGAGGAAAGAAGCACACGGTGGAGTCAGGGAACACACAATCCTGCAGGCTCTCCAAGCTGTGGCTCCCCTTCTGCCATCAGGATGACAAGAAGAACTCAAAAGAAAGTGAAACGATAGGGAACTCACTCAAAGAGCACCAGCAGGAAAGGGGATGTCTGTGGGTGCCCAAACACGGGCCATGTACCATGGAAAAAGTGGATGCAAGGAAGAGGTGACGGCTACCTGACCTGCCTGGCTGTGAGATGAATGCAGCTCTCTTCACCAGAGGTCACTAACCAACAGCCCTGACCACTTTCAACATAATAAGAGCTGGAAAACAGCCCAACAAACCCTCAAAGGACTGCAAGTATTAAGGTTCATGCACTGTATTCCCAAGGCATCTCCACAGGGGATGCTCACACTGGTAGAAAGTAGCTACAGATGCTAAAAATACTTGTCATTCTAAAATTCATCATTATTGAATTTTCTAGGTCACAGCAGACTAAATGCAACAAATAAAAAGAAAGAGCAACTACTAAAAACAGGCACATATAAAAGCAGCAAGACGACCGACTGGCTGCTTGAAGCATGGAATTACAAGACTGCTGAAGCACAATGCATAAGGCAGAGCAACTTGCAATTTTCAGCACAAAGGAACAGTCCTGCACACCTGCATAAACATAAAAAGTGCACATGGGTGTGCATATACATAAACACATTAAAATCCAGTCAAAACTCAGAAGTGATCTTTACTTTAACAAGGGCCAGAACTGCTACACTGTATAAGAAGGGTAAAAAGCCAATCCATAGAATTGTTTATGTTTGACCTAGACTGAAACATGGAAGTGAATATTAGGAAATATATGGCTAAAGGTATATAATATTTTTTGTCAAAAATGTATCCTTATTTTCATCTGAACTTTTATACCTTAAATTTTAAATTAGACATGTATAAGTGGCTAATGTTATTAAAATGTAGTAAATTAGGTCCATTTTTTTTTTCAATTTTAGGAACACTTACTTTTTGTTTTGTTTTGTTTTGTTTTTTGTTTTTCGAGACAGGGTTTCTCTGTGTAGATTTGCGCCTTTTCCTGGATCTCGCTCTGTAGACCAGGCTGGCCTCGAACTCACAAAGATCTGCCTGCCTCTACCTCCCAAGTGCTGGGATTAAAGGCGTGCGCCACCACCGCCCGGCGGAACACTTACATTTTAAAAGTTCTTAAAATATCTAAGTTATATGATGGTCTCAAAGAATAAAATGTACTTTATACTTATTCTTTATACATCCATCTTTTAAATATTAAGACAAGAACCACTGTAAAAAGAAAAAAAAATGTTTGTAAGCTAAATGGAAAACATGACTTCCAGCCCTGGGGACAGCAACGCAGTATAGAGTCTGCCTAGCTGTGTGCAGGGTCCAAGGTGTGATCACCTCTCTAAAAGAGATGGAGAGACAAGTAAGAGGGAAGAAAGAGGGGGAAGTGGAGGGGGAGGCAGATCAGGGGACTTGATAAAGGATAAGCTAGGAAGTTTCATACTAAAACCAGTCAGAGCAGAAAAACACAATGGCTGCTTCAAGAGGTGCCAGCTTGCTCTGCTGATGGAGTCTCTCTTACACAGCCCCTGTCCATCCAGCCAGCACACTGATTCACTTTAAAATATAAGATTTAATCAACAATAGGCAAAAACTATCAGAATCATTTGGGCCAAGTCCATCTGCAAAGTATTCTCCAACTAAAGAAGTTACTGCTGTTACTGACAGCAAGTAAAACATGGCCATCTCCGCCGGGCGGTGGTGGCGCACGCCTTTAATCCCAGCACTTGGGAGGCAGAGCCAGGCGGATCTCTGTGAGTTCGAGGCCAGCCTGGGCTACCAAGTGAGTTCCAGGAAAGGCGCAAAGCTACACAGAGAAACCCTGTCTCGAAAAAAAAACCAAAAAAAAAAAAAAAAACATGGCCATCTCCACATCGCACGAGACTGCTGGCACATGCTGACCTATGCCTGGGCCTATGTAAAGTGCAGAAAATGACTTTCAAAACTGCCCCAACCAAAAGAGAGGTGCCATTATACCTCCACATTTTAGAAAGCAGAGCACGGCAGGGCCTTCTATTCCTGTCCTCCTTAGCAGTAAACCTTAACACCCACATTAGTTCTTCTCATTAAACATCATTCAGAACTTGGTTTAAGTTACAGCCTGTGCATTACACCTGCTGAATTTATAGAGTTGCTCTTTTCTTCCCCAAGATCAGTCCAAGCATGCTATGCTTTCAATGTCTGAATGTCAGTTTGAGAAACAAGAAAAAGACACACTCTCTAGAAAGTCCATTAATGTTTAAAGTATCCTTTCCTGTTGTCCCCAGACCTATTTTACTTGTTGACCTTTGATATAAGCTAAGAGCATGAATTATAAGAATATTTGATAGTGTGTCTTTAAAGAAAGGTAGTTGAAAAATCAATAAAACATAGCAGAAGTATTATTTTCAGTAGATTTACATGGAGTTTTTCTTTAAGATATATAAATAGCTCAATTTTTATATCAACTCTTTTGTCATCCCCAGAGCACAGAGTGAATTTCTAAAGCTGGAGAGATGGCTCAGGAGTTAAGAGCAGTCGCTGCTCCAGAGGATCCAGATTTGGTTCCGAGCACCCATGTCAATCAGCTCACACCACCTATAACTCCATGTCCAGGGGACTCAATGCCTTCTGTTGGCCTCTGCATGCATTCAAACACACATGAGCATACACATACAGACACATGCACATCTTTAAACATAGAAATACATCTTAAAAAACAACCCAGCACCATGCTAGATCCCTGAAATGATTTATCATACAATTTTATCCTACTTACTAATAAGGAGATCTTAATTCACTATAAATCCACTTTTTATCCATGTTTCCCAAAAGTATGTTCCTTGGGAATAGGTAATAACTGGGCTTCTTTCCTTTCCTTTTTCCCCATGTAGTCCAGGCTGGTCTTGAACTCAGAACCCATAAGCCCCAGATTCTAAGTGCTGGGACTGTAGGTATATGCCTCAGCATCCAACTCCAGCTTTTTTTACTGAGGAAAAACACACAACTAAAAACCTATGTGAATACTTTTAAAACCAATTATTTTTAATGCTCTTAGTATATCCTCACACAGATGTTTTCATACACACCTGCACACACTTCTGCAGAGAACTTACTGTACTGCTGCATGCCTTTTCCCTAAACAAAAGTGACATCAACAGCAGCCAGAGGCGACTGGAAAAGCCAAAGACACTGCTGCTTTTTCTGCTTCTTCTGAACTTGGGGGAATGCAAGGGACTACTACTGCATATGGGAATGGTACAGATGCAAAACCATAACACGTCAGGTTTTACAAAGTTATACACAAAACTATAGTTCTCAATTACCTTTGCTTTTAATCCTATGAAGACTGTCTACTAACATATGCCTGTAAGACGAATTGCTAAATGGTCTTATAAATGAAATAAAAACCGGAGCCAGGTTTTGGGGTGAACACTGAAAGATCAGAGAAACAGAACAAGCTACAGACAACCTCACCTCGCCAATTCCTCAGCTGATCTTGTTTCCTCAAACTGGAAGCCTCTGTGTTCTCATCTGAATGGATCTCAGCTGAACTGCTGCTAAAAGCCTAAAAGCTTAACAAACTTAGTTCCTGGTCCTCACACCTTATATACCTTTCTGCTACCTGCCATCACTTCCTGAGATTAAAGGTGTGTGTCACCACCATGCCTGGTGGTTTCCAGTGTGGCTTTGAACTCACAGAGATCCAGATGGATCTCTGCCTCTGGAATGCTAGGATTAAAGGCATATGTTACCACTGCCTGACCTCTACGTTTAATATAGTGGCTATTCTGTTCTCTGACCTGCAGATAAGTTTATTGGGGTACATAATATATCAACCACATTTCCCCTTTTTTTGTTTAAAATAAAAAAGTTATAGTATATGCCCAATGTGCTGACGTGTCCAAGATTTTAAACTCTTTAAAAGCACATCAGAGGCCATCGAGACGGCCTAGTGGGTAAAGACACTGGCTGCCAAGCCTGACGACCTGAGGTCAACTGACCACATGAAGTAGAGAAGCCACTCCCATGAATTATTCTAGGGTCTCCATATGTGCACCACAGCATTTATGCACCCACAAACTTCCCTCTGCCCACACAAAATAAATTTTAAAATGTAATAAAATGCCCAATGTGTTTGTGTACGCCTATAACCCAGTTTGAGAGGTAGAGATCATTCTTAACTACATAGTACGTTTGAAGCCATGCTCTGCTACATGACACTGTATCTCAAAACAAAAAAAGCATATTAGAAAATACAAATCTGAGCCAGGCACACACCTTTAGTCCCAGCACTCAGGAGGCAGATGATTTCTATGAGTTCAAGGCCAGGCTGGTCTACAGAGCAAGTTCCAGAACAGCCAAGGCTACACAGAGAAACTCTTTCTCAAAAAGAAAAAGAAAAAGAGGAAGGAAGGAAGGAAGGAAGGAAGGAAGGAAGGAAGGAAGGAAGGAAGGAAGGAAGAAAACAAACATAAATCTGGCCAAATTCTGTAGCACACACCTATAATACCAGCATTTAATCGGTAAAGGCATGGGCTGGGCATGGTGGTGCACGCCTTTAATCCTAGCACTTGGGAGGCAGAGGCAGGCAGATATCTGTGAGTCCAAGGTCAGCCTGATCTACATAGTGAATCCCAGGACAGTCAGGACTATGTGGAAAGACCTGGTCTCAAAAAACCTAAATCAATCAATCAATCAATCAATAAATAAATAAAATAGCAACAAAAACAAAAAAGAGGCAGAGGCAGGAGTTAAAGGTGACCCTTGGGTACACAGCTGGCTCAGGCCAACCTAGACTACATGAGACCCTGTCTTAAAAAAAAAAAAAAAAAATCCTCTGCATGTTTTCACTCAACTGACTTTCCTATCTCCAAACCCTCAGATGCTCTGATGGGCGTACACAACACAGACTAACCAGAGAAACCAAGAAAATGTAAAGGGGCCATAGATGTGGGGCAGCGAGAGGGGAGTTTGCAGGTAATACAAAGTAAGAAACATTAAAAAATGGGGAGTGGACTCCAACTACAAAAGAATGGAGCTCAAACATACGGTGAAGAAGGGAGGCAAATAATACCAGGGCTATGATTCCTTGAAGGTTGTTTGATAAACCTTCAATGAATCATTTTGTAGTTACTTAAAATTATAAGCAATACATATGTGTATATATGGGTACACACACACACACAAAACAGCTTAAAGGAAGTTAGGCCACTTGGACTAACAACACTCCTCTATAAGAACTATAGACTAACAAAAATTCCAGTACCAGACATGAGAAACCTCCTTTCAAATGGTTGGTCAGGGTAGTCCAAGGGACTCCTAAAACAACAAACTATAAACGTAGACTTTTGCTGTCTTTCAGAGATCAAGGGTGGGCCCCTAGTGCTGAAGATACCACAGATTAAGGACACAAGACTCATAATTTGAGCTGCACCTGACCTGAAAGTTTCTTTTTCCTGCAATCAAACCTCCATGGTACCAGAGAATAGTATGCAAGCTATCAAAAGACAGATGGGATTGAACAGCCCTACCCAGCTGCAACACCTGGGAACCATGACAATGAACAACATGCAAGATATCCTAAAGGTTCAACAGGAACACTCACATGTTGGTGGTAATCACAGCTGTTGAAGTGGACTTAAAGCCCACTCAACAGAAAGGATATCATTCCTGACTCATAAGCTTCCTAGCTAGTGAGGTCATGGACACTAGAAAAGACTCTGCCACATTACTAACCCAGCATAATTCCTCACTACATTATAAATCTTATCCTTAGACACACAGGTAAGTGTATAAGGACACACCACCACTCTTCAGCAATGAAGCCTCTCTTTACAGCAAATGAAGACTATCACAGAAAACTACAGCTGGACACAAGGAAGGGATCAATGGATCTGAGGATCCCAGCCCCAACAGAAACATCTACATCACAGCTCCTGCATCTATGGCTGAGAGAAGCTCTCGGAAAATGGAGAAGAAAGACTGTAAGAGCCAGAATCCCAAGAAGTCTGCTGTAAAACATTCTCTCCTAGAAATGGCTACATAAACAAGCCAGAACAATGGCAGTATCAATGGACATGCCAATGCAGAAGGGGTAATCTCATGGAGTCCCACCCCTAGACAAAGAACTACAAGCTACTAATGACTATTCAGAGAAGGATTAGCTTCTCTCAGGGATGAGTCAAATTATTGGTTGTCTAATGCAGAGTGGTCAGCGCTGAAACCATATGCATACAAACAACAAAAACAGACTTAGCAGGTTGTACTTACATATTTTTGCATATAAATAGATATATGCATGTATGTAATAATAATTTTTAAAAAGAGGCTATTAACTTGAGAATGGGTGGATATGGGAGGAGCTGGACCGAGAAATGGGAGGGAGGAAAGTGATGAAATTCTATTTCAATTTAAAACATATTTTAAAGAAACACACACACAACTTTTACTTAGGCATTGTAATCCCAGCATTTGCAAGGTTAAAGCAGTACGATTATGAGTTCTGAGCTACATAGTGAGATCCCTGTTAGCCTGGGCTACAGATTAGATACCACCTCAAAAAACAAAAACAAAACAAAAAAGTCCACAAATTTATCTAAACCCAATCCAAAATTATTTGAATGTCTCCCATGAAATGGCTGTAAAGGTCTGTGGCACAGACAGTAAAGTCACCAGCACGTCACACAGCCACATTGCCAGTCCACCATCTCATAAACCAAGCTTTTCTCTTTATGTGAATTCTAAAACAGCAATTAGATTAAAAAAAAAAAAAATGGGATAAGGCAAAGATAAAACCATTCTGGCCTAAAACATGATGAACAAACACGCACACCTCCACTCTGACCCTGTTCTCCATACTTTAATCTTCAGCTCTGACTGTGGTGGTGGTGGTGGTGGTGGTGGTGGTGGTGGTGGTGGTGGTGGTCGGTGTGCTGCCAAGGCAGGAGTAGGTGAAGAGCAAATGCAGTTTAATGGGGCACAAAACAAAGAACTGAGGGCTAAGGACACAGCTCAGTGGGAAGGTGCTTGCCCAGCATGTACAAGGCCCTGGGGCTCAATCCCAAGTACTGCACGAAAACAAGAGACCTGGGTAGAGCTCAACTCATTACTACACTTCAGCTCTGCTCACCTCACCCTTGTCTAAAAGGTAAACAGGACATAAACAGCTACTTGCAGCATAAGAAAAAAACTGCCTAGAGAATAAACTTAAAGTCTGTAGTCAGAGAAACAGAAACAAACTGTTCTCGGAGGCAGACTGCAGAAAGGAGGTGTGCCTTTTACAGTGTTCACTACACCTCACCTTTGTTTTCTCCCAAGTGCTGGTATCAAATGAACAAACAACATAAGAGTCTATAAGTGCTTATAGCTTCCAAAGCAGACAGAAAGAAAGCTGTGGAGCGCTGTCTGAATTGAAGCACAGGACAGGACACATGGAACCATGCACTGCATTAGCAGAAAAGAACAGGAGCCTCACAGTACTAAGTTCAGAAAAAGCCAGCAACATTTGTTAAAAGCTTAAATAAAACTTAGGTGAGCAAGATGAAAAGTAGAAAAGCTTCTAACACAAGGCACAGGCTCTCATACGTGTTCAGAAACATACCCGCCTTCTACAGAACCTATGAGGCGATCCTCCCTTAGCAATGACGTTTATAAAGAGAGAGAGAGAGAAATCATCCAAAAACTAGACTCAGTTTCCCACTCAACAAATTAACTAAACAATAAGCATAATTAAAATATTACACTAGAGAACCACTCTATTAATTTTAATCTACAGAGATATAGAAAGTGTGTCTTATCTCTAATAAACAGGCCAGTGAGAAAAATTATATCAGCAGATAAATATGTTAATATACTAGAGCATTATTTTAATGCAATGCTATTGAGATGTTTTTCTGAAAAATATTAACCATTTTCTTTTCTATATTGTAATTTTAATGGAAAAAAAGAAATGACTTCATCATTCAATGGATATTTTCAGGAGAAATATTTTAACTTAAAGATTAGAACACAAAACAAAAAACTTACAGAATTTTTCCAAACAAAAGTAAATATTGGTAAATAAATTACCGTGATATCTTAAAGACATTTGATCATTAAAACTACAGCATTGCAGATATGAGCAAGAATACCTTTCGGAAGTCTTTGAGCCCACAGCAGCCTAGGAACACAGGGCCATGGTACCAATGCAAGAACAGAAAGTAAAGTGGTGACTCTTACCCGCTGTTCCAACGCCGACTGAGTCTGTTGTCGCAGAAGAGCTTTAAAGGGCCCCCCTTCTTTTCCAGCACTACCACTTCCCATTCCTATAGGACATCAGCACATAAACAACAACCAAACAACAACTATAAAACAGCAAACCAGTATGAGTCAAAATACAAGAAAATGATCCACACATTTCACATATTTTGAGATGGCAACTAACACATACATTTTACTCTACTATACTAAGACTTTCTTTAAAGCAAGACATCGAAGTTCTGGTCAGAGCTAGTTTTAGAATCAATTTATTCTAATAAGAATATTATAACAAGGTAGGAAATCTTTGATAATATTCTATATTTAAAATGAGACTTTTAATAAAAATTAATCAAAAGAATAACTATTACTATTCTAACAATTTAGGCACACCAAAATATCTGATTAAATATAAAGGAGAAACATACTAACTGCTCATTTAAAATATCACAGGAGAGCTAAAGAGTATGGAATCAGCATTCAGAATGAAGTTTATTCTCTGCTGACACCCACCTCTGAAAATGGTGTCACACTACAACAGTGTGCTCATTCACAAAAATCAACACAATTTTTTGGAAAAAAAAAAATCACACATGGGTAAATAAATCTCAAATGTACATAGTCAGGGATGAAAGAATTCTATTTCCTCCCTCTTAGATGTATTTTAAGGCTAATGTCACATTTCTTTCTCTACCATTTGTTGTTCCTCTTGTTTCGATACTACTACAAGAACAAATATGACCCAAGACTTGTATGGAAATGGGATGGGTGAGAAGCTAGCGCTGCAGACTGGGGTGAATCCCACCCTCCCGAGACTAAGATGCACACAGTCAAATTTACTGCAGTGCCTTAAAAAGGAACTAATTCACATTCACATTTTTAGCTGTTCTTGGATAAGGAAACAAAGGTTAGCATGTGTGTAGTCCCATTCTGTTCTTTTAAAAATAAAATTTTTCTTATAGTAATCTAAACATTTTTAAGAGACTATACAATGCTAACTAGAAATAAAACTAAGATCTTTATATGAAGCATATTAAAAGTCACAAAATAAAGGTAAGTTTGCAGTGATAAATAAATTACCAGAAAACATAGCAGAATAACTTGATTAATGTAGTGGATAGAAAAAAGATATAATAAAAGAATATCACCAAAATGAGACTTAAACTGGTTCAAACAGAATAATTTTCTCATGTATTATGGTTTAGCAACAGGATGGCACAGGTCCGATGTGGATGGAGCAGGTATGGAGAGAAAGGAGCAAAGCATCTACCACAGTCACTTGAGTAGGGACATAGGTAGTGATAGTTACAATAAACATCCACATCCATGTCCTGAGACATAATCTTTTTAGGTATAAAGTTTAGTATATACTCATAATTATCCATCAAATAACCTCCAATGATATCTTTGTAATTCTGATTAACTGTCAATAAAATAACTAATAGACACATAAAACACACAATCATTCTTTATGGTATAAAATAATATGTTAATATGTTTCAAAGATGATTTAAAATAAAGGGATTAAAAAAGCTGACATAATGTGATCCTACCAGAAGCAGCCAGGAACAGCTCTTCACTGAAAGAAACACTTTTCCTCAGAACGGGGCTGACAAGGCTAGAGTGATGAGGGGTAAGGCTAGATTCCGAGAGGAGGCGGGACTTAAGGTGAAGGGAACCACAAGAGAGGGGGGTGGAGCTGGGGCACAGGTAGATCCCAGGCCCCTGTGGGTAAGGTGCTGTGGAGGAAAGTAGCAAAGATGCAGATTCAGAAGATCAGAAAATGCAGGAGAAGGAAAGCAATGATGAAGCAAAACATAACAGTCAAATGGATTTCAAATGCAGACAAATCAACACTGAGCCTAAGAATACCCACCCGCCAGAACCCTCTAGCCAACACAGTGCAAACCAAAGATACCTTCTACATTAACAAAGCCCTTTCAAACTCTGCAGTCATTAAAAATCTTTAAATAACTAGCAAGATTTTATGCCATTTACATTACTTTTAACTGACGTCTTCGAACACTTCAATTGCCCACCAATTTTTGTCAGTTGGTTGGTTGGTTGTGTGTCTCAGAACTTGTATGGTTGAAAAACACCCCTCTTCAGTATTATGATGAGAAACTTGTTGCTTCAGTCATAAACACTTATTTAAAGTGGTAAAGTTTGGTACCTTCAAATGTTACTAGCTAAGATACTGAATATTGTTGTGTTAATGGACTACTCATTAAAAAATAATCAAAGAGTACTGCCTTATGAATTCAAAATAGTTTTTTCTCTCCAATTTTGAAGTATAAATTAATGCTTTTACTTTTCTCTAAAATTTTTCATACTTTAATCTGACCATTGTACTATTTACAGAGATTTATTTAAAGATTAAAAACCCTGTGGATAGTAAGAAGTGTATACAACAGATTGTCTAAGAAAGTAAAATTAACCCCAAATCAAGAGTGTAAATCTCTATCATACACCAGCATTCAAAAATTTCACTCTTATTAATTGAGAACTTAGGGAAAATATTTTTAAAGTCTCATTTTTTAAAATGTCATAAATTAGATTCTAATACATAAGAAAAAATTTAAGAAATCTAAAAGAAAAACAGCATTAATTATAAACAGAAAAATAATTTTCTCAGGCTACCTTTAATATGTCTGTTCTATTTTTGACTTCTCAGTTTATAAATAATAAAGCAATTATAATCAGTTTATTCCATTATTTCTCGGAAGACTGAGTCTTGAATGTAGGGAATTAGAAAGCAGAGAAAGATGCACACTGAATCACAGCTTTAGGAATCTGAGAACATTATTCTGCCATTTCCTAACATAAGTGAAGTGCCCCTCTGGACCACTGAAAGGTGGTGAAGGACTCGCAGCAAGGCCAAGAGCCTAGGGATGCTAACATACAATAAGTTCCTGAGGCAAGTAAACATAATAAAGCACTCAGAGTCAGCTTATAAGTAAATGTTAGAATAGCACATGGTTTGTAAATGAGATTTTAAGAACCAAAATTACAAAGGCCATTGCTAGTATAGATGATGCCAGTCAGAAAGCTTAAGAGACCTGGTTTGGTCACTTATCTGAAAATCTTTAGGTTTGACCTTTTATGGAAATTAAAAAACAAAAGGCCAAGAAAACACTTTCAAAACTTTATCTATGCTATAACAAAAAATAATCAGTAAGTGTACTGAAAAGTAGCCTAGAACACAGAGTGAGTAGCCAAAGCCTTAAAACTATTGTTAGGAGATCTTACTGTTCATGAGGGCACAAACCCAGAGTCCCAGCTACACCTAGCAGCTAATGGGTGACTGCTTCGGCTCAATGGGTGACTGCTTCGGCTCACAAGGCAGTGATCAGCCTCAGCAACTTAACAAGATCTGGTCTCCAAAAGCATCCAGGAGCTAGGGGTAAATCTGAGAGGCAGAACGCTGGCCCAGGATGCATGATGTGATGTGTTTCATTTCCAGTGACAATAAAAGAAGAGCAGAGACAACAATACTATCCTAAGTCTATCTTGTTCTGACCATCAGGAACATTAAGGCCAGTCTCTTTTTTTTTTTTTTTTTAATTTCATTACAATTTGAATGGTTCGATTTTTATGGCACAAAGATAGCTAAAATGCCCCATTCCAAAGCATCCTTCACTATAAAATACTATATAAAATGCTACTGTATTTTCAACTGTTACTCCTAGTTAATACTATAGAATCAGCCTTCAGCATCTGTAGGGATTGGTGCTAGAGGCACCATCACCACCTTACTCCAGTTTCTTATCCAATGTGGGTATTATCTGCAAATAACCTGTGCACCTCCTCCTGCCTGTGTTAATCATCTTCACATTGCTTATGATAAGCACATGCTAAGCTAGAGAAGAAGCTCTAAGTATGCATCGTATGGGCAATAATGAAAAGGAAAAGTCGCCTGTACTGGGAACAGATGCAATCTTCTCAAGCATTTTTGTCCTGCACTTGCTTTGATATGTTAATAATAGGCATATACTTAGAAATAAAGTAACTGTGTTGGAGAGGTGTGACAGAGATGGTAATAAAAACAAAGAGAAAGAAATGGGTGCTTATAGTATTTCTATTCTGTGATCATATTTATAAAAAAGAAAGAAAGAAATTAAGTCTATAATAAATAACACTGCTTTGGAAGTAAGATTTTGTTTTGATAGTTTTCACGAGGTATGAATTCATTTTATATTCCTCTTCTAACACTAAAATAAAACATTAAAGGTTATTAAAGATAATAAATTCAAAATAATATAAATAAAAACTGTTTTAGTCAATCTGATAGGAAAACTGCCAGAAATATTACTTAAAATACTAGAAATAATAAGTCTGTAAATTTTTAGTCTTATATCAACTTTTTATCAAAAAACATTAACCAAAATCCAGAAACTATTCATAATACAAACAGGAGAGGGAAAATTATAAATTTAATGAATTGAAAAATATTCAAGGCCAAGGAAATTTAAAATGCAGTTTCAACCTGGAGAGCAAACCTAGCAAAGCTAAGCACCCTGATCCCATGGAGTCAGTATCAACAATGACTAAATAGTTAAATGTCACTCATCAAACAAAATAATTTCCCTATAAAAAAATTAATTTTAATAATTGAAATGATCAGTGTTTACATTGTCTTTTTTGTTTGTTTTTTTGTTTTTCGAGGACAGGGCTTCTCTGTGTAGCTTTGGCTGTCCTGGAACTCGCTCTGTAGACCAGGCTGGCCTCGAACTCAAGAGATCCGCCTGACTCTGCCTCCTGAGTGCTATTAAAGGCGTGTGGCACTGCCCGGCTACCTTATCTTTTAAGTTAATGTGTAAACAAGTTAATAAATACATGTGACCAATGTCATTTCCTCTTCTCTTTTTGACTTTTCCTTTTTTTTGTTTTTCCAGTTAAACTCAGGACAATACTTTACACTGACCTAACCTTAAGCCAATAAGCAGATGGACAGACATCTGTACAGCTATACAACCATTCCAGTTCTGAAATGTTTCCATAATAAAGACACAAAACTAAATTCTGAAATAAGAATTATCTGAGTGCAGCCCACTCTGGCGGCTGTTCAAGCGCCATGAGCCAGCACTCCTCTGGGCTTGAACAGGACAAGAACACTGTCAGCACCCAAAAGTCGACTTTGGACTTCATATCAACAATGATTAAAGTAGTTAAACTGTCACTCTCCAAACAATGGCTCTACAAAAAAATAATAACTGAAATGATCAGCATTCACATTCACTTTTAACTTAAATGCAGAAATAGGAGGAAAGACTTGGATGGGAAGCTCCTAAGAAACAGAAACAGTTTTTAAAAGGAAACACGAAAGGTGGGTGGAAGTGCCTTACCAGTCTTGGGTGTCAAACTCAAGTCTGTGTCAGAAGAAGAGGACTGTCGACTGTAGGACTTGGAAGGTGAAAAGGAATAAGTTTGGTTTTTCAGAGGGGTTGAGGGTCCTGATGAGTGAGGATTGGGATTGGGATCTTCATTGAAGGGAATCCTGCCAGAAGAAGGTGGAGACATATTAAGCAATCATGTGCCAAAGGGCTTGACAGTTGGCAGCATGATCCAAACATCAGGAAAGAACTGGGGTGGGGCCGGCAGTCATTTCTTAAGTGTGGAGCTGGGAATGAGGCCAAAGACAACGAACTGCTGTTTAACCATTCATCATTCTCCAGATAAATATTCTCTGCATTGAAACAGTTAATAAGTCGAGAGGAAAAGCAAAGAAGCATGAAATGGTAGACTAATGGGGATTAAAAATACATATATTAAAAGGAAAAAATAAAAAGAATAAATAAATGACAAAATACTTAAATAAATGGTTTTATAAGTTACAAAAGAAAATGATGGCCACAAATGGTGTGTGGAAATATCCGTAACTGTCTTTATATTTACACACACACAAGTATCTCGAAAAGAAAAAACTGTTTCCTTATCCTACAGCATCAGAGTGCCACAGCTAAAAACACAGCAGAGAGGACAATAGGTAGAGCTACATAGAAACACTGCGTTGCTTACCTGTTTTCCAATAGCTCTCTTCCACAGAATGAAACAGACCCTATCGCTTCAAAACCCTACAGACTTTGTACATAAGAGAATACGTAAATCAAAGTGTCAGTGTCTGCTTCATTAGAAGCATTATCGATTTCAATTCTAGACAAATACAGAAATAGTCACATAAATACAACTGAAGGGTTCTCAGAATGTAATACACAAAATCATAGGGCTCTGAGAGGATCTGTGGAAGAGACTTTGGAAGCTGGAAAAACACCTTCGCTTCCATAGTCAGAGCCTTTGTGTCAGCTAAACAGAAGTCCTTTATTGAAGCTGGATTCGAAGTAAGAAAGGGAAGAAGCAAAGATCTGTGGTACCTGCCTATGCTACCTGCCTGCCTGCCTCTGCAGCCACTCTGCCCGTGGCCTGCCTCTCCCCAGCTCTGGAGTCTGAGCAGTCTCGTACCAGTATAGATGAGAGTGGGAACAGACACAGAGAAGTTCTGAGTGAGTCGTGAGCCAGTAGCAGTGTGAATTGGGCTGTTGTGAGTCGAGCGGCATCCATGGCTTGGAGGATGAACCAGCGGAGACCTGAAGGAATTTGTGATCAAAGTGGAAGAAAAGAAAACAGTACATACAACAGATTGCAAAGTTATGTTAAAATTATTTTGAAGGAGCTTTTGTTAAGGGAGAAAACTTATTTTTTAATCCCTAGCATGCAAAAAGTTAAAATTAAAAAAGAACAGCCAATAATTAATTAGTTAGGATATAATTTTAAAGGATCAGATTAATCAAGAACTGTAAGAAAAATAGCAAGTATAATTGTTGATGGAACTAAGAAAGACTACTAAGACTTGAATTTTAAGTTTCTTTTTAACATACTTGTTTTTGTTTTCATCAAAAAAGGACTTGTTATTATGTTTAAGGGAGGAAAACACCCAACAAAGTGAAAGTCAAATACACAGCTGTCACGTTCTTTTAAACTAAGATATGAATTGTTTATTTAATTATATCTTTCTATGAAAAAAAGCTTAGCAATTATTTATGTTTTTAAGACAGAGATACTTAAGAATATATAGGAACTGTCAGCAGGGAGAGAGAATGAGGGAAGTGACCAGGTACAAACAGGCACAGTTCATCCTTTTAACGTACAACACATACTGAGTAAAAACAGGGATATCTAGCAACTGAACAGCAAGGGAACACAACATGGCTTTCAAACCCACTGATGCTTTGCTGTGGCTAACGTAAGTCTAAAACTTGTTTAGTACAACTGACACATTAAACCTCTTAGAGGTGGTCTGTTTTTATATACACAACTGAGTGAGTGGAGTTCTTCTCTCCCCTAAAGCAAAAAAGGGCCTTCAAATTCTTCAACTTGGGAGGAGTACAACACAGTTCTGTGCACACAAGAAATCACATGTAAGGCACTTGGAAAGCATCTGTGTGCAGAGCAGTGATTAGTCACATTGAATGCAGCTTTACCACAAGGAGAGCTCAGTGAGGAAAATCAAAGGGATCTGTATTGCTATACAACAGCTAAGAGAAACGAAACTTTACTGAGGGCATACATGCCATTAATGCAGGTAAAATATTACAAACACTGAAAAATTCAAAGTATGATATCAAATCAAAGTTCAAATATCTTAGAGCACTATCATGATAGATTCTGAGTTCTATCTGTCTCCTTGTATGAAAGTTTGCCTCAAAATAACACATTTCCAGTGTTAAGTCCATTCCATCCATTCTAATCCTTCATTCATTTAGATAATGTATTAAATCCAATCTGTTTCTTTTTACCAAATTCCAATTTAAAACCAACAGTGTTATACAATAACTAAAGACTAGTTTAGTTATAATAAGCTAAATCATAACGAATGCTAAAGTATCACCCAAACTAATTTCTTATGACAAATACAGTATAGCCCATGGAGACACAGCAGCCGACATCCCAGGGGGCTTTCTAAACATGGCCTATGTTGTCAGAAGCCTTCCAAAGACCCTAACAATGCAGGGTAGAACACTTCACTCTATGTCTCACAATTAAAGTATATGGCGGTGAGAGAAAAGGAGAAACACAATTCCTCTAGGGTTTACTGAGCGTCTCTTCATGAATGCACATAAAACACAACCCTGTGGTTTCTCTTTCTAAGGTTTCACCAAGAAAAACACTTTTCACTCAAAACCTCAGCGTACAGATTACTTCAGAGATGCATCTGTGGAAGCCAGGGCTCATGAGGTGGAGTTTTAAACCACATGGTGGCAACAGACAGATTCAGGTCTTACGTGTGTGTGTGTGTGTTCATTTGTTTATTTGTTTATTTATTTTGAGGCAGAATCTTACCAAGTAGCCCAGGCTGGCCTCCAACTTGAGAGTCTCCTGCCTCAGCCTCTCAAACATTGAGATTACAGGGATATACCATGGTAATTGGCTTCAAGAAGCAAGTCTTCAAATTTGGTATGGAAAGGGAGTCAGGGTCTGAATCTATGTGCATCGAACTCTACCTGTATCAGCTGAAAGTCCACACTCTTGCAGGACACATTTTATTTATGCATTTTTACTCCAGTGTCATGAATACATCCAGGACCTCATACTTGTTAGGCAAACACTCTACATACCACTGAGCAACATCCCCAGCCTTAAGACGCATTTTTAAAGCAAACAGAGGTTACAACTTTTTAAATAATTTCATTTGTAAATACATTTCCAAATAAAATTTGGTACTACTGTGATAAATCTTGTGAGCAGAATTTAATCCAAATAACTAAAAAGACCATCAAAGGAAGGGGCTAAACAAGTATATGCTCAAGATAAAGAAAACTCCATTTTTCACAAAGATCACGAGGGGGGAAAAACTTTTTTGAGAATTGAGATTGTTTCCATTTGCCTTCAGCCAACGACAGAATTTTGACCCCCTGGTAATCTAAACTAGGAAAAAGTCAGCAGACTACACCTGAGGCCGATCTACCTGCCATCTGATTTGTAAAGGAAGCCTTACTGGAATACACAGTAGCACTCGAAGTTTATGTGTTGCTGGTGCTACAATGGTAGAGTTACACAGGAGCATCAGCAACATACCTGGGCACACAGTTTCCCAACCCTTAACTGAGAACTATCTCTAGATCACTGGTCCTTATGGAATTACTAAAGGCTCCAGCATGGAAAAAGTGTTACTTCACTTGCATGGAGTTGTTCCAATTACATAAGCTGGTCAGCAGCTCTAGTTCCCAACAAGACTTTCAACATAATCATTAAAACAGAAAAAGAAATCATCATTCAAACATTCTCCACTGGCAATTCAGAATAGCACTTATTTGAAATACTTGAGAACATGAGCATCTTAGACTTCAGAATATTCGAAGAGACTTTACCAGAAGCACTTCTAACCTAAAAACTCCAAAATTGAAATGCTCCAAAACCCAATGCTCTTGAGGACTGATACCTAAAGTGTATCCTATTTTATTAGAGTATTCCAGATTTCATACTTTCAGATTAGGGATACCCAAGCTATCCCCCCACCACCCTTGCTCAAAATCTTCCTTTGATACAAGTGAAAAAACACAGGCCAAGTCAATCACAGATATGAGCTTTGCAAGGTGTGCTGGCTAGTTTCATGTCGACACAAGATATGGTCATCTGAGAGAAGGGAACCTCAACTGAGAAGATGCCTCCATAAGATCCAGCTGTAGGCAAGCCAGTAGATCGTGTTCTTAATTAGTGATTGATGGGGGGAGGGCCCAGCCCATTGTGGGTGGGGTCACCCCGGGTTGGTGGTCCTACAAGAAACCAGACTAAAGCCATAAGGAGCAAGCCAGTAAGCAGCATGCCTCCATGTCCTCTGGATCAGCTCCTGCCTCCAGGATCCTGCCATTTGCACTCCTGTTCTGATGCTGTTCGGTGGGGAACAGTGATGTGGAAGTGTAAGTCAAATAACCCTTTCTTCCCCAAGTTGCTTTAGTCATGGCGTTTCATCACAGCCATAGTAACCCTGACTAGGCACCAGGCACAGAGCTTTCAAGCAATGTTTAAGTCTAAATACCCTTAGATCACAGAATGAGAACTCCTTTGCAGGAATTTTTTATTGGTTGTTGTTGGTTTTTTGTTTTGTTTTGGTTTTTGTTTTCTGTCTAGGTCTGGGCGGGAGGGTACTTTCTGTTTTTGTCATATTTTATAAATAAAGACTACACTGCTAGTATCTAAAATATTTACTAACTGGCCTTTTAAAGAAGTTTGCTTAAGCAGGCATGGTGCTGGGCACCTCCATCTCAGCTCTTACAAAGCTAAAGATAGCTTGAACCCAAGAATTTTGGGTCAGCCTGGGCAACAATGTGAGAACTGATCTCAAAAAGAGGAAAGAAAAGATGAGAGAGAGAGAGAAAGTGAGAGGAAGGAGAGAAGCAAGGAAGGAAAGAAGGAGAGCAGTGAGAGATGTGTTCACCCTGCCTTACACAGACCCCAGTATTACTATTTAATGATCCCCAATGTTTATTTTCATGAACTGTTGGCACATGGTAGACCCCGGAGGCTGAGAACCCTGTCAAGACAACCTGTAGTCTTCCTTACACACTGCTAACAGTAGAGCCACATTTAAGCGTCTCCTAGAAAGGAAGGCATTCCACACAGGACATGAACATTCATTTTGTCTTTACATAGATGACGTCTAAGGATCTCGAATAGTTTAAGAAAAATCACACAAGTAAAAACTGTATGTTAACACTGCTACCAAAATGTGAGAACAAATGAAACTTCCAGGTAAAAGATAAAAAACTCCATGAGAACAGTTTCATTGATTCATACTTACTCCTTCATTTCTTTGGATGGGGAATTACATGCAGGAAGGAATGCTGCTGGGCTACTTAATTTATCCAGAGTACACGCTGTTCCTATGGCTCGTACCACTAACCCAGACTCGCCTTCCAGATCAAAACACTGCAAGTACCCAACAACTGCATTTCCTCTCATCTCAAGTACTTTCAAGCCAATCTTTCTCTGTAATTCACCTACCAAAAGAAAGAAATTCATTTTTAACTTCATATCTCTATATTATATACTTTTAAAAGAAAGATATAATAGACATACAAAAACAAAACAAAAGTTTAATAATCATAGATTCTTAGAATTTGAGGAGAACTTAGAGTTATCTGGTCCACGCTCCACTTTCAGGAGGTAAGATACTACTGGCTGCAAGCTGAGGCGTGTTAAGTAAATGCTCACTCATTCATTCATGTGCCTTACAGAAAAAACAGTTTTGGGTTCTGCATTGTATGTTGGCATTCTTCTCATCTCCAAGGTGTTAAATATTTGGATGAGCAAAAAAGATATATACTCCAAATCTAGGGGATGGAGAGAAAATTAAATGACTCAAGTATTTGCTGTGCATGAGGACCTGAGTTCAGATCTGCAGCACCATATGCTAGGTGCTAACTCTCCTAAAAGTTAGAAATGACTCTCCTAAAAGTTGTCTTCTGACACTCACACTATGGCACATGTATCCATGTAAACACACAAACACAAACACATACATGAAAATATTTTTTAAAATCTCAAATATGAGCCAGGCGGTGGTAGTGCACACCTTTAATTCCAGCACTCGGGAGGCAGAGCCGGGCGGTCGAGGCCAGCCTGGTCTACAGAGCAAGTTCTAGGACAGGCTCCAAAGCTACACAAAGAAACCCTGGTTCGAAAAAAACAAAAAACAAAACAAAAAAAAACAAAATCTCAAGTATAACAGCATGCCCCTATAATCCCAGCAGTGGGGAATTACTGGCTGAAGAATCCCTGGGACTTGCTGGCCAGCCACTCTGGCCAATTGGTGAGCTCCAGATTCAGTGAGAGACCCTGCCTCAAAAACACAAGGTAGAAAGGGATCAAGGAAAAAAACAGATGTCAACCTCTGACCCACACATGCACACATGCACACACACACACACACACACACACACACACACACACACACACACACATACACACACACAGAGTGAACTCACACATCTGATTCAGATGTCCACTTGTTAAAAGTGTTTAATGGGATGGTACCTGGGATAAGGAATCAACACTTATAATTCAGTCTTGGTTGTGAAATTTCATGTACCATACGAAAGGAAAGTGAAAACATTAAGACTAAGTTAATCAACAGAAATTTTAAGACTAAGCAATCAACAGTTGCTTTACTAGAATACCTGACATTAAAGAAATAAGTCTCTGTCTGGCCTCATTTGATGCCCTTGGTGTGCGAATACGATCAATCCATTGATATTCAGGGTCTTCATTGACCACAAGTTCTTCTACAAATCCATGGATCACCACAGCTCTGTAGCACTTTGGAATAGATGTTGCTGTTAAAACAAATTACTTATTATCCTTCTACTAACCACAAAGCCAAACTTAAATTTAAAAAAAATATATATATAGATCCAAACAAAAGGAGAAATAAAAAATAAAAAGTATCTGTGCAGCTTTTATGTTTTAGATATATAAAGCAGGAATATCTACTACATAACCTCAATGCAACTGTAAGAGCTCTCAAACAACCTTTTAAGATCTGTTTTATCCTAAAAATAATTTCCTGTCATGAAGCTTCTCACTTTTCTCACGTAAGAATAGCAAATATATTGGGGCTGGAGAAATGGTTCAGCAGTTAAGAGCACTGGCTGACTGGGGTTGAATTCCCAGCACCCTTATGGCAGCTCACAACTGGCTATAACTCCAGTTCCCAGGGATATGACACCCTCACACCAATGCACATAAAATAAAATTAAATAACTTATTTTTTTAAAAATGAATAGCAAATATAAACTGTACTTTTATGATCCAGAGTATGGCTATAGACATTAAATCACTGTTCAATACAAAGTTTAAGAAAATCAAAATATCACAGAGTACCACATAAGTCTGTACTGTTAAAAATAAATTTAAGTTTATAAAAACAAAATTAAGTTTATAAAAACAGTTGGCCAGCTGGTGCTAACATTATAGGCAGAATGTTCTTTCCATCTCACACTACAGCCCCTTTCCAAACATGTTGAGAAATCCCACAGCCCCTCATTCCTAACAGAATCCATGCCATACAACCAACTGTTACAGTAGTCACGTACTAATTAATAGATCCACTGAATATGAAACTCATTTACATAAATGTATCATTGGGTTTAAGTAAAATCTAGTCAGATTCAAAAGGGGGATCATCCACACCAAACTAGTCTCTCAGAAAATGTATTCATGCACTGAGGATGACTACTTGGGGATGCTTGACCCACTAACAGAGATTGGCATGAGTTTCCAGAATAGATCCACACTGGTCACTGTCCTGGGGCCTCATGTGTCCAGGCTATAGACTGCTCCATAGTACCATCCACAGTTCTCCCCTCATTCAGCATTCTATACCACAGCAAAATGCCTTGGGATTTTTAAACAAAAATTTCCAAGAACTTGTAAAAATTAGACATCATTTACTCTAAAAATCAAATAAACAATCACAGAGTTACAGTGACTATTTCTAGAAATTTAACCATTTTTTCTCTGTTATAAAAACCAAACCCTAATACTTTTTCCATTAATCCATCTGAGTATTAGTTTTTCATATTTAAAAATTATTAAATTTCCTGTTAAACAAGACAATGGCATTTACTTACTGCAAAAGAATTTGACTCCACATGATGACTGTCTAAATCTGTTTAAATCATTGAAGAGGTCTACTTTGACAACCACATTGATTTCTCCACGGATACCTGGAGATTTAAAAATCAAGTTTCTAAGTTAAGAAAACAACATACAATAACCCATGATGCAAATAGATGCAATTACTGATCTTCAAATAATGTATTGTCATAACAGTAAGGTTAGCTTTACTTCCTGGATATTCTCACTCCCAGTTGGTCACTGGGTACACTGAAGCTAAGTATAACAGCCTGAGAGAAGCATCATGCCCACTATTACCTAACGGTTCACCTACCTGAGCCAAGAATGCCTGAAAGAAGCCCCATTTTAAGTGATGATGGCAGTGGTGGAAAGACGTGCTGAGTCCCAGGAGACAACCCACTAAACATTCACTGTGCTCACATCAGCCCAGCGAGGTCATTCCTACAGTAACACCATTCCCATTTTAAAGAAGAAATTAGTATTTAATTAAAAGTTTACCAATTCACATAGTGTTGGTAACTAACAAAGGCAAGGGTAAGGGCAAGAATAAAAAGTCAGTTCTTTATAATAGCAAGGATAGACTCCTAATCCAACTCTGATTTAACATGAGAAGTTTTATACATGGGGCTTTCAAAACATGCTGCAATAAATAGGAATGACCTAGCCCTTACTGCTAAACATTTATTAAATAGCTTTACTCGACTGTCTTGATCTCTTGTCAACTCAGTGCTGATGGAAGAAGGCCTTCTAAGAAAAGCCTTTACTAATTTACTGAAACAAGAAGAGATATTTCAAACACAGAGCCCATATTAAGCCAATCAGAAACTATCTTTAACGTTCTACGTTGGGAAACTATTCCATGCACAAGGTTTGTACTGCTTTAATCCGGGCCCATAATTACCTCTTTAGCATCACTGACTGACCAGTGAGCTCCAGGGATTTTTCTATCCCTACCTTTCGTGTTTGGGGATTGCAGAAGGTGCCATGTTTTCACATGGGTACTGGGGATCTGCACTCAGCCTCTTGTTCTTATACAGCCATCACTTCAGTGACTGAGCCGCTCTCCCACTCACTCCCTCTTTGAAACAGGGTCTCTCTAAACCCTGAACTCACTGACTTGGCTAGGTGACCTCCAGCCAGAGGACCTTCTGTTACTCCTCCCAGTACTGGTATGCCCTGCTTTGCACAGCTTCTGAGGATCAAACTCAAGTCCTCACTCTTGTACAGCAAGCACTCTGATAACTAAGCCATCTATCTGCCTAGACTTTGGAGACATCTTTTTAACTGCAATAGCATTTGATTGTATTTACTTCCTGACTATAAAGATAATATATAATACACTGTAGAAAACAAAGGGTGAGGGAGAAAAGAAAGGAAAACATTTATAACTCAGAAATGGAACTGTGCACGCAGAAGCATTATATCATACATTCTACCAAATTTTCTCATGTTAGTACATATTAAAATTGGGACCATCGTATTTTATAACGTAAATTTTGCAACCCATAATATATCACATTGGTATACCTGTTTCACTGTTTTCTGAAAACTTCAGTTTCTTCTGACTGTAAAACAGGGCTTATAATAGGATCTAACCTATTTTAAAATCCCATTTCTCAACCTGTTTTATCATTTTGAATGTTAATAAATAATAGGACACAGATAAAGTCTCAATGAATTTATACACAAATGTTTTGCTTTATTACAAACATCTCACTTCTTTATTGTATCCCTCTATCCGTGGAACTGCCAGGTCAGGAAAAAGAAATGCAGCAGCAGAAGCAAGGCGGGGCCATTCGTGTCAGCCCTGGGCAGCACAGCCCTCAAAAGCAACCACACAGTTAGAAAAGCAGGTCTCAGGGTGTTTGGTCATGGGACCCCTTTACAATCTAAAAATTATTGAGAATTTCAAGGAATTTTTATAAAGATTATTATCTATCAATATGTACCATAATAAAATTAAGATTACCAATTTAAAAAAATTAATCATTGCGTGAACTTTTTATAAAGAGTTATTTTCTTAAACAGAAGAAAATTAGTGACTAGAGTTCACTGTGGCATCTTTACAAATCTCTCCAAGGTCCTGTTAATGAGTCCTCCTTCTGCTCTACGGTGTGTTCTAACTCCTCTACAACAGCACATGTTTGTGAGAGACTGAATAAAGACAATGAATGACACAATCACTGCACTGAAAATAGCTCTAACCACTAAACCCACAGCAGCGTTTCAGGGACTTCAGGTGCTCCTAGACCGACAGGCTAGCCTCAACCTCACAATCCTCCTAGTCAGCCTACCAAGTATTGGGATTAAAGGCATGCACTGTCATTTCTGGCTAAGAACCCAGCTTTAAACAACAAAAAGGTTTTAGGAATCTTTCAGAAGACAAATATTAATATTAATCAGTTTGAAAACATGTCCTAAAAACATAGAATAACAATGTTATTCTGTATTTTCCTTTTTTTTTTTTTTTTGTCACTGATAGATACCATCCTGGAGTATAGTATAATGCTGGCTAGGAAAATGCTCCACCAGAGCCAAACCCAACCCTCAATACAGCTTTTAAATAACACATTTACTTCCTCTGTCACATGGAGTCAGCAGGTATGTTAACTGTGTTCAGAGAAATGTAGATTCTCTCAGCAACACTTGGCTACTTGTCTATTTTTCAAGGTATCTTTTAGGAATATTTTAAAAACCACAGTGTAGTAAAAAAGGTAAACAGAGAAGATTAAGACTGCATTTCATTTTCTTCCAATGCTACTCCTTACCATGTATGGTGTCATAAATTGGGAACCACCCTGAGATGACTGTTGCAGCTTCACTATACAGTAAAGGATCGATGTCAATGTACACCTTGCCAATAGCATCGTTTGCACTGTAAGTATCGTGGTCAAGAACTGTGATCTGCAGAGGTTCATCTTGTAAATCTTCATCATCCACCTAAAAAGTACACCCTGAAATTAAATCTTACACCTTTGAAATATTAAGTATCACAAAGCTACACACTACCAAACCATAAGGGCATGTTAGGGATTTATCTGTAAGGCAGAGGTAAAGAGATAACTAGGCCCAACACCATAAACCAGTGGTAGAGTATCTGCCTAGCATATATACTACAAGGCCTTGAATGCAATTCCAGAACTACAGAAAGTAAACACTTCCTCTGGAAAAAAAGAAACACACACACACACACACACACACACACACACACATTGGAGACAGGGTCTTTCTATGTAGCTCTGGCTGTCCTTATATGCCCACTAAAAGACTACATTTCCCAGCCTGTCTTGCAAATGGTAAGTTGCAGGCACAACTAGTACCCAGAGCATGGTAAGGTGGGAAACCTCTTAAAGGGATCCATCTCTTGGAAACCTTCAAAGAAAAGCTACTTCAGGGAAGAACAGTTCCTGCAACTGAGTCCCTTGGTAGAAAACTCAGACACAGCCAAGCTGCTTGGAAGTGGTTCTTTTGAGAAATATAGGCACAGCCCACATGGAGATCATTAGGAATGGCAACCACTGTCCGATATGACAATTTCCCAGGCAAATATCTTATTGGCTGTGAGCTAAAGTGTAAATAGCTTTTCAACCTGCAGTTTTGTCTATTTAGCATGTGTGGTATTTGAATAAGAATGGCCCCCATAGACTCATATATTTGAATGTTTAGTCACCAGAGTGGCATTATTTAAAAGGATTAAAAGGATTAGGGGGTGTGGCCTTTGGGAGTAAGTGTGTCACTGGGGGTGGGCTTTGAGGTTTCAAAGGCCCATGAGAGGTGCAGTCTCAGTCAGTCTGTGTCTATGTGTGTCTCTTCCTCTTCCCCCCCTCTTCCCTCTCTCTCTGCAAATCAGGATGTATCTCTCAGCTACTTTCTCTAGAACCATGCCTGCTCCCATTTAGTTCATGATGGCAATGGGCTAAACCTCTGAAACTGTAAGCAAGCCCCCAATTAAATACTTTCTTTTATTAATGTTGCCTTGATTATGGTGTCTTCTCACAGCAATAGAACAGTGACTAAGTCAGAAGGTAGTACCAGGAGTGGGGTATTGCTGTGACAGGCCTGACCATGGTGCTTGTTGACAGAATATGGACTTTGGATTAGGAAAGCAACTGAAAGTTTTAAGTGGTGATTAATGGGACAAAGTAGTAGACGCATGGAAGACAGTAGTGCTGAGAATGATGCAGATTATAATGGCCTTGCTTGAGAAGTGTCAGAGAAGGAGGATATTAGTAAATGGGCTAGAGACTGTTCTTGAGATATTTTGGAGAAGAATGTGGATGCTTTCTGCCCTTGTCCAAAAAAAATCTGCTAAATTGAAGAGTTTGGGATTAATGGTACTGGCAGAGGAGATTTCAAAATAGCCTAGTATTGACTTTGTCATGTGCTTACTAAGTGATCATTCTTATGCAGATCTGTAATTAAAAGGAGCAAGCTAAGAAAGGAAAAATACAAAATGTACAGTTTGAGGAAAAAAGGAGCACCAGGAAGTGTAATGGAGCTGAGTCCAGTGTGCAAGGAGATAAAAAGTTTAAACAAAAGCCTGATGCTAAATGGAATAAAGGGAATGATGACCTCAGGGCAAGACCCCACTCAGTTCACCTCCAACTTGTGAAAAGTAATTTAGGAAAACTTAAGCAGTGAAGGAAATCATCAAAAACAGAAAACTGACGAAAATGTATTTGAATGACGGGGCTATGCTCTAGCCCCAGTTAGTAGAAGAACTTGGCAGCTTTGGCCATGTAGATCTAGCTTATAAGTCAAGGATACAAGAAAGAGTTGTGAAATCTCCCTCCGTGGCTAAGGAAAGCTGCTGAGACCAAGTGTGAGTCAGGGGTGTCTCTGCATGAAGGCCCAAAGAGGTCATTGTGTGAAGCTGTGAGGGTGAAGCCTGAATTGCCTTGGAGACCCCAAGATGCTGGAGATGCCAGAGTTGTGGGATACCTGCCAAGGAGAGCTGCAGGCCAGGTGTGGAACTAGCCCACACAGAAGTGTGATGCAGTCAACAAAACTGAAAGGAGTTGGAGATCTGAAAATTGCTTTGATATCATTCATGAAAATGTATAGTTTGGAATTTGCCCTGATGATTTTAGGTGTTGCTTTTGTCTAGTACTTCTCCACTATGCTCCCTTAGCCCACTTTTGGACTGGTAATATGTATTATATGCCATTATATGTTGGAAGTATGTGATCTGCTTTTTTTATTTTGATTTTACCAGAGATTACAGTTAAGAGATTGTCATGAGTCTCAGAAGAGACTTCAAACTTTGGACTTTTAAATTAAAACTGTTGAGACTGATAGACTATGGGGACTTTTAGAATGCATTTTTTTCATTATGATATGGCTATAAGCCTATGGGAGCCAGGGAACAGAATATGGTGTTTTGAATAACAATGGCCTCCACAGGCTTATCTATTTGAATGCTTAGTCACTAGGGAATGGTACTATTTGAAAGGATTAAAAGGATTAGGAAGTGTGGCCTTCTTGAAGGAAGTGTATCACTGGGGATGGGCTCTGAGGTGTCAAAAGCCCACAGCAAGTTCAGTCTATCTCTGCCTGTGGATCAGGATTGTAGCTCTCAGCTACTCCTCTAGCACACATCTGCTCCTACTATGAGGGTAATGGACTAAACCTCTGAAACTGCAAGCAAGCCCCCAAAATGCTTTCTCTTATAAGTGTTGCCTTGGTCATGGTATATCTTCACAGCAACAGAACAGTGACTAAGATAGCATATCTATACCACTTACACCTCTATATTATCTAAAGGATGCAACTGTCTCAAAATGCCAATATTCAAACAACTCTATGCCTAACTCATTTAAGAATATCATCCACTTTCACTGGTGCCAGCTCATATTAACATACACATAACTTTCCTGTATGAACACATTATTATAGCCACCCTCTGAAAGGATACACACTGAGGAAAATGGAAGCTCAAAATGGGCAGCATGTGTACATACATGTATAAATTAGCAAGTACCAAGAATAGGACTTCTATTTTCTCCATTTGGACCTCAGTATTTCACAACAGGCAGCTAGCCAGCATCCCGACTCTTATAGAATAAGCTTTCCGGCACTAAAGGAGAGATCACAATCCTGCCATTGACCAGGAGCAAAGCAGTGTGATTTCCTTCCTTCTCTGGTAGGTTAGAAGACTAGTAGCAAAACCAAAGCAACCTTCAAACCAGTCAACACTCTGCTGTACCTCATTCTCTTTCCTTAAAGGGCACAGGGCTACATTTTACCCAGGCTTACACAATGACTGCAAAGCAAGTCTCAGAAAAGAAGACACAGGAATCATTCTCTGCACTACCTAGGACCACAATGGAGATATCGAGGAGCGAAAGCACTCTAGTATATTTTAAGTGAAAGCTTCTTCAATGCTTCATTACCCTGTCTCCAAAATGTACAACGGTGGAGTTGGACATGTCAGAAAATGACACAATCTACTTAAAAATGAATAGGTACACAAAGGGAAAAGGCAGATACTACCAGGAGATAGCCAGGTACATGATGTTTTTTTCAGAGAACAACCATAAAGAAGCTACAGAGCTAGAAAGACTAATACATCCTAGGCAGAACAAGAGAGACTGGATTAGGATAAGGGAGAGATACTCCAGAAGTCATCAACATCCCATGATGCCAAGAAAGGATCACTACTGCACAGGAGACAAAGTGCAGGGGGAAAGGAGGAGGAGAACACAGGCCTGGATGAGGAGATAGGAAGCACCTCCACCTTAGAAAAAATCTCCAGGTGCAGGTGTGCTTGGACATGAGCACTCCCCAACCCTCTCCACCCAATCCTTCCATCTCAGAACCTGCCACTTAGCCAGGCTCTTCTGTACCAGAACCTCAACTTCTGCCCCACCTTCATCATCCTTGACCCTCTGTGAGCCAACAAACCCCATAGAGTCACAACTGCTTCCAATAACCCACAGCAATCACAGCCAATGAGAATTAATCCCTAGTCTTGATATATAGCTCACATATAACCCCTGTGCTGACTTGAGAGAGAGAGAGAGAGAGAGAGAGAGAGAGAGAGAGAGTTAGTTCACAGGTGCATATGTGAGTACAAGTGGTCAATGAGGCCAGAAGACAGCATTGGTTCCTCAGGAGCTCTCTAGGCAGTTGTGAGATGCCCACATGAATGCCAGGTACCAACTCAGGTAGATCACCTGGAAAAGCAGCCAGTGCTCTTAACCACTAAGCCATCTCTCCAGCCCCGGGCTGACTTGTGAAGAGTGCTAAGGCTCTTAATGGAGAAAGAAGTCTCTTAACATATGGGGATTAAACATCTGAATTTCTATACATACAAAAAAGAAATTAGCTAGCCAGTTACCTCATACCACTAAAGAAGTTAACTGAAAATTAATCAATGACCTATATATAAGTGCTAAACCATGAAATTCTTAGAAGAAAACACATGGAGTGGGTTTTTAATACCAAAAGCATAAACAGCAACATGAATCTGTATGTACTGAACTGCATCAAAAGAATCTGTACATCAAAAAATTATTAAAAAAGTAAAACCTACCGAACAGAAGAAGCATCTACAAGTGGTATATGATAGGAACAGACAATAAAAATATATAAAACATATAAAGCCCAAAGCTCAGTCCCTAGTACAAATACACATATGAATACACACACACACACACACACACACACACACACACACACAACTTCTACAATTCAATAATAAAAAAAACTGGGTGGTGGTGCATGTCTTTAATCCTAGTACTTGGAAGGCAGAGGCAGGTGGATCTCTGTGAGTTCAAGGCCAGCTAAGGCTACACAGAGAAACCCTATCTCAAGGGGATGGGGGGAAAAGCCCTAGGGGCTGGAGAGATGGCTAAGTGGTAACTCTCCAAGCCTCTTTGGGCACCATGCACATACACGGTGTTCAAACATATAGACAAGCAAAACAACTATACACATAAAATAAAGTTTAAAAACAAATGTCTGTGATCCCAGAACTCTGGAGATAGAAGCAGAAGAACCAGAAATTCAAGGTCATCCTCAACTACATGATGAGTTCCAGCATAAGCAAATTCAAAGAAACAGGAAGCAGATCAGAAGTTACCAGGGTCTAGAAAAAAGGGAATGGAAATTATGGCTCAAAGAGTACAGTTTCTGTTTAGGGTAATAAAAACGTTTTGGAAATAGTAGTAATGTTTGCAAAACACTATAAATGTAGTTAGTACTATTGAGGTGTACCTAAAATGAAGCTGAGCAGGGTGGAATGCATCAGCTATGTGGGAGGCTGAGGCAGAAGGGTCTCAGTTCAAGGCCAGCATGGATAATATTGCAAGATTTGGCCTCAAAACAAAAAAAACAAAACTGGTTAAAATCAGGCTTGGTGTCAGACGCCTATAATCCTAGTACTTGGGAGGAGGATCAGGAGTTCAAGGCCAACCTTAGTGACATTAAAGATATAAAGTAGTTAAAAGAAGAAAACTTTGTCTAAGTGTGTACATTGTTCTTCAGATTTGATACATGCTAGGACCCAAAGAAAACTACAAGCACAAAATGACTATGAGGAACCCATTTTTCTCCTTCATTAGCATATATTTTAACTATGATGTAATGCTTCAAAAGCTCAATATTCCAACCAGGTGGTGGTGGAATACACTTTTAAGCCCAGCACTTGGGAGGCAAAGACAGATGGATTTCTGTGAATTCCAAGCCAGTCTGCTCTACAGGACAGCCAGGGTGGATACACAGAGAAACCCTGTCTCAAAAAAAAAAAGTTCAATATTCTCAATAAACAAAAAAGGAACTACTTCTCAGGTATAAAATCTAGTATACTTAAAGTAGAAAGTCTTTATCATTCCCAGGAAAAAAAGGTACACCCAAACAACAGAGATATTCAACAGCTTACCTCAAATTTAAACCACTCCGAGTTCCACTGAGGATTGAGTGACTTGAGGTACACATCTGTCTTAAAGGTTGTATTACCAAATTTTACCTAAAAAAAAAAAAAAAGAAGAAACTATTCAAATACAAATACCAAAACCAGGAGTAAATGCTAGGCTGGGAGTGGTGGCACACACCATTAATCCCAGCACTCAGAAGGCAGAGGAGTCTGATCTCTAAGTTCAAAGCCAGTCTCGTCTGCATAGAGAGAGGTTTTGGAAATAGTAGTAATGTTTGCATTACAAAACTGGGAGGGGGGTGTTTCGGGGAGGGGTAGCAAATGTTAGTAGCAGCTAACAAAGTGAGGGTTAGCAAAATAAAGGGGAAAAGACAGTCATCCTAAAAAAAGAAGGTTGATATGCCCAGGTAAGTAAGTAGGATACAAGGTACAAAGGATCGCCTACTGGTCTACCTGACCAGCTCCACAGAAAACAGAAAACATGCATCCTGACATCAGCCCTGAGGAAGGAGTTGGCATGTCTACTTGAGGAAGAAGCTACAACAAAACCAGAAGGTAAAGAAGACATCCTCTTAGCATCTAAGCAAGAGAAGCCAGAAACACACCCATTAATACAAGGACGGAGTAATAGTTCCTTGTTTTCTAACTTCCTCGCACTTATTATTTTTTACATCCCTTACTTGTGCACACAGTGCTCAGTGGTAAACTACTGTATTTTATGTTCACATCCTAAAGGACAATCAATGGAGCTGTATGGAGAGACTATTTCAGTTCACAGTAATCCTGGTATGCACTAAATCAAAAAGACCCAAAACTAAAGAGGGAAGAGAGCAAGTTAAGCCCCTGGTATTTGCTCCTCCACCCCCCAAAAAAATCAACTGTGAAAGCTCAGACTAGATTTGGAAGTGGACAAGAAGCCTGAGAGCAACATACCAAAAGTGGCTTCCTAACCTGCCTCTATGATTCTAAATTCAATCTTTTTTTTTAAAGGCTCTTTTAATAAAAATTTTAACCACATTCATTTAGTGTGTGTGTGTGTGTGTGTGTGTGTGTGTGTGTGTGTGTGTGTGTGTGTGTGTGTGTATTCTACTGTGTAGGTCCCAGGCATTAAACTGAGGTCCTCAGGCTTGGCGGAGGACACCTTTACCCATTGCCACCTTGCTGTCTCCTATCTACCCTTTAAGCCCTTCCTCTAGGCCCTCACCTTTGCCAACAAGGACTTTGACTGACCTTGAGAGAAATTAAAGGCTGCTGCCATTTTATCACAATACTTACATAGCACAATAATGTATATATAAATACTTACAAATGCTGCTTCAATCAGCTAAGAATTACACTTGCTGATCTTATTGCTTAGTCTAAGAAATTTAAACTACACAAAACTGTACTTTTCTCTTCTGCATATTGTTATACTTAGTTTTACAGTTTAAAGTACTTGGTACCTAGGCAGTTGGATTAAAGAGTAAAAAAATAATTTAAAGACAAATTTAAGAACAAAAAAAAATTTTTACATGTTATTACTGAAAGACCCTAGCCCTTCAGGCTTACACCCCCAAGCCTCAGGAAGAGAGAAACTTCAAGCACCAGGAAATGAGAAACTAAAAATCTAGTTCCAGCCGGGCGGTGGTGGCGCACGCCTTTAATCCCAGCACTCGGGAGGCAGAGCCAGGCGGATCTCTGTGAGTTCGAGGCCAGCCTGGTCTCCAAAGCGAGTTCCAGGAAAGGCGCAAAGCTACACAGAGAAACCCTGTCTCGAAAAACCAAAAAAAAAAATAAAAATAAAAATAAAAAAAATAAAAATCTAGTTCCAAGGGCCACCTGACTCAGCCACTACTCAATCACCCCTGTAACAATATAACAGTGTAAAAAGATTTCTGTTAAGAGATGTGCTCAACTGTGACTGGGATAGTTGCAAGTGTTCCAGGAAGGACCACTGTGACCTGTGTGTAAACTCCACTCCCGCTCTGATACCCCCATTGAGGTTTCAGGAAGAATGTACATGCTGACGTGACTGTACCCACTCTGTGATCACCCTGTGATCAAGTCATCTGACAATCTTTAATACTGGTTAAAAACATTCAAATGTTTTCTTACTGATGGAGGGCATTTACAACAGGACATGAAAACATGCAGCCCAGAGGTGGTAGCCGCTGCCAGCTTCACATGCACTTTCAGCTTTTGTCTTCTGTCCACAGGTTTACAGAGGCCTGGTCTAATCATAACACCACCGCATTCAAGGAAGAGCAGGCTTCTAAGTACTTTAGATACATTATTTAGTTTATCTAAAACTGCTATAAACATTGAAGAAAAAGGTGTGCTAGAATTATATACCCACTCAAATGCCAAATATATTTAAGGGTTCTGGCTCACTGGCAAAGAGAGCACACATGTTTTAAGTTCTAAGTTCCCAACCCTCTTTTCTCCACAACAGTAGCTGTATATATATATATATATATATATATATATATATATATATATATATATATATATATATTTTGGTCAACTGTCCACTCAAGATAACTTAAAAATCTACAATCCCCACACTTCAATAGACAAACAAAAAAGGGGAAAAGTTAGACCACACGTGGCCATTGTGTGATTCCCCCTTCCAGAGAGAACCATAGTTCCTACAGTCTTATTTACTTCAAAAGAGATTTTATTACTCAGCAATTAAACAAACATTACAACTTCCTTTAGAGCAGCAGGGATTTTAACTGAGAGTCCTATAGTGAAATAGAGCATTTTCTGCTGATGTTATTTAATCTCTTCAAATCAGCTCTTTCCTCTAAAAAGGAGAGTTGCAAGGACATTTCATGATTACATATTACCCATGAAAAGACCCAGTATGATGGAAACTATTGATCAAATATTTATTTTCCCCTCAGACTCTTGAATGAACACAAAATGACAGCATGATTTAGCCAATTTGTAGCATGAACATTAATATGAATACCTATTTATTAAAATTTCCCTTGTAAAAAAAAAAAAAAAAACCTTGTCTTATTCATCTTAGAGATTGCTGCGAAAAGAACTTTTTGGTTTTTGTCCATGGTGGCGATAAAACGGAGGGTCTTACACATTTCACCACTGAGCAACATCATGCCCTGCTCAGGAACAATGATCTTTACTGTTCGGTCTTCACATCATAGAGGAGAAATCCCCTCAGCCAACACAACTTGGACCAACACTTGATCTGTTAGTCTAGCAAATTTTGTTAGATCACAGAATCACTAAAAACTTAAGTTCAGTAGGAAAATGAATTGCAAGCCTGACGACCTGAGCTTCATCCCCAGAACCCATGGTTAGCGAAAAGAGCCCGCTGACTGTCACGTGTGCACCATGGCATGTGTACAACACACACACACACACACACACACACACACACACACACACACTTTCTAATTACAAATTGCATGACTTTTACAATGAAATATAAAAACATGCACTTGTCTTTGAAGCTAATGCTCTTAAATACAGGTCTACTATTGATAGTTTAACATCAGAAGCATAAACTACACTGATAGGACCTGTGATCTGGTGTATATGTATGTGGTGGCACAATTCAAAATTGGTTGTAATATTTTTAAATTTTTAATTTTAATTTACATTTTAATGTAAACAAAGAATTCTATTTTTAATCTTTTCTCCTAATTCAAGGACAATTATCAGTGACTATTTCTATAAATCTTTATACAGCATTAACTTTTAAAACTCAGTTTATCAATTTACACATAAATTACAATAATAAATGTAGTTGACAAAAACCAATCTGGGAATAAACATAAGTGCTCCTACAGTATATCAGACAAGGGAGGAGACTCCGGGCACACTGGACAGCAGTTTATAGTATGGCAGCACACTGAGTCTCAGAGACAACAGTGGTCAGTAGGAACTAGTTGAGAGGGCTGCTAAACAGACTTCTTGCCCTGACTTCAAGACTGCTTAGCAATCTGAACCTCCTTCACCAAACGGGACTTACTTCCCAATCTATTCAACACCAACTCTCCTTCCAATGACATGTGTTTTATACCTGGCTTCGCCTGCACCAGGTTTGCCCTAGTCACTCAAAGAGCACTTTTCTATGTACCCATGGACATTTAACTATCCTCCAGATGCAGCATCAAAAGTTCTCGTAACCTGCCAAGTGTGGCAGTGCACACCTATAGCCTGACACTGGCAAGGCAGGAAGGAGGGAGGGGGTTTCTCATTAGGAGCTGGATACCTAGGTTCTGTTATCTCCCTCTCCTGGGAGCTTGTAACACTTACAGTCCACATCCTATAACTTATCCCTTTAACTGTAATCTTCTATTATCCTCCTCCTCCTGCTCTCATTTTCTCCTTCCTCCTGGATTATTCCTATTAGACAAATATGCTGAGAAGCTTATGTCTTTAATTACTAAAAGCTATATACACGTTAAGGACCACAGATTTCTCTCCTCTCTTCAAAGCCATATTTTTTGCAACAGTTGCCAATTCATACTGCTTTCTCACTCCAAGCATCCCAGTTCTCTGGAAGTCTTTAGACTTTACAAGATTAGTAACAATTTCCATAGTGACCCATCTAGACAATTCCATGTTTTCTTAATTGCTTCAAGGTGTTAATAATTGAGGGTTGGGACTGGAGAGATGGTTCAGTGGCTAAGAGGTGCTCTTGCAGAGCTGTCTTCAATTCCAGTTCCACAGGACTGATGCTCTCTTCTGATCTCCTTGGACATCAATCAAGCATGTGGTGTACATATATACATGCAGGCAAAACATTCATACACATAAAATAAATTATTTTTTAAAACTGAGGGCTTCCTCTTTCTAGAAACTTCTTCTCCAACCTAAACCATCACTCATTCTTTTCCTTATTCTTCACATACCCATTAACAGTTTCCTTCCCTTTATGCTCCTACTCAAATGACTTGTTTTTTGGGACAGTCTCACTATATAGCTCTGGCTGGCATGGAACTATCTATGTAGACCAGGCTGGCCACAAACTCAGAGATCCACCCGACTTTGCTTCTGGAGAAAAAGACATGTGCCACCACATCCCATCTTTAAATGACCCTGTCTTCAATGTCAAGTGTTTTCAAGGACAGATATATCCTACTTCTCTAACAAGTTAGAGGACAGGGCCAACCCCTAAGTGGGTGTTAGAAACCTCTTTTATTACACCAATTAACTGACATTTCTTCATGCGTGTGTATATATGTTTGTGTGTGCACATGCGCCTGTGAAGGTCAGAGGACAACTTCTGGAAGTCAGTCCTTTCCTTCCACCACACATGCAGGTTTGGAGACTGAACTCAGTTGCCAGACTTGGCTACAAGCACCATTGCCTGCTAAACCATCTCACTAGCCTCAAGTTTGAGAAATTTCTAGCCTTGTTTTGGAGAAAGTGAGACAGTACATAAGATCGGACCACTGGGTATACTGCAATGCAAGACTCCCAACAGTAATTTCCCCCGTGTCATGGTTTTTTAACAGCCCAATAGATAGTCACATGACTAAAAATCTAAAGCCAGGCATGGCTGCACAAGTCTGAAATCCCAGCACTTGGAGATCTGGAGACTTCAGAGCCAGCCTGGGCTACATAGTAAGACTGTCTCAAAGGAAATCTACCTAGACTCCAAGTTAGTTTTACAAATCAGAGGTTTTTTTTGTTTTTTTGGTTTTTCGAGACAGGGTTTCTTTGTGTAGTTTTGCGCCTTTCCTGGAACTCACTTTGTACAGCCCAGGCTGGCCTCGAACTCACAGAGATCCTCCTGCCTCTGCCTTCCAAATGCTGGGATTAAAGGCGAGCGCCACCACCGCCTGGCCAGAGTTTTATGTAAGGTTTTTTTTTAATTTTTATTTACATGTATGGATGTTTTGTCTGCGTGGATGTCTGTTTACCACATGCATGTCTAGTGTCTGTGGAGGCCAGAGAGGGAGTCAGATTCCCTGGAACTGGAGTTACAGACATGGTGAATGGCCATATGGGTGCTGGGAATTAATTGAACCAGGGTCCTCCGAAAGATAACTCGGTGTTCTTAACCACTCAGCTATCTCTCCAGCCCATACAACCGTCTTTCTATATGATATTCTTACTCACATGATTTTATCCACAAGAGACATTCCCAGACCAATTTTCTCACCATCTAGAACCCTATTTAATTATATTACATATAAATTACCTCCTCCTCCCAAAAGGAGAAATTCTTTTTGCATTCATCACTATATCCCTGGCATCCACTACAGTGTCTGATATACACCAGAGCTCAATAACTAGCCAATGACCCAATCTGATTAGTTCCCATTTTCTACTACATTTATAAATACTTCAATACTAAAATAACACACAGACACACACACACATAAACCGTGTCATACTATTTGAACCCAGTGCTCATTTATCATGAGTACAGATAAATTATATTTTCTATGAGTATGGCTCAAGAGAGACTTCAAAATATGTGATATAGGGTCAGCTAGATAGCTCAGCAGGTAAAGACCTTGCCACACAGCCTAACAACTTGAATTTGATCCCTGAAATCAACAGGAGAAAATCAACTCCCAAAAATTGTCCTTTAACCTCTATTCTCAAGCTGTAGCATGTGCACATTCATACACACACACACACACACACACACACACACACACACACACACACACACATATACATACACAAATAATATTTTTAAAAAGCCAAGTGTGGTGGCGAAGACCTTTAATCCCAGCACTTCGGAGGCTGAGGTAGGTGAATCTCAGAGTTCCATGACACCAGGCTACACAAAGAAATCCTCAAAAAACAAACAAACAAAAGCAAAATACGTTTTATTAAAGGGGATGTGGGTAACATGAATTGAAGCACTTTTAATCTACAACTCAACCACAAAAATAATAAAGTGCTTGGTCTCACAGAATTGAGCAATGCTGGCCTCACTTCTAATTCAAACTGCTCTTTTGAACATCACAGTCACAAATCCGATTTCCTCTTTGACAAATGTTATTAAAAGACATCTCAAATCTAACATGCCCAGATGGAAACTGTCTCCTCAGTCCATCCATATCCTCCTGCAAAGCTCCAGAAAATGACTTGTCTACTCCAGAAAGCTACGTATTGCCTTAGTTCTCCTTTGCTCGGTCGCTGGCTCCAATCTACCAACAAATGCTCTAATCTACTTTCAAAATAGATTTGGAATTTATCCACTGCTTTCTATTACCAAATCCACCACGTGGACCTATTTGAACTACAACAGACACTCCACTGGATACAACACGCTGCAAATCAAGTGCCATGTAATAGAAGTTACCCACTGAACGTATAAAGCTCAAATCTTAACCACAGCCATGCAGCACCAGCCACCTGAGCACTTCCCCACTGTGCCTCACACTGCTCTCCCTCCTCTTCCTAAAAGATGTCTACTACATACTCCTTCCCTCCCATAACACACCAGTCTCCTCCAGCTTCTCTCCTGCCTCCTCATCCTTTGACACAAACTATCGTCTCTCAGTAGCCGATGCTTCCCTCCAACAGGTGTTTGCTTGATTGATCCTGATTATTCAACCTAAAACTGATGTTCCTTATCATTCTCTCTTGTATTCTCTTGTGGCACTCATAACAATCTTTTCCTAATTTTAATTTCAATATAATTTCCTAATTAAATACTTAATAAGTTCTTTACTTTTTAAACGTCTTAGTCACCAAGATAAAAGTTCATTAAAATCAGAAACCAACTCCTCCTCATCAATCATCATACATAATCAGCTAGACCCAAAATGGCCCAGGGCCTGGCAAACAAACAACAATCAGGGACTAGTTACTGGAAGGGCTGGGTTTGATGGGACCTGTCTGCAATCCCAGCTGCTCAGAGGAAGATTTTTTTTTTTTTAATTTATTTTTGAGATAGGGTCTCAATATGTATCCCTAGCTGGCCTTGGAACCATGTAGACAATACTGACCCCAAACTTAGAGATCCACCTGCCTCTGCCTCCCAAGCACTAGAACTAGGAGTGTGCAATATCATGGCTGGCTTGAGACAGGATTTTAACATCAAGGTAAGCCTGGGTAGTTTAGTGAAACTCTAAATAAAATATATATTAAACCCATTCAGACCATCCTACGGACAACCTAATTTTTAAAAAATCTCATTTCTGCGGAAAACCCTCTCCTGGTTTACTCTTGCTTACAACGGGAGACTAGAATAAAAAATGAGGCTTGACTCCAACCCATCTTTCCTGCTTCATCTCCACCAACCTCAAGACCCACATTTTATTCCAAGTGCATCTCACACTAAAATGGCTTCCTGGATATTTCATGTACCACGTTCTGTGCGTTTGCTCTTTCTTTTGCCTGAAAAAAAAAAAAATCCTGGGCATTCCTCAAGGCTCAGCTCAACTGTCAGCTCCTTAGGAAGTCTTCTTAAACTATGATACAGAATTAAGTTCCCTCAGTCAAATATAACATCCATCATCTTGCCTGCAGAGGCAGGAAGAGTATACTAGACTGTCCCTAGGCTGTGGAGATTTACCAAGCAATTTTAGGCACATTATTACCACCCCGAGGCCTCCACTGCCTAACCCTATAATATGGGATAACACTCCTAGCAGGACTGTGATAAGGACTTAAAAGTATATGGCACAAATATGGCAATAATGAAGCTCAATACACATTAGCTATCAGTTATTAATATCAGCTGTATGGGTCATTCCGCCTAATACTAACTCCAGTGATCTGTAGATCTCTATTAACATCTGACCCAAGAGAAAACAGACCTTTTTCAATGAAAATGAAGTTAAGCTTAACAACGGTCATTAAAAAATAAAAAATAAAAAAAAATGGGGTGAACTTCAGTTAATTCGGTTCTAGAACCTTGAAGAACATTTTATATTAAGCAGAAGTATACTATCATATATCTTTGAACCTTAGGCATTAATAGCCCAAATGATTATTGCTCTAATAGTCTGCCTCATCATGTCAACTTTTATTATAATTTCTCCCTGGCTTCTTTCAGGTTCTGAGTTATTAATTTCCGGGCTGTAGGCCTGCGCTAATTTGCATGACTTTTAAACTAATCATTAGATTTAAAAAGCAATTTTGCAATTGAAATCCATGGCACTTAATTGACTTCCTACCTCAAGGCAATAAATTACCCTAAGACAGCTCATCTCCCTACCAGTCTACACAAGAGCAGATAAAGCGCCACTGTTGTGTGTGACTTGCACGGATGATTCAGACAGTGTTGGGGAAAGGGCTGGACGTCGTCGCACCGTGGGACTGCGGGTGTCCCCCGAGAGCTGGCTGCGTGGACACGCTGCAGCAATGGCCCTTAACCTCCTAATCATAAACGAGGTCGTGCGGGCGAGCGTCTCCGCGGCCACGCCTCGGACTGGCAGGTGGCCGGGAGGCGTCCTGACCCCAGGGACGCCGCGAACCTGGCGGCGGGACGTGTCCCGAGCGGAGGGCCACAGCCCACGGGCTGGGGGCGGTGGGCATCCCTCCACGGAGCCGCGGACAGGACCAGGCACCAACCTCCACGAAGGCATCCGTCAGGTCGCTGGCACGGTCCATCACCGGCAAATGGCGACCGGCCACGATTTTCACCTTCAGCTTCCCCGGCATCGCGGCGGCTTCGGCCTCTCCTAGGATTCCTGCAGAAACAAACAAGCGCGTCTGCGCCGAGCCAGCGTCGGGGGGGCCGGGGAGGGGAGGGGGGGGGCCGCGGGGAGCGCGCGGAGGGGACGACGGGAGCGCGCGCCAACTGACAGCGGAGGGCGCGCGCGCGCCGCACTCACGCTCTGAGGAGGAAGCGCGTCGTCCCGCGCGGGCGCCGAAGCCTCATTCCGCAGGAGCACCCGGAGGAAGGGCGCCGGCCAACCGTGCCGCCCTGGCCCCGGCGTACTACCTCTAGCCTCCAAGTCCAGTCAGCATCCCGCGGAGCCGGCGCCGCGCCTCCCCGCCTTCCTCCTCCCACCCTTCCAAAAATGGCGGCCTGTGAGGCGGGAGCGATCGATCACTCGGTCCTCTGCCGCTTCGGCGGGGCCGATTTGAATTCGCCGGGGCCAGAAGAGAGGGGCGGGGCCGAGCTGGGGAGCAGGGAAGCCGGTCGAGCCCTGCATCATCCACCCAGCCTGCCTTCGGGTGGGTGTGCAACTGATGCTAGAAGGTGCCGGCGCTCCGGGACGCGACGTTGGTGATAGCCACGCCGCGCTCTGCAGGCTCCTGGACAGACTGCTGCAGCCGGGCCTGCTAGAGGAATCTACTGTTAGTGTTTCCTAAGACGGACACCACGAAGGGGTACTAGTGCGTCTTCAGGTCAGAGCCGGGTGTGGGGACGCACACCTGTCAACTCAGAGCTTGGAAGGCTGAGACAGGAGGATTACCTCGAGTTTGCCAGCCTGGACGACAGACTAAAACCCTGGCTTAAAAAAAAAAAAAAAAAGGCACGCCTTTAAATCCCAAACTCAGGAGGCAGAGGCAGGCGGATCTATAGGAGTTTGAGGCCAGCTTGGTCTACAGAGCGAGTTCCAAGACAGCCAAGGCTACACAGAAAAACCCTGTCTCAGGAAAAAAAAAAAAAAAAAAAAAAAAAAAACCACGCACACGCATCTCAGATAGTGAATAAGTATTTTTCTGAATTTTTCTGAAAGACTTGTTTCAGTCATAAGACATTTGTACCTTGCCCTGGGTCATAGAGGTCACTTCACACTCGCCCTAGTACGAACTTTTGTTTGTTTTTTGAGACAAGGTCTTGCCTGTAGTGTATAACGCTGGCTGGCTTCTTCCTTGGTATGCAGCCCAGGCTGGCTTTGAGCTTGTGGCATTGTCCCAGGTGCTGGGATGATGGGCTTGCAAAGGACACACCCAGCTCTCTAATTACTAGGCATTTACAAGCCTAAAGGGAAGGCCTACAGTGCTGGCTAAAAGTCTCCAAGTAATGAACCTGCCGCAGTAAATGTAGTCAGTGTGAGAGATGAGCCAGAACAGCGTTGACCCCACACTCTGTACTATGTGAGCCAGCCAAAGTGGAGTATTTATATACAGCTTCGGACTATCAGAAACCATTGGGGTTGAGTGATACACACAGGATGTAACAAGATCACTCCATACCATGGGGCAAACCCAGAATTACCAACATACTCATAGCAAATACCAAAATCAACATTTAAAATGCCAGTGAAAAAATTATAGCACTGGGTTTATTAGGAATGGAAAATTCCTAAATGAAGATATCAGCATGATCTTTTTAGCTTCAAAAATACTAAAACAGGATAGAAAAATTGCTCCAAGCAGTAACAAGCCAGAAATACCTTTTCAAAAAAAAACCCTCCTGAGGAAAGAATTTTGCCCATGTGAGAAGTTGAATTCTTCCAAAGAAAATGCCCTGCTCAAAAGAAAGAGAAAAAAAAAACCTAAAAGATATATTGTTGCAGAGTTTTTGGACTAGAGAATGTCTGTCATTTAGACTACAACAAAAAAGAACACAGTCTCACATAATTGCCTGGGAACCACTGGCAGCTTTTTTTCCTAAACACTGACTTTCCTGAAAATGCCCTCGCCAGATTCAAAGGTCCAGCACGCGTAACCAGTGTTCTTTATATTGTTGTTTTCCTTCATTTAGCCAGTGTTTAATTGAATGCATGTGTAAGATGGCTCTGACTGAATCTTCTCTGTTACAGGCTCTTCCTCACGTTTGCCGCTTCCCCTTCTAGCTTGGTGAGGCTTGGCCTTCTACTCCAGAGCCTTTTGGTAGTCTTTGTCCAGCTTTTAGTCGGGTGGTAAATGCCTTGATGGGGTAAATGCCCACGTGGACATTTGTGCCATTGGCTTGTCTGCTGTCCCTGTTCATTGTGGATGACATTTCCTGCAAACCTGGACTCTTTCGCCAAATAGCTGACCTTTTTCGTGTCCTCACGCAACCTGAACTTCTTCCTTTTGGACACACAGAGATCAAACCTCTGTCTCAGATCTTTGGGGAAGGTGTAGGCACACTGAAATCCCCTTTTCCTTGCTCATTTCGGAAGAGCTGAGAGCGATGGCGTACACCTTTAATCCCGGCACTAGGGAGGCAGAGGAAAGCAGATCTCTGTGAGTTCAAAGCCAGCCTGGTCCACTTAGTGAGTCCCAGGCCAGCCCGAACTACACAGTGAGACACTGTCCACACTCCAGCTCCCTCACCACAAGAAAAAATTCACAAAGGTCCTTCAGTTTGACAGTTGCCCACCAGCAACGGTAGCTAAAGACAAGAGCCTTTTTATTGTTTGGATGGTGTGATTGAGATGGCTTTTCTAATGAGAAGATATCGCCTTATTACCAGTTCCTTTTTTAAAATGCAAAAGCAAAGGAGGATTGCTGAGACTCCAGGGCCAACCTGGGCTACAGGGTGAGACTAAGAAAGAGAAGAAGAAAACAAAGCAACTCACTGGGATGTAGCTCAATGAGCAAGCATTTGCTTAGTGCACAGGGACTTTGGGTTCAAGCCACAGAACCACAAACAACAACAAATCAAAAAGATATACAGGGAAATCCAAGAAAACTGAAGTTTAGCAATAATTTTTAATGGGACATAATTCACAAACTCCAAGAGGTTGTGATGTAGAAAATATTTGCAAATTGCACAATTAGAGGTTACCAGGCTCAGCCTCCTAATTAGTGGACCATAAATTACTTGTGAGTACCTGCCGCCCCGGGGCATCATCAACAGGAGATTATAATTAAGATGCTTCCTGGAGACGGTTTTTTAAGAGGAGTTAAGCCTGGATTCAGCTTAACTGGTTCCTAGTAATTGTGCTCGTTTGTTTTAATTAATGCTGGGAGTGGTGCTCACTTTCCTGACAAATAAATCATGAGTTGACCTCTGATTAGCATCTTCAGCTTCATAAGCTGTCCTTCTTCTTGCAGATTAGTTTTTAAATACAATCTAGTGTGTATTGAGTGTTTCCTGTGAGTTAGACACCAAATTCAGAACTTGACAGCTTTTAAGTTCACTAAATAAAATCCTGTAAGAATTGTCAGATTTTGTTTTTCTGTAGTGTTGGGAATGGAGCCTTCATTAAAAAAAAAAAATTATTACTCTTATGTTTGTGTGTCTATGTAGGTATATATGTGGACATGTGCATGCCACAGTCCACATGTGGAGGCCAGAAACCAACTTTTGGAAGTCAATTCTTTTCTGCCACTATATGCATCCAGGAGAGAATTTGGGTCGTTAGGCTTGACCACACGCACTTTTACCAACCAACTGAACCATCTTGCCAACCGAGAGCCAGCATGTTATGGATAAATAAACAGTTTTTGTTTGTTATGTTTTTTGAGATAGAGTTTCACACTAGTCCAAGCTGGCCTAGAATTTACTATTTGACACAGGCTGACTTAAAATGCACAGCAGTCCTTCCACTTCAGCTCCCAATACTGAGGTAACAGGTGTGTCCCACAATGTCAGGCTAGTACTAGTTTTGCAAAGTGACAGTGGTTATCCAGGGTCTCAGAGCCAATAAAGAGGGAGGCAGTCCTGTTATGTATGATTCCTAAAGACCTCTCACGTGTGTCTTCCATCATTAACTTGTTGTGGAATGAATTTTTGGTACACTGTGAAGATGTGTCACTCTGATTGGTTTAATAAAAAACTGAACAGCCAATAGCTAGGCAGTGTTTCTGAGCAGAGAGAACACTGGGAAGAAGACACCAGGAGACACAGAGCAAGCAGGATGGGCAGTACGGAGATTAATAAAGCCAGGAGGCAAAAAGCAAATTAATAGAAATGGGTCAATTTAAGTTATAAGAGTTAGTTAGAAACAAGCCTAAGCTAAGGCTGAGCTTTCATAATTAACATAAGTCTCCATGTCCTTTTTGTGAGCTGAGCTGGTGGCCCAAAGAAAAGCCCAACTACATTATCTGTCACATAGAAAGCCACATCTACCACTGCTCTTCTCTGTCCTCCAATCCATTCATGGCAAACAGCCCAAGTAATTTATTTGTTGAGATAAAGTTTCTGTGTAGCTCAGGCTGTGTTCAAACTCAAAACCTCTTGCCTCAGCCTCCAGAGTACCCTGATAACAGGCATGCCCTACAACACCTGGCTTAGAGATTTTTTTTTTAGGTCCCATGTATTCCAGAATGCTCTTCAATTGCCTATGTAGCCAAGGATGACTTCCAACTTCTGCTTTTCCTGCCTCTATCTTGAGAGTTTTGGGATTACAGGGGTGTACCACCATGTCCAACTTATGCAGTGCTAGTGCAAGTACACCACTAGTTGGCTTGCTTTCCCAGCTCCCTTGCAGAGAGAGACAGAGACAGACAGACAGACAGACAGATAGACAGAAATTTGCTGTTTTAAAACATACTTTTTATTTTGGACAGGGCCAGGCTTTGTAACTCTGGCTGACCCTGAACTCACCAGAATAGCCCAAGCTGCTCTCAGCTTGCTTCCTCGATGCCCAGCCCCCTCACTGCTAAGATTACAGTTATGCGCCAATACACCCAAGAGCACACTGCCAATGTTCGATAATGACACAAGAGCAATTCAGACGAGTTTTGTCGGTACCTGTCAACAGGTGGTCAGCCACAGTAAATAAATAAATCATGCCTGAGGAGGTGCAGCTCAGATGGTAGAGCGCTTGCCCAGCATTCAGGAAGCCCTGGGTCCCATTTTCCAGCACTTCATAAAACAGGCACACTGGCACACACCTGTATCCCAGCATGCTTGAGGTAGAGGCAGGAGGATCAAAAGTTGAAGATCTTCTTTTACACAAGGAATTGGAAATCAGCCTGGGATATGTGAGACATTTTTCTAAAAAAAGAAAAAAACTAAAAGAAAAGAAATATTCAACTCCACCACCCTACAAAATCAGAAAATGTTGTCTTTTCTTTTGTGACCACTTCTTTACAAGAAATTTTGGGAAAAAAAAACGTTTAGAACTTCAGGGGGAAATGCTGTGGGATGGTCTGTATGTCAAGTGTGTTGCTGATTGGTCAATGAATAAATCACTGATTG